GACTTCACCGAAACTTTCGCTCCGGTCAGCCGACACACTTCGCTCCGAATCCTTCTCGCGATCGCCGCCATGAAGAAAAAGAAGCTACGGCAAATCGATGTCGCAAACGCATTTCTCTACGCACCCGTTGACGCAGAAATTTTCGTGGAACTACCGCACGGTACCAACGGGGAGCCCAACCAAGTCTGTCAGCTGCTAAAGTCGCTCTACGGGATCAAGCAAGCTCCGCGGCTATGGCAGCAGTACCTGCACGCCCGCCTCATTCGCATCGGCTTCAAGCAATTACCGCACGATCAGGGGATGTACCGACTCACGAAAGGCGCATATTACATCCTGCTAATCGTCTACGTAGACGATCTCCTCTACATCGGCTCAACTGACAGCGTCACCACCTGGTTCGAAGGGGAGCTGCAGCAGGATCTCACACTGACAGTCTCAGCTACCGTTACACAGTACCTCGGGCTCAACATCCGGGAAGAGGAAGACGCCATCTACCTCAGCGCCGCGAAATACGCCGACACCATCGACAAGCGCTTCACACTCACACCAACTGCTATCTCCACACCGTACCGCTACACGACAGGAAACAACAAAGAAGGCTCCGCTCTGCTCAAGCCCGCCGGCATACGCGACTACCAGAGAAAGCTGGGCTGCCTTCTCTTCGCAGCCGTCACCTGCCGTCCGGATCTGTCGTACTCTGCAAGTCAGCTCGCTACCTACCTCAAGAAACCTGAAGCGGATCACATGGCGGAGCTCGACCGCGCTCTTCACTACCTCGTCAGCACTCCGACGATCGGCCTGACTTATCAAAAGAACGGGACTACAACACCTAAGTTAATCGGCTACGTCGACGCCGATCACGCTGGCGATTCCGACAACAGGCGTTCTCGCACTGGCTACATCTACCGCCTCGAACCTATCGGACCTATCTCTTGGCAGTCGAGCAAGCAGGAACTAATCGCCCTCTCGTCAGCTGAAGCAGAATATATTGCACTCTGCTCAGCCACCAAGGAAGGACTTTACCTTCGCGAACTGCTGGAAGAAGCGAAGCTGGCTCAGTTACCCAGCTTCACTCTGTTCTGCGACAACCAGTCTGGAATTCGCATTGCCAACAAGAACGGCTTCGCGAACAGGACGAAACACATCGCCCTGCGATACTTCTTCGTGAAGGACGAGATCGAGAAGGGGAGACTCGAGCTGTCATACTGCCCCACGACCGAGATGGCAGCTGACTACTTGACCAAGAAGCTCGGGAAGCAGAAGTTTGAGTACTGCATGCTGCTGACTGGACAGAGCCACGTCACCAGCAGCGACACTCCAGAAGCGAAGGGGAGTGTTGGAAACAATCAGTCTTAAGCGCCTCTGTCGTGTCGAAACACCAAGACACAAGCGAAGCAAAGCATATCGAGGCACCAGCGAGTCAACCCTCGGAGGTTGAAGTAACCGCTGGAGGTTACGCGAAAGTCAAAGGTCAGCGACCTTTGACCTGACAGCGCGACAGCAAGGACACACAACTGACTCGCTACAGAGCAGTTGCCCGAGTCGTCGCTGTATCGAACCGCAACAGCAACATTAAAGTAGTTACAACCGTGTCTCTTCGTATTCCTTGTACTCTTATATAATCTTGTATCTCTTTGCTTTAATCAATCGACTTTGCCCTCACATACTAGCGCAAGGTGGTTCACAATCTCTTCACAAAACGCTTCCGCTATTACAATCCTACCCAGAGTTCATCCATGTAAAGATCCTAAGGGCTTTTCTCAGCCCAACAGGATCAAGTCCCCAAGCAGGTCATCATTGACGCGTTCCGCCACTGTGGGATTTCAAGCAAGCTGGACAGGACGGAGAACCACCTCGTGATGTCTCACCTGCGCGCGAGGAGCACCACCGATTTCTCTGAGGACTTGTGCCTCGGGGGGACCACGGGCGACAACACGCGCCTGCTTGGGCAGGCTCTTGAGGAGGAGGAGATGCAGGCGGAGGGCGTCAGGGAGGTGGCCGTGGCAACCGGCCTGGAGGTGCTGTACCAGGAGACCCCCAACTACCGCGGAGCGGCGGCCGAGGTTGACCGCATGATCGAGCCAAGGCAGACGGCTAAGCATGCTTGGCGAGTGCCAGACCTGGGTGTTAGGGAGCCTGATGTTAGTGCAGATGAGGGGGCCGTGACGGAGGGGGGCTAGGTATAAGTAGAAATTCATGAATGTATGCATGTACCCCCGATAAGGAACTAAGGATCGTTTAGAAGGCACCCCCCCCTTTATAAGATCACCCCTAAACCCTTGTTCTGAATGCAAGACACTGTCTTAAGTCGTACACACATATAGGTGTCTTATAATGAGGAAGACCCGTTTATAAGAGACACCCGTTTAATAGACACCCCACGTCTTCTATTCAACACTGTCTTATATCCGGTCGATGACGGTAGATGTCGTGGCTATCCGTTCACCATGAGAATGTCGGACAGTGTCTCGATGCACTCCCTTGCCAAGCGGACTCTAGTATAATTTCCCCTTGCCCATTAATTATTGGTCATGATGTAAGTAACAAACAACGTACTGGTCACTTCGCCAGGCTCTTCAGTTTGCCTCACAGTTCACCCTGCTGAAAGACACTCTTAATCAGCCAACCCTGTGCTCTGTTCACTACACCCTGTAGCTGTCAATGTTTAGTAGTTGGACTAGTAGTGTTGGTGATGTGAAGTGCTTTGAATCATAGAAAATTCCATTGCTGCATAAACCACACAGGAGGAACTAAATCTAAGAGGTGCTCATGAGCTGTCAGAGGCAGGAATGCTGGCAAGGCACGTCATTGCAGCTTGCCAGCATTCCTGCCCCCGTGCTCAGAACCATGCACACTACTCACTTACAGCACTACCCACTTTACCACCAAGTCAGATGCCCATATTCCATGACTTGAAGCAGGGGAATCAAGGCCACACCATCACACTCTGCCACTCCTGTCCAGCACCGCCAAATCATGCAGCAGAGGGGATTTCACTGCTTTCACATTATGCTGCTGCAGCAGCGGAGGGGATTTTGACGCCCATGAGCTGCCCGCCCCAGATGACGCCCGACGCACTGTTCCCAGCCAGCACAGCATATCCGCTCACCGTGCTGTTCACGCCGCTGCCCCCCTGGTGCTGCCCGCCCTGCTGCTGCCCACCCTGCTTGGCGGGGCCGCGGGCCATTGCGCGCATCAGCATCCTCCCCACCCTCCCCACGTCCAGCCCCATGCGCCTGCTGCCCTGCCCGTTCCGCGCGCCTCCCGCGCCCCCCGCGCCCCCGGAACTGCCTCCGCCGTTATGCCCGCCGCGGCCGCCGCCGTTGCTGCGCGGGAGCGACGCGTTGGGGAGGAAAGCGAGCAGCGCGTCGACGGTGGTCGCGTCGGCGTTCTCGAGGAACGCGTCGAGGCGCGCCTCCGCGTGCAGCAGCCACCAGCCGGCGCGCTGCAGCCAATCGGAGGCGGCGAAGGGCAGCGAGATCACGGCGGCGGCGGACGCGGCCGAGTCGCACACGGCGCCCTGCACGATCGCGATCGAATCGGGCGGGCCGGCGGCGGCGTCGCCTCCGACGAGAAGCGCGTCGACGAGGAGGTTGTAGTTGCCCGAGGAGTTCCTGCGGGGACGAGCGGGGCGGGGAGGAGGGCGCGGGAGGCAGAGAGATGCGAATCTGATGAGTGACGGGGAGAGCCCGCTGTGATTGAGGAAAGGGGGAAAAAAACGCCTCGTGTAGGCATTGCGCATGCTAAAACTTCGTGCTTCGTAAGGTTTTTCGCGGGAAGAATGAGTGGGGGAGTCTGGTGGAGGCTTGGCTTACTTGAAGACGGTGAGATGGAAGCGGCCGTCAACGAAGGTCGGGTCCGCCGAGCAGTTTTTCAGCTGCGCGCCAACGTCCGCCGTCAGGTTTCCGACGGCCGTCAGGTTCAGCGGAGGACCGCGCGGCTCCCCGCCAGGGCCGCCGCCAGGTCCGCCGCGCCCACCAGGGCCACCGCCGCGAGGTCCCCCTGGCGGCCCCTGACCGCCGGGCGGGCCTCCACCAGGCGGGCCGCGCTGCGCGAAGGCGGACGTCACTGCGAGAAGCGTGAAGCAGACGATTAGCATTGCCTTGGAGGCCATGGCTGGGGGTTGCGAGTAAGGAAACGGGCTTCGAGTGCGTGAGGAAAACGGGTTTAGTGAAAAGAGACTAGAGACTACAGTTGTTTGGAGGCAGAGGAGAAGCTGGTTATCTTTCATGTTCGAGCGATGGCTGTTTATAGCTTCTCTTCGTTTACACTCAACGACTGGTCAACTCCACAGCAGTCTCTCCTTCAGGTACGGTACCGCACCACGTTCCCTGATTTCGGGTATGTGATTGGTCCAGACAGTGTTACAGCTTGTCATACCTTTAAGCCAGTTGGTTCGGGTCTGCTCAGGAAGGTACCACGGACGAGGTGTTGAAAATGTCCAAACGAAATCCTGACAAGCCACGAGTCAGCGCACCTTGCGTGGAGAAAATAGCTGACCACTTCAACGAATACGCTATATGGAAACGACCGTTACCATATTAACTATTCCGTTTTGTGGAGACACCATATGCAGTACAGAACACCTCAAGCATCTAGAATTGATTTTTTACCATGAAATATATATCCTCAAATCTCCTGTACCGATTATTTTTTTTCCTGAATGTTTTTTCTTACCGTGGAGAATGTGAGTTCAGCATATTTTTCTGGCTCCTAGCCTAGTGTTAAGTGGGTTGAGTGGCATTTCAGGAAGCTTCTGTGGTTTGATTTTACCATGTATGGGTTGGGTACGGTTTCATGTCTCGAAATCAAGATTCTTGAACAAGACTTGCAATCTGCCGAAATCCAGCAGTTCAGGTAGCCTGCAGCCAGCTAAGTTAGCAAGCCAAGTACAGCTCAAGTCAGCTGGATTGAAGAGCTGCTAATCGATTTCTCTTTTGCCGGTCACGTCGTTCGCGCGTTATCTCTCGAATTTAGTCAGTGTCTACTTCGTCGCTGCGATGGGCGTGGAGAGCGGGAAGAACGGGCTTGCGACGTATTACCGAGGAGCAATCGAGCAGATCGATGTCAACCTCAGAGAGAAGACCAAGAATCTTCGTCGGCTCGAGGCTCAGCGAAATGAACTGAACGCCAAAGGTAGATTTGCGCCTTAAAGACTTGAGTTGAGACGCGTTGCAATCCAGACTACGTACAGATCGGTCGGAAAGGGTGGCCTGAACTGGGTGCCTCTTATTTCCAGTCCGACAAGGCACTGATCATTTCTCAGATTCTTGGAAGTTCAGAGATGAATACGGTGAATTTGGTCAGAACGGACGTTTTTACGCATCGTGATGTAGCTCAGTCACGAGTCTGATGTGTCAGCCACGCTATCCAGATCTCGTGGCTAATCCGTGCAGCATGAGAGCGAAGGACATGCCAGTTCGTGTGTCCGTGCACTCCCTTGTCAAGAAGCCTCTAGTATGTAACTGCGTCTTCGCGTGCAAACGTCTTCGCGTATCATGACGTCCGACGTGTCAGATCTTGTAACCGTTTCCCTCATCAGTAACCTTGCCTCCCCTGTATCCTGTCTCTCCCATGTCTCCTCCCGACTATCCCGTCGCTCCCGTCTCTCCCGTCTATCCCCTCTCTCCCATGTCTCCCGTCTTTCCTCTCTCTCGCGTCTACCCGTCTCTCCCATCTCTCCCGTCTCTCCTATCTATCCCGTCTCTCCTGTCTATCCCGCCGTCTCTCCCATCTACCCGTCTATCCCGTCTCTCCCTGCGCTCCCCCCCCTCTCTCCCCCCCCCCCCCCCCTCCTCTTTGTGATCGTTCTCCGTGTCTCCCTGGATTGTTTCTCATGCTACCCTAATCTCTTGATTCCGCCCACCAACTGACCGTCCTTGACGCAATCATGTGTACCATCTTCCGTGCATCCGTTCAACCTCCCATTCCATGTATGAACGTGCCTCTCATGCACCCATCCCGGTGCGTGCAGTGCGGGCGCTGAAAGAGGAGCTGCAGCTGCTCCACTCGCGAGTGTGCTGTGCTGTGCTGTGCTGTTGCAACCTCCCATCTCATGCATGAACGCTTCCCCCGCCCATGGATCCACCCTCCGTGCGTGCAGTGCGGGTGCAGCTGCTGCACTCGCGAGTGTGCTGTGCTGTGCTGTGCTGTGCTGTGCTGTTTCAACCTCCCAGCTTGTCTTGTGCGTCCCTTTCATTGCCCGTCCCTGTGCGTGCAGTGCGGGCGCTGAAGGAGGAGCTGCAGCTGCTGCAGGAGCCGGGGTCGTATGTGGGCGAGGTGGTCAAGGTCATGGGCAAGACCAAGGTGCTCGTCAAGGTGCGTCCGTGTGCTTACTGCTCTTTTGACGTGTTTACACCACTTTGACTCCTTCAGATTTTGTTTTGATTCGTTGGATTCCCTTCTTCTTTCGCTTTTGTTTCCTCTGTGTGTTCAGGTGCACCCCGAGGGCAAGTACGTGGTGGACGTGGGGACAAGGGCATCGACCTGACGAAGCTGTTGGTTCTTAGATCCGTTCTGAATAGATGTATTCTGCATGTCTGTACTTCTGCCCTTCATCCCCCCCCAGGTGCACCCGGAGGGCAAGTACGTGGTGGACGTGGACAAGGGCATCGACCTGACGAAGCTGACGCCCAGCACGCGCGTGGCGCTGCGCAACGACAGCTACGTGCTGCACCTGGTGCTGCCCAGCAAGGTGGACCCGCTCGTGTCGCTCATGCGCGTCGAGAAGGTGCCCGACTCCACCTACGACATGATTGGTGGCCTGGACCAGCAGATCAAGGAGATCAAGGAGGTGAGGCGGGCGGGTCATGGGGATCAAGGAGGTGAGGCGGGCTGAGCAAGGAGATCAAGGAGGTGAGGCGGGCTGAGCAAGGAGATCAAGGAGGTGAGGCGGGCTGAGCAAGGAGATCAAGGAGGTGAGGCGGGCGGATCATGGGGATTAAGCAGGTGAGGGTCAAGGATATTGACAGTATTGTAGTGGATTTCTTTCCGCTCATAGACGTTCCGTTCCCTGCATGGGCGTTGCCTGGGGCTTTGGGGGGTTCAGTGTTATCTCCCTCCCTTTCTCTGTTCCTTTTGTGTCGCATGCAGGTGATTGAGCTGCCCATCAAGCACCCGGAGCTCTTTGAGAGCCTTGGAATTGCCCAGCCCAAGGTAAGGCTTGCCTCTTCAGCTGTTTTTAACAGTCCTAGGCAACTCTCTTAAGGGGCAGTAAAAATAAATGATTTTTTCTTTCCCTTTTTTTTTCCTAATTTTCTGATTCTTACACATGCACCGTTTGGATCATTTTCATACTGATAATTGTTTTCTGGCATCTCAGGGAGTGCTGCTGTATGGTCCTCCCGGCACGGGCAAGACTCTGCTGGCGAGAGCAGTGGCGCACCACACGGACTGCACGTTCATCCGCGTGTCGGGGTCAGAGCTCGTGCAGAAGTACATTGGCGAGGGCTCTCGCATGGTGCGCGAACTCTTCGTCATGGCCAGGTGGGTTGGCCACATGGGTGTGCTGCAATGGGTTCCTAGGTGTTCTGCACTAGGTGTCTAGGTGTGTGCTGCACCTCACTAGTGCAGAAGTACATTGGCGAGGGCTCTCGCATGGTGCGCGAACTCTTCGTCATGGCCAGGTGGGTTGGTCAGACGAGTGTGCTGCACTGGATGTCTAGCTGTGTGCTGCTGCACTCACCAGATGGGCTTCCTGGTGCGGTTATGGTGGTAGCATCCCACGTGGCTGTTGCCGTTTCCAGTGTTTGCAACTCACCTCTTTTCTCAACTGGCAATTCATACACTTTTTTATTATTATTTTCCTCCAGGGAGCACGCTCCGTCAATCATCTTCATGGACGAGATTGACAGCATCGGGTCGGCGCGCATGGAGTCAGGCAGTGGCAACGGGGACAGTGAGGTGCAGCGCACCATGCTCGAGCTGCTCAACCAGCTCGACGGCTTTGAGGCCTCCAACCAGATCAAGGTGTGTTTTGAGTCGACTCCGAAGTCTCTAGCATGGAGTCGGGCAGTGGCAACGGGAACAGCGAGGTGTATCGCACCATGCTCGAGCTGCTCAACCAGCTCGACGGCTTCGAGGCCTCCAATCAGATCAAGGTGTGCCGTCAAGAAATGCTGTGCTGCTGCAATTTGTGTGGCCCATGTTCAGTCACGAGGCTCACCAGCTGCTGTTTGTCCTGCTTGAATGCTCTCTTTTGCTCTCCTCTTTTGTTCTTGCTGTCATTTGTTTCAAGATATGAAGGTCGTGTGACATGTGCTTACAATCTGACTCGTACGGTCTCTCTTCGATCTTGTGTGACGGCCAATTAACAGGTGCTGATGGCGACCAACAGGATTGACATTTTGGACCCAGCTCTTCTCAGGCCTGGCCGCATCGACCGCAAGATTGAGTTCCCCAACCCAAGCGAAGAGGTGAGTGTATGTTTTGGAGGCGTGTGCTCCTGCTAGAGAGTGGTTTTCTAGCAATTCGTGTTGTAACTGAGTGTGACTGGTTTTCTCTGACTTTTAGTTTCTTGAAATCTGCTGATAATTTTTACCCCTTTCCGATTACCATCTTTGTTCTGTTGCCTGGTCCAGTCTCGTGTGGACATTCTGAAGATCCACTCGCGCAAGATGAACTTGATGAGGGGCATTGACCTTGCCAAGATAGCTGGGAAGATGAATGGAGCAAGTGGTGCTGAGCTCAAGGTGAGTTCCAAGGCCGTGAATATTGTTTGTTGTTGGGGGGGGAGGGGGGGAGGAATGGTTTTTCGTAATGCGTTTGAGAAGTTGTTTATGAAGTTAACGTACTCCCATGTTTGCACTAAGATGCTGTTTGGTATTGCCATCTCTCCCTTCCCGCATCCATCCTACAGGCTGTTTGCACAGAAGCTGGCATGTTTGCACTCAGGGAGCGAAGGGTCCATGTGATGCAGGAAGATTTTGAGATGGCAGTGGGGAAGGTCATGAAGAAGGATTCGGAGCAGAACATGTCTTTGAAGAAGTTGTGGCGTTAATTTTGTGTTGTGAACTTCTGCAGTTTGTTGCTTGTACATTTTCATTTACTAGTTGAAGCCCACACTATCAATACCAAATTTCATCTCAACATGGTTATCATCTGTAAGGAAAATCCCTTTTCCTTACTTCGCGTCCCTGCTCAGCGCGTACACCACTGTTCTCGCCAGCAGCACCCAACAGTAATCCGTTACCACTCGCGACACTCGCTTCGACACCATTCCCGCCACCGTTCACGACGCGACCCAACCTCACGGTTCGGTTGGTAACCCGGCACTAGGCCCGTCGCGCACCCCACTTTTTACACATTACCGTTACCACTGTAGTTTCGCTATATATTCTTCGCTCATGCCTTCGCTCATTGTACTCTTGCTTCGATAGTGCAATTCTCGCTCGTTCACTCAATTGCACTCGTAACACTTGGTATTCAGAGCCTACGATCTCTTCTCGGACCGCACCCACACCTTCGCTTCCCCACTATCTCAATTTTTGGGGGGGGGTAGACGTCTCTCAGTGAACAAGCACCGCCGCTCGAAGTGCTCTCTCGTAAGCACGCACGGCCACGACAGAGGCTCCCGCTGAGTTTGCCCGACACCCCCGCCATGGCCGACATTAATCTTGCGACATTGACGCAGGAGCAGCTCGACCGTCTCGTGCGTCAACTCGAAGATTCGGCACTCGAAATCGCGACACTCACGGCGGAACGTGACTCCGCCCGCCAGCAATCAACGGTGAATGCACCAGCTCAATCACAAGCACCCGCAAATGCACCTGCGCAATCAGAAGAACCAATCGTCATCTCATCCGGCACACCGACGCAAAATGACAGCGTGGGACAGCGCTCAGGCGCAGCCAGTGATGGCGCCGCTCAATCGATGCCTGGCATGGAGAGAAATCGGGCCGCGCCAAGCCCGCGTGGGCCTCGCGAAGCTCGTCGGCACGTGGAGTTTGCAGCAACAAGTGGCAACCACGACATCATGGCACCAATGCCACTCAAGCCGCAGCGCCCGCCCTGTTTCGATCCGAGCCAACGTGGAGGTCCGACGGTTTAATCGTGGGTTTTCACGATGAACGTCTTCTTCGACGCGAACTACGTCGAGTCGGACGCAGCGAAGATCAGATACGCCGTCTCGCTGCTGAGGGGCCCCGCCATGGACTGGTGGCGAGTCATCGTGACGTCGCCACGCGCCTACGAGCCACCGTCGCAAGAGGAAGGGCCCACGGGCCCAGCTGTCACCTGGAGTTCATTCTGCGAAACCGCCCAATACAGCACGTGGGATGCGTGGTGCGCAGGGCTTCGGGCGCGCTTCAAGCCGATCGCGGCTTCTATTTCGGCGCGTCAGAAACTGCGTACTTGGCGGCAGCTCGGATCGGTCCAAGACTACACGAGCGGTTTTCTCGCATTATGCGAGCAAGTCGGCTATATGCACGGAGCGGAGCGGGTGGACCGTTACGTCGGAGGGCTGAAGCCGGACATCTCGCACGAAATCATGCTACGCGGACTCTCGAATTTCAACGAGATTCTCGCGCTCGCCGAAAAAATCGACATTTTACGCCGCCCGAGACCGGGGTCCTACTACGGACATCGCCCTCGGGGACCAATCGAGCACGCCACTGTACACGCTGTTGCGACAAACGCAGCTGCCGCGCCGTTTAAGGGGCGCTGCTTCGCTTGCAATAGGCCGGGCCATCGTAAGAGTGAGTGCCCAGAGGAGCTGAGGCGCCGCGGAGCAGAGCAGGGGAGGGAGTCTCTAAGGCAGGGAAACGCCAGCAGTCAGTAGGAATCGGGCCAACTACTGACGAGACTGCCTGCTCGCCCAACCACACCGACCCTCACCGAGTCACAGTACCGATTCACGCTATCGATCGGGCTCGGATGAATAAGGAGGGTACAGCGACGGATTGCCCAGTACTGATTCACGGGAAAGTACAAAGAGACGCAGTGAAAATCTTTATAGACGGAGGAGCAAGCCACAGCCTAGTTAATACCGCAACCGCACGGAAGCTGCAACTGACACTTAGTCGGTGTTTACCGGAAATAGATGCACGCTTAGTGGACGGAACGCCGCTGGCCATACGGGAGAAGGTGGAGAAAGTAAAGGTCCGCTGCGGGGGGAATTTTGGGTTTGCACAGGAAATGCTCGCGACGACATTGGATGGGCACGACATTTTACTAGGACGTGATTGGCTGCGACGGTATAACCCGCGAATCGACTGGACGACGGGTAGCTGCACTGTGCGAAGTAGCGGTAACTGGATCGTGCTACCTTGCTGGCAGTCGCCCGAGTCTTCAACGGTTCACGTCAACGCTATCACGATGAAACGGGCTGTCGCCGCTGGAGCTGACGTGTACGCAGTGGATATAGCATTGGTAGGAGAAGTAGAGCAGCCGAGCGATTTTCAGAAACTGCTGACAGCGGTACCGCCCGAACTACAGGAGCTATTGAAACGGTACCCGGGGATTTTTCCCGACGACTTACCAGAGGGACTGCCACCTCAGCGAGCACACGACCACCGCATAGAGTTAGAACCCGGGGCACAGCCAACCGTACAGCGACAGTTCCGACTGACACAGCCCGAGCTCGATGAGCTGAGGAAGCAGTTAGACTACTTGTTAGAGAAAAAATTCATCCGACCGAGCTCGTCACCGTTCGCCGAAACCGAAAAAAGACGGGGGGTTTCGCATGTGCATCGATTACAGAGCACTGAACCGGGTAACAGTCAAGTCGCGAAACCCCATTCCCCGCGCTGACGAACTGATCGACCAGCTGCGAACAGCACGGGTTTTTTCGAAAATATATTTACGGGGAGGTTACCACCTGATTCGGGTCGAACCATCGGACTGCGTAAAAACAGCATTTAGAACTAGGTATGGGTCATTCGAGTACACCGTGATGACATTCGGGCTGACCAACGCACCGGCGACCTTTCAGATGACCATGAACGAGGCATTTAGGCCGCTCTTAGATAAATGCGTGATAGTTTACCTCGACGACATCCTAGTTTACAGTCGGGATAAGCAGCAGCACTTAGAAGATCTGGAAACAGTATTTAAGGTTTTAGACGAGCACCGATTACTGACCAAGGGTTCCAAGTGCGAGTTCTTCCAGGATAGGTTAGAATTTTTGGGGAACGTGGAGTTGAAATCGACCCCATGAAGCTGGACACGGTAAAAGCGTGGCACCCCCCGACGAACATCACGGAGCTGCAGAGCTTTTTAGGGTTCGTTAATTATGTGCGTCGGTTCGTCCCCGATATGGCACGGTTAACTGCCCCACTGACGGATTTACTGCGGAAGGGGGTCACGTTTACGTGGGGGGAGAAAGAGCATGCTGCCTTCTCAGCCCTGAAACATGTTCTCTGTTCACCGCCCGTACTGCGCATCGCTGACCCACACCGCCCCTTCGAAGTAGTTACAGACGCAAGCGACATCGCCATTGGAGCCGTCCTGCTACAGGATTTCGGCAACGGTTTACAGCCCATCGCATACGAGTCACGAAAACTGCATCCGCCCGAGAAGAATTACCCGATACACGATCGCGAAATGCTCGCGATCGTGCATGCATTCAAGGTTTGGCGCTGTTACTTGACCGGCGCAGACGTGACAGTACGGACAGATCATAAATCACTACAGTATCTCCGCGCACAGCCCCACCTCAACCCACGACAGATTCGCTGGCTCGATTTCCTCGAGTCAAACTTCCATTACACAGTCACCTACAAGAAAGGGGCATCGAACATCGCCGACGCATTGACCCGCCCCACTGCCCAGATCCACGCAATACTACTTGCCCAGACCAGCCCACTACTGACAGGCCTATTTACCCACGGGTACCAAACGGATCCATTCTTCACAGGAGGAAATTCACAACAGTTCGCAGCAGCAAAAGGAGTCTATTACGTAAAAGCCGGGACCGACCGCATCTGGGTACCAGGGTACACACTGCTACGGGAATTACTGTTACAGGAGGCACACGACGGAGTTACCTCGGGACATTTCGGGGTAGAAAAAACACGGCAGCAGCTGCAGCGGTATTATTACTGGCCCGAAATGTTGACCGACGTTCAACAACACGTGGCATCGTGTCCCACTTGCCAAATCATGAAGTCATCACGGTAGCGGCCGGCAGGACAGTTGCAGCCGATACCACCCCCAGAGCGTGCTTGGCAGCAGGTGAAGATGGACTTCGTCACGGGGTTACCGGCCGGAGCGAGTGGGAATGACGCGATCCTGGTCGTCGTCGACCGACTGACGAAAATGGCACACTTCGCAGCCTGCAAAAAATCAATCACAGCCGAAGAAACAGCCCGCCTCTTCATCTCTACCGTCGTTCGACTGCACGGGATACCAGCATCGATCATCAGCGACAGAGACACGAAATTCACCAGCAACTTCTGGCGGAACCTGTGGCAGCAGTTCGACACGCGACTACAGTTTAGTTCATCGTACCACCCCGAAACCGACGGACAGACAGAACGGACAAATCAGACCATGGAACAGCTCATCCAGGCCACGTGCGACGACCCGACCACGTGGGAACAGCAACTGCCACTCATCGAATTCGCGTACAACAACTCGCCATCTGCCACGACCCAACAGTCACCATTTTACCTGAACTACGGACAAGACCCCACAGTACCCATGACCCCGAATCCCGACAACCCAGTCCCACGCGCGCAACAGTTCGCAGAAATACTGCAAGCAGCACGGACCCGAGCAGCAGAAGCAATAAAAAAATCAAACATCATCGCAAAACGCAACGCTGACCGCCACCGCCGACCTGTCACTTACCAGCCAGACGACCTAGTTTTACTCGACACTCAAAACCTCCGCCTGCCCATCACCCCAAAACTCCGCCCCCGATATTGCGGGCCATTTCGCATCAGCCACATGATCACACCCGTCACCGCCCATCTCCTCCTCCCTGCTGACTGGTACGTCAGCCCGTCATTCCACGTCAGCTTGCTTCGCCCATACGTGCCATCCACCAGCCAACTGCCTCGCAACCGCCCCGCCAGCATGACACGACCACCGACTGAGCCAATCGTCACGCCCGAGAAAATACTGAGCCATCGAGTACGTGACCCACGGGGAGCCCGCAGAATTGAGTTCCTGATCCGCTGGAGGGACCGCACGCCCACCGAAGACAACTGGGTCCCCCTGGATAGAATTGAGAATCACCCTGTCCTCACTGAGTATCTACGAAGCCGAAACTTCCGAGATGTACACGCGCTCTCGTAAGAGGGGCCTCCTTGGGGAGGGGGGTAGTGTAAGGAAAATCCCTTTTCCTTACTTCGCGTCCCTGCTCAGCGCGTACACCACTGTTCCCGCCAGCAGCACCCAACAGTAATCCCACTCGCGACACTCGCTTCGACACCATTCCCGCCACCGTTCACGACGCGACCCAACCTCACGGTTCGGTTGGTAACCCGCGCTCCGGACCTCCGCCTCGACATCTCCCAACCTCGGCACTAGGCCCGTCGCGCACCCCACTTTTTACACATTACCGTTACCACTGTAGTTTCGCTATATATTCTTCGCTCATGCCTTCGCTCATTGTACTCTTGCTTCGATAGTGCAATTCTCGCTCGTTCACTCAATTGCACTCGTAACATCATCTAAGTTTTCCAGTGCTCCGGAGATCGCTACTTTCAAAGTTACTCGATTCGAGCTTTCGCTCACGCTATATCGCGAAAGAATCTGTCGTGGACATGTGACGTGGCACCACCGTAGACCCCAGCTCGGCCTTTTGGCGAAGGAGACGTGGACCTTTCGCATCCAGTCCCGAGAGGACCCCCTGCTGGTCCCCCTGGAGCGCGACAATCTCAAGGCCTGCGTGGCTCCAGCGGGTGACAGATTGAAGCGTGGCCCGCCTTTCCTGTTGGTTGGCCCACCTCCCCGTTTTATGACTTTCAGTGTGGTCCACGACTATCAGTCAAATTTGAGGAATTCCCTTGTGTTGTAATTCAAGGATCTTCTTTCAGGTTGTTTTGTTTGTATAGTCAGTTCACCAGACCGCTTGTCCAGTCTTCAGTGTGCCTGTAGGTCTCATTTCTGGATAGTTGAGTGCATTCTCCCTCTCATTTCAGTTACGCCACGACGCCATGGCCCTCGCGTGCTCCATGTCGTCAGCAACATCCACATTGAAGCTGTCGTTCGCACCTTCCAGAACAGCCACCAGCACACGCCGATGCACCATCATCTGTCAAGCCGAGCCCATCCGGCGACCAGGTCCCGTCGCTCCGCAATCAGCAGACGCGCCAGCTACCAGTCCGGCCTCCTCCGCAGCAGCGACGGTTCCGGCAGGCGTGACGGTGGAGTATCAGCGGCAGGCGGCGAAGGAGATGGTGGCGTACTTCCAGGAGAAGAAGTACGAGCAGGACGTGCGGGACGGGAAGGTCCTCGGCTTCACCACCAAGAACGAGATCGGCAACGGACGGTACGTCGCGGTTTTTCCAGCTGTCGCATTCTCGTTGTCTTGCGGTCTATCGCATGCACCGTCGACCCCGCTGTGGCACAAAGATTGCTAAAGCTGTGCACTGGCGACAACTTTTGCCTACTCTTTCGGTTTTAAGAAGTCTTGTTTTCGAGGTGGATGGTATTCAACACTTTCTTGACCAGAGAAAGCCACAGCAGTGAGGTGACGTAACGCATTACGAATCCTTGTCAGCATCGCCTTGGCATGAAGGGAGTTCGTACATTGTGATCGTCGGGTAGTCGAGTGCTGCTTTTCGCGTTCCGCGTGGCCATTCTTTGTTCGACACACTTTGGCCGCCATGTCGGCCTTGTGTTTCTTGCGTGAATTCACACCATCTTCGCCAAGCGTTCCATGAAACCGCAATTAGGTTGTGAAGGCATTGAGTATGAGGAGCTTTGCGTATTCTAAAGTCTAAGGGTATTCATTGTGGTGTTGCTCTCACCCTGTAGTGGGTGCTTCAGTGTTAATGGATTGGAACCCTTCCCCCATCACACCCCTCCGCTTTCTCTCTCTTTCCCCATCTTTTGAATCTTTCCCCCTCACACCCCGTCGACCTTTCTCCCGCCTCTCTCTCTTTCCAAAACAAACAATTCTGGCTTTCTGCCTTTCATCATGTAGGTCTCCATCTCCTGTCGTCCTCTCCTTACCTTTTTTCCCTTTCCCACCCCCTCCTCCAACCCCGCCCCTTTCCCCCCCCCTCCTCGCTCGCCCCTCCCTCCTCTATCCCCGGTACCATTTGGACATGTTCGCATGCCTGCTCATTGCTCTTATCGTCGTCTCCACTCTCTGGAATCTTTTGTCTGTGCAGGTGGGCTATGTTTGGTCTGTCAGTGGGTCTGCTCACAGAATACGCCACAGGGGTGAACTTTCCAGACCAGCTCTACATTTTGCTCTCCAATTTCGGCATTGTTGACTAAGTTTTGGTGTGAACAAGTTTCTATACTGTTGCTGCAGTAGCAGACTACATGCCCTTATAGCCCATGCCACGAGCTTTCAAGTTTGTCCTGACATCCGGTACCCCATCAGCTGTCCTTGCACAGTGCAAATCAAATGCCAATTCTGCTGGCCTACTGTATCACCCGTATTGCGGGTTGATCTTTGTACTCCTGTTGCAGAGTCTTGTTTTAGTGCCTGATTATCCCTGTTTTAAATAGAACTCGTGCTTCATCTGGCTGTGACTGTAACTGAATATTCCATGGATTATATTTCAAGAGAAATGGCCCAGCTGGACTGTTCCAGCTGCCAGCCACAGCAGCAGAACCCCATGCTACAGGTGCAGCAGCAGCATCTGCTGTGATGAGTGTGCATATTTTCTCCATGTGCATGTGTTTGTCCATGAGAATCTGCGAGTAGATACTTTCGCGTGCGTAGAATGGCATAAAATGCAAGAAAGTGCGAGTAAATGCTGATGCACCTTTGGAAAACTTTGTTTATATCATAACCGTGCCTGCGGTGTACTGGAAATTCCCGTGAAAATGAAGAAATCGGGGAAAATTCGTAATATACGTGGTGGTGGGTAACATTGTGGGAGAGGGAATGGTGGGCTAGAGAGATTTGGTTTTCGTTTTTTTGTTCTGTTTGTTCGTTCATGGTGAAATGACATGTACCATTTCTCCCACTCTCACCTCTCCCAAGCCTTTCCGAGCTCCACCCTGATTTGAACTGCTGCTGCGAACAGATCCCGTACGCACTCCCACATGACCGTTGTTTGTTCCTACTGCCTGAATTCCCCGATGGATTTCCCTGGCCATGCTCGTGGATCGCTTCCACCCAGTGATTGACCTGAAAATACCTCGAGTGCCTCGTTGTGGCTTTGGGAGGGAGGTATCTGCACTCACCGAGTTACGAGATTTTGTAGTTTAACATTCATACCAGGATTTAGTGCTGCTCGTGTAGGTACCTTCAGATCGCCGAGTTCGGACTTTGTTAGATCACAAATCGTGGTGAGAGTTTCAAACGGAAGAACTACTTCGTCATGGCGGATGTCAGCGCGAGCTCGCACCGATCCAAGGCGGAAAGCGATGAGATTTCCAGTCTTTTCAATATGGAGTCCGTTCCTCTGGAAACAGCTGGCATAGTGGCTGGCGGCCCTCCGTCAGATCCTAGCGGAAAGGCTGAAACAGTGGTTCCGCTTCTCCCGGTCAGCAGCGCTCCGAGTAACACTGCGGATCCGAGCACTCCGACGTCTGCCGTCGTTACAATGGCGACTTCCGAAGCCCCGCCAGTGTATAACACTCTCAATGGTAGGTGAAGGATCTCTACTATGCAGCCACATCACGTTGGTAATTTCGGGATTAGGGCGACCGCCTGTGCCGTCCTGATACGTATCATGTGCCTGGATTCGTCGGATTGCCGTCTTGATATGTGGTTTCTGACTGGTTTTTGCAGAACCCGTTATTGTCACCTTGAAACGAGACGTGTGGCGTGTGGTTCACAATCTCCGGAACGTGGTGTTGCCGATCGGACGAGGCGAAGGGGCCCACAGCTCCATCCGTGACTGGGACTTGTGGGGTCCTTTCTTCTTCATCATCTTCCTCGCCTTCATCCTCTCATCCTCGGCCTCTGAGAACAAGGTACGGGATCTGGCTTATTCAGGCTTTAGGATTCGAACAGTTTAAACAACCGCCATGTCGGCCCCCCGCCCCCGCTCTCCCCCCCCTCCCCCCCCCCCCCCTCTCTTTCCCCTTTCCCCTCCCTCCTCAGATAGCTCCTTCTCCATATATTAGCTAATTTATAATGTTTGAATGCGGTGTTTGCACCACAATGGCGAATGAGGTTTGTTCAATAAAAAAGTGGTAATTTTGCAGTTACCCAAATGGGGTGGGAATCTGAAAAAGGGGAATTCGGGGAGTATGGAGAGGTTTGTAAGTACATTTTTGCTTGATGGGTCATGAGAGGAGTGTGTGCGTTTCTTCAAGTGGTGGTCAGGGACTAACATTTACAAAGTGACAAATGCGTTATTTTGTTTGACTTCTCTTTCTGTTGCAGTCCAAGGTCTTTGCGGTGGTCTTCGGTGTTCTCTCCTCAGGGGCGATTATCCTCACTCTCAATGTGCTCCTTCTGGTATGCCCCTCACCCTTTCTATCTAGAACAATCTGTGTGCTGTGAATTTTCTATCTATAACAATCTTTGCAATTGCTGAATTCTTTGAACCCACTGGTTCCATTGCTGCTAGACCCTCCTTAATCAGGGTGTCCTGATTTCCACTCTTTGGGGGGTGCTCTACAGGGAGGGAGGATCATCTTCTTTCAGAGTCTCAGCGTGCTCGGCTACTGCCTCTTTCCACTTGACATCGGAGCCTTTGTTTGCCTATTTATCTACAGCAAGTGGATTAGATTCGCAGTTGTCACAGCCACCCTCGTTTGGAGCTCCTCTGCAGCCTACCCATTCGTGTCAGGCGCTGTGCCAGAACCTAGAAAGTTCCTAGCTGTATACCCAGTGTTCCTGCTGTACATTTCTGTAGCCTTCCTGGTTCTAGCAAATGATTAGGATAAGTGATTGCACTAACGTAGTGGGCAGATAACTTACATCTGCCTTTATTTGTCCCATACGTGTGACATACCATTTCTTTTAGAGAGGAGCTCCATTGTCCATTTGACCCCCATTACAGTTATTTCTCGTGGTACCTTCCACTCACGCAAAATACACCCCAAGTGTCGCAATTGTTTGGAGTTTCCGCCTTTACCGGGTATGACGAGATGTTTTCTCTCGACCAACATTTCTGGCTTTGAGGCCTTTCCTCAGAACTCCAACACGATAGATGAGAGAATTACTGTAGAACCATGTTCGGTGATTCCTTCTTACTCGCGTGGCCTCGAATTACTCGAGTGGCCACCAAAATTGGTGATAATTACTCCAGTGGCCACGCCAGGGGATTCCCGCACGCTTTTGTTTTCCCAGCGCATTACCCTACGGGGGTTTGTAGCTCCGAATGTTTGTCTTGGTTATTGCGCGATCATTTATATCAGAATTTTATGTTCGTGACCCCATATGACCGCGCCTGACTGGACGCGCATTGCCAAAAAAGGCACCACGCATATAATTGACCAATCATGCGCGGTCATTAAATCCTGCAAGTGAGCCAGCAGCAGGCGGGGAAAGGGGTCAAAGCAGCCGGGCCGCTTCCTGCCCATCCTCATGCGGCTCAAGCTTCCCATTCTCAAGCTTCCCATTCTCAAGCTTCCCATTCTCAAGCTTCCCATTCTCAAGCTTCCCATTCTCAAGCTTCCCATTCTCAAGCTTCCCATTCTCAAGCTTCCCATTCTCAAGCTTCCCCTTCTCAAGCTTCCCATTCTCAAGCTTCCCATTCTCAAGCTTCCCATTCTCAAGCTTCCCATTCTCAAGCTTCCCATTCTCAAGCTTCCCCTTCTCAAGCTTCCCATTCTCAAGCTTCCCATTCTCAAGCTTCCCATTCTCAAGCTTCCCCTTCTCAAGCTTCCCATTCTCAAGCTTCCCCTTCTCAAGCTTCCCATTCTCAAGTTTCCCCTTCTCAAGCTTCCCATTCTCAAGCTTCCCCTTCTCAAGCTTCCCCTTCCCAAGCTTCCCATTCTCAAGCTTCCCCTTCTCAAGCTTCCCATTCTCAAGCTTCCCATTCTCAAGCTTCCCATTCTCAAGCTTCCCCTTCTCAAGCTTCCCATTCTCAAGCTTCCCCTTCTCAAGCTTCCCATTCTCAAGCTTCCCCTTCTCAAGCTTCCCATTCTCAAGCTTCCCCTTCTCAAGCTTCCCCTTCTCAAGCTTCCCATTCTCAAGCTTCCCCTCCTCAAGCTTCCCCTTCTCAAGCTTCCCCTTCTCAAGCTTCCCATTCTCAAGCTTCCCATTCTCAAGCTTCCCCTTCTCAAGCTTCCCCTTCTCAAGCTTCCCATTCTCAAGCTTCCCCTTCTCAAGCTTCTCCTTCTCAAGCTTCCCCTTCTCAAGCTTCCCATTCTCAAGCTTCCCATTCTCAAGCTTCCCCTTCTCAAGCTTCCCCTTCTCAAGCTTCCCATTCTCAAGCTTCCCCTTCTCAAGCTTCCCCTTCTCAAGCTTCCCCTTCTCAAGCTTCCCCTTCTCAAGCTTCCCCTTCTCAAGCTTCCCCTTCTCAAGCTTCCCATTCTCAAGCTTCCCATTCTCAAGCTTCCCCTTCTCAAGCTTCCCCTTCTCAAGCTTCCCATTCTCAAGCTTCCCCTTCTCAAGCTTCCCCTTCTCAAGCTTCCCCTTCTCAAGCTTCCCCTTCTCAAGCTTCCCCTTCTCAAGCTTCCCCTTCTCAAGCTTCCCCTTCTCAAGCTTCCCCTTCTCAAGCTTCCCCTTCTCAAGCTTCCCCTTCTCAAGCTTCCCCTTCTCAAGCTTCCCCTTCTCAAGCTTCCCCTTCTCAAGCTTCCCCTTCTCAAGCTTCCCCTTCTCAAGCTTCCCCTTCTCAAGCTTCCCCTTCTCAAGCTTCCCCTTCTCAAGCTTCCCCTTCTCAAGCTTCCCCTTCTCAAGCTTCCCCTTCTCAAGCTTCCCCTTCTCAAGCTTCCCCTTCTCAAGCTTCCCCTTCTCAAGCTTCCCCTTCTCAAGCTTCCCCTTCTCAAGCTTCCCCTTCTCAAGCTTCCCCTTCTCAAGCTTCCCCTTCTCAAGCTTCCCCTTCTCAAGCTTCCCCTTCTCAAGCTTCCCATTCTCAAGCTTCCCCTTCTCAAGCTTCCCATTCTCAAGCTTCCCCTTCTCAAGCTTCCCCTTCTCAAGCTTCCCCTTCTCAAGCTTCCCATTCTCAAGCTTCCCATTCTCAAGCTTCCCCTTCTCAAGCTTCCCCTTCTCAAGCTTCCCATTCTCAAGCTTCCCCTTCTCAAGCTTCCCCTTCTCAAGCTTCCCCTTCTCAAGCTTCCCCTTCTCAAGCTTCCCATTCTCAAGCTTCCCCTTCTCAAGCTTCCCCTTCTCAAGCTTCCCATTCTCAAGCTTCCCCTTCTCAAGCTTCCCCTTCTCAAGCTTCCCCTTCTCAAGCTTCCCCTTCTCAAGCTTCCCCTTCTCAAGCTTCCCCTTCTCAAGCTTCCCCTTCTCAAGCTTCCCCTTCTCAAGCTTCCCCTTCTCAAGCTTCCCCTTCTCAAGCTTCCCCTTCTCAAGCTTCCCCTTCTCAAGCTTCCCATTCTCAAGCTTCCCCTTCTCAAGCTTCCCCTTCTCAAGCTTCCCCTTCTCAAGCTTCCCCTTCTCAAGCTTCCCCTTCTCAAGCTTCCCCTTCTCAAGCTTCCCCTTCTCAAGCTTCCCCTTCTCAAGCTTCCCCTTCTCAAGCTTCCCCTTCTCAAGCTTCCCCTTCTCAAGCTTCCCCTTCTCAAGCTTCCCCTTCTCAAGCTTCCCCTTCCCTTCTCAAGCTTCCCCTTCTCAAGCTTCCCCTTCTCAAGCTTCCCCTTCTCAAGCTTCCCCTTCTCAAGCTTCCCCTTCTCAAGCTTCCCCTTCTCAAGCTTCCCCTTCTCAAGCTTCCCTTCTCAAGCTTCCCCTTCTCAAGCTTCCCTTCTCAAGCTTCCCATTCTCAAGCTTCCCATTCTCAAGCTTCCCCTTCTCAAGCTTCCCCTTCTCAAGCTTCCCCTTCTCAAGCTTCCCATTCTCAAGCTTCCCCTTCTCAAGCTTCCCCTTCTCAAGCTTCCCATTCTCAAGCTTCCCCTTCTCAAGCTTCCCCTTCTCAAGCTTCCCCTTCTCAAGCTTCCCCTTCTCAAGCTTCCCCTTCTCAAGCTTCCCCTTCTCAAGCTTCCCCTTCTCAAGCTTCCCCTTCTCAAGCTTCCCCTTCTCAAGCTTCCCCTTCTCAAGCTTCCCCTTCTCAAGCTTCCCCTTCTCAAGCTTCCCCTTCTCAAGCTTCCCCTTCTCAAGCTTCCCCTTCTCAAGCTTCCCCTTCTCAAGCTTCCCCTTCTCAAGCTTCCCCTTCTCAAGCTTCCCCTTCTCAAGCTTCCCCTTCTCAAGCTTCCCTTCTCAAGCTTCCCCTTCTCAAGCTTCCCCTTCTCAAGCTTCCCCTTCTCAAGCTTCCCCTTCTCAAGCTTCCCCTTCTCAAGCTTCCCCTTCTCAAGCTTCCCCTTCTCAAGCTTCCCCTTCTCAAGCTTCCCCTTCTCAAGCTTCCCCTTCTCAAGCTTCCCCTTCTCAAGCTTCCCCTTCTCAAGCTTCCCCTTCTCAAGCTTCCCCTTCTCAAGCTTCCCCTTCTCAAGCTTCCCCTTCTCAAGCTTCCCCTTCTCAAGCTTCCCCTTCTCAAGCTTCCCCTTCTCAAGCTTCCCCTTCTCAAGCTTCCCCTTCTCAAGCTTCCCCTTCTCAAGCTTCCCCTTCTCAAGCTTCCCCTTCTCAAGCTTCCCCTTCTCAAGCTTCCCCTTCTCAAGCTTCCCCTTCTCAAGCTTCCCCTTCTCAAGCTTCCCCTTCTCAAGCTTCCCCTTCTCAAGCTTCCCCTTCTCAAGCTTCCCCTGTCTCAAGCTTCCCTTCTCAAGCTTCCCCTTCTCAAGCTTCCCCTTCTCAAGCTTCCCCTTCTCAAGCTTCCCCTTCTCAAGCTTCCCCTTCTCAAGCTTCCCCTTCTCAAGCTTCCCCTTCTCAAGCTTCCCCTTCTCAAGCTTCCCCTTCTCAAGCTTCCCCTTCTCAAGCTTCCCCTTCTCAAGCTTCCCCTTCTCAAGCTTCCCCTTCTCAAGCTTCCCCTTCTCAAGCTTCCCCTTCTCAAGCTTCCCCTTCTCAAGCTTCCCTTCTCAAGCTTCCCCTTCTCAAGCTTCCCCTTCTCAAGCTTCCCCTTCTCAAGCTTCCCCTTCTCAAGCTTCCCCTTCTCAAGCTTCTCCCCTTCTCAAGCTTCCCCTTCTCAAGCTTCCCCTTCTCAAGCTTCCCCTTCTCAAGCTTCCCCTTCTCAAGCTTCCCCTTCTCAAGCTGCCCCTTCTCAAGCTGCCCCCTTCTCAAGGCTGCCCTTCCCCTTCTCAAGCTTCCCCTTCTCAAGCTGCCCCTTCTCAAGCTGCCCCTTCTCAAGCTGCCCCTTCTCAAGCTTCCCCTTCTCAAGCTTCCCCTTCTCAAGCTTCCCCTTCTCAAGCTTCCCCTTCTCAAGCTTCCCCTTCTCAAGCTTCCCCTTCTCAAGCTTCCCCTTCTCAAGCTTCCCCTTCTCAAGCTTCCCCTTCTCAAGCTTCCCCTTCTCAAGCTTCCCCTTCTCAAGCTTCCCCTTCTCACGCTTCCCCTTCTCAAGCTTCCCCTTCTCAAGCTGCCCCTTCTCAAGCTTCCCCTTCTCAAGCTGCCCCTTCTCAAGCTGCCCCTTCTCAAGCTTCCCCTTCTCAAGCTGCCCCTTCTCAAGCTTCCCCTTCTCAAGCTGCCCCTTCTCAAGCTTCCTCTTCTCAAGCTGCCCCTTCTCAAGCTGCTCCTTACCCCCCGGCTGGCATTCGAGCTCTTCCCTCGAGCCCAGAGTCTGTGCATGTATCGGGGTTTCCTAAAGCGAGGGCAGTGGCAGGGCTGGGCGGCATGGAAGGACCAACGGTTGTGGCGGGAGCACGACGGCCGACGGTGAGAATGAGGGTCCAGGCGATTGACGCTTGTGGGGCTGAGGAAGAGCTACGAGGAGGAAGAGGGACAAGGGTGGGAGGATCAGAAGGGGTGGAGCAACAGCGGCTGGAGAGGATGGAGGAGGAGGGAGAAGAGGTGGAGGAGGAGGAGGAGGGACCAACGCTGGTGCTTCATCACATTCCCAAAGTGAGTCTGCTCGTTTAGCGAAAGGAAGTCATGCAGGTGCCTGTTTTCTGTTGCTGTGTGACTGGCGTTTTATGAGGTGCAATGCACCTCTCCATGAATGCCTCACTGGTACTGCTTCAGGTCTGGCTGATTCAATCCTTGTTCCCATGGTGTTCTTGCGTGCAGGACTTGACTGGTGTGGCGCGTGTTCGTGAGGGTGGTACAGGACAGGCAGGAGAAGGAGAGACAGGTGGTGCGGGAGCTGAAGCACCTGAGGCAAGCGAAGAGGAGGCGGCAGCAGCAGGCATGGCAGGGCAGGAAGGCGGGAAACCCAAGGCAGAGGCGGAGGAGAAGCGTGTAGTGGATGGGCGGGGTGAGAGGACATCCGAGGAGGAGCAGCTGTTGGTGGAGAAAGAGGTGCACGAGGAGGGGGTGCGGGTTGCAAGTGAGATGAAAAAGCTTGAGAAATTTATTGGTCGGACGATCCAAAGCCCTGCATCTCCCAGGCTGGAAGCAGAGCTACTGTGTGATCTTGTGGGGGTGACCCCCCCTCCTCCGCTATCCCCTCAGCCGCAGCTGCCCAGGCAGGCACGTGCGTCGAGGAAGCAGGCTGCGGAGGGGCAGCTGTGGGAAGTGCGCCGTGCGAGCCAGCTGTTGGAAGCAACCAAGGAGGAGCTTGGTGTTGCCTGAAGGCAAGCTTGCTTGGAGGCATATTTGTTTGATGGTTACAAGTGGTTTGATGGGCTGTGAGAAAATGCGATTTGAAGTGGATGATGTAGGCCTAAGCGGTTTTTTGGCAATAGCTCATTATCGTAGGTACAATGAGCCGATTGATAAATGTAGGGATGAAGGTGTTATGGTGGAACTTTTATGCCATGTACAATACACCGTTTGTAAATACGTTGCGATCATCTCATCAAATCCCTCAGCATCTGCATTGGAATTCTTCAGGCAGCAAAGAATAGGAACAAGGGGTGGAGCTAGATGATGCGAGCACAAACGCGGCAACCTTGGTAGTCCCCCATGGCCACTTTCAGGCAGCACTCCTAGTAGTCCGAACGACCATCCACTATCGTTCCCAGGCCCGCAGAGGATGGATCGCGCTGTGGGTTCCCTAAGAGCGGTACTTGCTCCGTTGACCACCCCTTCGCTCGCCGGCGAATTCAGCCTCGCGTATTCAATGTCTTCCTGCACCGCCGCCGTTGCCATCGTCTCCCTTCCTCCAGTTAATTCCATGCGAATCCCTCGCGAACGGACCCATCATCGAAGCCAACGGCGAGGTTGTAGAGTCAATCCGCGATGGTGGGATCAGCGTGTATCCGTGGAATCGCCAGGCAAGCAGGGTTACGGTGTAGGCCGGAATTTGGCAGTCCGTGCTAAGAATCTCGCATCCGACCCATACGGTAGGGAGGTTGAGAGTGTGCTTCTCTTCGGTGTTAGTGTTCTATCACATGCATAACCTCCTGCATTTTCCTCCCTCTGGTTCCATTAAAATCAGATGTGCTGTTGAATGACTGGAGCTGCTGCATGAATCCTCTTGTTACATGTCATCACGTAACAGGGTCTAACACCATTGCACGGCATGATACGCGTGAATGACGTGGTGCGACGTGGCATGGTATGGCTTTGCATGACATGGTCTCAAGCGTGACGTGGCATTGCATGCATGGTAACTTGCATGGCACTGGCATGGCACCGGCATGGCACCGACATGGCTCTGAAACTGGTTGCACCCATCAGTGTCATGCAGAGATGTTGGACCGGCATCTGGCATTCCGCACGGCAGCACCCAGCGACCTGCATCGCGTGCATTCCCTGGAAGAGGCCGGATACCCGGCTGACGAAGCAGCCTCCCTCGACTCCCTCACCTACCGCATCCACCAAGGTGCGTCTACCGAGATGTTTCCTCCGACTGCGCTCGTTTCACTTTGGTCTGGCTGATTGTCAGCTGTCTATCAAGTTAGAGCTTCTCTCGGACCTTTCCCCTCCCCTCCTTCCCTCCCCTTCCTCCCCTCCTCCCCTGCCTCCGTCCCTCTGTTTCCCTCTCTTCTGACACGTTCCGATTTCGCTTACTCCTTCCTGGCAAGCGCCCATAGTGGTGCACTGGTGTCGTGCAATCTAGGCTATTCTCGCCTCGCCTTCACCCAAAACTTTCCTCTCCCACCCCACTCCCTCCCAGCCAGCTCGGTGTTTCTGGTGGCGACACTTGGCAGCGAGCTAGTGGGGTTCGTATGCGGCACTCAGACGGCCAGGGACGAGCTGGACCATGCGTCAATGTTCACACATGACCCCCAAGGCAGTACGTTTATTTCCCACAAGCAGTATCTTTCCTCGCTTCCCTTGTTTTTTCAATAGCGAAGGACTATTGCATGCATTCTTCACATGCTTGGCGCTGATTTTACGTCTGTTTGCATGTGAAGCGTCTTCACTTTATCAATTGTGCACGATGCTCGTGTGCAGGGACCTTGTGCATTCACTCTGTGTGTGTGGGGCAAGAGTACCGTTGCCAAGGCATTGGTTTGCGTTTGTTGGAAGCGTACATCAAGCATGTTTCATCCATCGAACAACCAAGTTTGCAATCCATTCGACTATTGTGCAAGAAGGTAAGCATGACTGGCTTGTTTGTATATCTGTTCCTTTTTATTCCAGTCCCTTGTTTTCACTTCAAAACGGTAATTTTATCATTGGATTGGATGTGTGCAGCCACTGATAGGGTTCTATGAAAAAACTGGATTCTGCTTGGTGGGCCCTTCAAGTGTAGTTCACGGAAGGGACCTGTGGTTTGAGTGTTTGCATATCATTCAACGAAATTAATGTAAGTTGGGTGGGAGTGGAAATGTAGAATTACGTTTGCCCAGTTTTGCTGACAAGTTTCTGTTGTACATTTTCAAGGCGTGGCTTGTCAATAAACCGAAACTGCATTTATCGAAATCGCGAAATCAAGCAGCGAATGCGTGACCTCGTTGACTACGCGGCGATTTGGTTCTACGATGGTCCCAGCGACAGTTGTGGCAGTTCGCAACCGCAATTTCGCGAATCGCCTGCGAGCCGCGATTCAAGTCGCAGCGCTACCGCCGATCTGCGCCACATGGCATTTCGCATGCACCTCCTCTCACGAATTTCCTAATTTCCTTGGGAAATGATTTGTTCACATTCTCACCCACAAGAGAATCTCGCTCCTTGTGTCCTAGTCCCCAGTCAAAGCGGTTGCATGTCTCAAGGCTTTCGCACAACGGCGATTCACGTAGCAACCGTCTCGTGCTGACTCGGTTCCATTCGTGCCGAGCCGATCGACAGTCGACCTAGGAAAATTGTGAGGAAGTGTGAGTCGACAGTCGTCCCTGGAGCTGCGAATTGTCAAGCTGCTTCCTCCCAACAACTCCGAAGTCGACGACCAGTTCCAGCATCCCCCGTCTTATTTCACTTCAGAAGCTCCGTTAGTCGCGTTTTGACGTAGCTGAAGTATTTTTCTCGCATTTAGACTTGGTGACGCTGTAGTACTTGCTGCCTGCAAGGTCCTCGTTTCCGCCTCTGACACCATAACAACCGCTTTTTTTCTCCTCTAACCACGATTTAACTCCTCCAGCTACCCTCATTAGGACAGTTTTTCGCCTGCGCACAGCGAGAATGGCTGCAAGGAGCAGGCACCTCAACACGCTCCTGCTGATGCTGCCGCTGCTCGCCGTCGTATTAGTAGCTGGTAAAACGCCCGATGGTGGCAGTGCGGAGCAGCAGCTGCAGCATGATCACAGCGGTCTCGAGCCCACGTCCACAGCCCTCGCCCAACTGCGGGGAGGAGTGGCGAGCAGCGGCCGGCTCTTATCATCCCAATCGTCTCCACCTTTGCGGCCCTCCGTCGCCTCGGCCATCGACTCCTTGTCCCGCTCCCCTTCCCGCTCCCCTTCCCGCTCCCCTTCCCGCCCCTCTTCCCGCCCCACTTCCCTCCCCCCTTCCCGCTCCCCTTCCCCCGCCTCCCCCTGCTCCTCCGTCTGCCCCGGGGGCTATGAGTTTGAGCCTGTCGCCTCGGGCATAAAGGACGATCTGCTGGGCTCCGTGATTGTTCTCCTGGACGACGTGCCAGACGTAGACACAGACGCAGACACAGACACAGATACAGACACAGACACAGACACAGGCAGCGAGAGTGGGGCTGGCGAGGAGAGTGGTGAGGACGAGGATGATAGGGAGCTTGGGAACGGGCGCGGTGGAGGTGATGTGGAGGAGGTGGAGAAGGAGACTGAGAGGGATAACAGTTGGGCGGACGAGTTGATGGGACAGGGGAAAGGGCAGGAACAAGGGAAGGGGCAGGGACAAGGGCAGGGGCAGGGACAGGGGCAGGGGCAGGGGCAGGGGCAGGGCAAAGGACAGGGGCAGGTGAAGAAGCGGAGTTGCAAATGCGTGGAGCCATACCACGTGTCGCTGCTGTTCTCCTTCTGCCCCTCCAACATCACCCTCTCGCCCCGCCTCAACCCCGCCCTCTCCTCCCCACCCGGCCGCCCTGCCCCAGTTCCTCCATCATCCCCTTCCTCGTCCGGTTCCCCACCCGCGCCTGACAGGCGGGCGGCGGACGCTGGCACTGACAGCTTCTTCCCGTGGTTCAAACCCAAAGGACCCATTGGGCGCAACGACCCACCCCGGTCACAGCTAGACGAGGACGACGATGATCAGAGCGTTTCTTATCAGGGCGACAGGCAGGGAAGGGCAGGGCAGCAGGGGGGTGATGCAGCAGAGCGGGGAAATGCTCCTCCGGCAGCCATGCCTGCTAACCTGCCAGAGCTTGATTTCCATTGCCTGCCTCTGCTGCTCCCCTCCTCCCCGCCCCTCTCGAGGAACCCACCTGCCACTGAAGCAGTGCGGAATGCGACAACAGCAGCGGTGGCGACGCTGTTCGCCCCGCCCGCGCTCGCCCGCTTCGCAGGGAGCATCATGGTGCTGCTGGCGCTTAACATCGCCGCCACCGCCGTGGCAGTCACTCCCGGCGGCCTCACAGGCGTGGACCTTGCGATCTACCCCCGCCCGGGCTTCGACGGCTTCCTTCCCGATGAGGAACAGCAGCTCAAAACGCATCTCGTAGCCATCGGCCGGGGCGCGTATGACGTGGATGTGGGGCCGCGGGGTCCTGGTGCGGTGTGGAACGGTTCTGAGGGTTCCCAACACGGTACTGGTGGGTATTGGAGACGGGAAAAGGGTTCGGGAAGGGGGAATGGGAGTATGGGTGGTACCCCTCCTGGTGGTTCTTGGGCTGAGAAGATGCCTACCGGGCCTTCTCTCTTTGGGGTGTTCTTTCACGTGGGCGATGTTACGGTGCCGGCTCCCAACAGCAGCAGCAGCAGCAGCAACGTCACTGGCAACAACATTGCTGTAAACGACCCTGCTGCTGCTGAAGCTGGAGAATCCCCTGTGGACGGCTGGCCTGTCCCGAATGCGGATTCTTCCAGCAGCAATGCCACGAGCGCTGCTGATTCTGCCTCGCCTACCGGCCTCTCCACCCCTCTCATCGTAGCCATTGCTCTCGCTGCAGCTGCTGCTGCCGCCACTGCCGCCATTGCTGCTGTCCTGCTCTTCTGCCCCTCCTCCTGCTGCGGCGGCAGGAGGAAGCACCGCAGGAGTGACAGCGCGAGCAACGGCGGTGGCAAGGGTGGCGGGAAGCTGTTTGGGGCGAATCTGCGAGTGTTTGGAGGGAAGGGGCTCGATGGAGGGATGGTGAAGCTGAATGGTTTCCGCAAGGCGCTTGGAAGCAAAGGTACGGCCTGCGCAAGTGAGAATGAGGGATGCTTCTGAATGGCCAAGAATTCCGAATCTCCATAAACTTGACATACTCGTTCTTCTGGTGAGTTCAAATTGGTCAGAAGCAGCTGCTGCGTCACATAAGCCTGCTTAGTACTAAAACTTTATATAGAAATTCCCGTGCTGAAATTCCTTGGTGGGCGTGCACTTACATACATGAGCTTGTGCTCTTTTTGTTTTCCTCCATCATCCCCTTCCCACCCTTCCCACCATCCCCACATGCTCACCTCTCAGCCTTTGCTCGACTCATCCCTGATCCAGAAGCCATCCTCGCTACAGGCGCACTCGATATAAGCTACACCGCCATCGAAGCCGCCACGCACCGCTTCAGTGAGAAGAACCTTCTGGGAAGGGGCACGTTCGGGCGCGTGTATAAAGCTACACTTCCCAACGGCCTGAGGCTTGCGATCAAGCGGCTCGACCTGTTCGTTGCTGGGGGGGACGTTGGGCGAGGGGGAGGGACAGGAGGTGGGAGAGTGGGAGGCCAAGCAGGGGTGTCCAGGGAAGCTGCCAGGAAGCTGTTCGTGCAGCAGGTGGGTGGTTTGTCTCTTGTGGTTCGTGTTATCCTTGGGCGTTTTGTGTTGTGCTTGCATGGGCGTTTAGAGGCACGTGTACAAGGCACTCTGCCCAATGGGCTGAGGCTCACCATTAAGAGGCTCGACCTGTTCGTCGCTCAAATCTCCCCTTTCCCACATCGCCATTCCTCTCCACTCTTCCACTGCGCCTTCCTTCCTTCCCCCACCCAAACAGGTAGAGGCACTCTCTCTTATACGCTGCCCGCACGTGGTGCCACTGCTGGGCTACTCCACAGATGGTGTCAGTGCCGTGCTTGCATATGAGTTGACGTGCTCTCACTCGTGCACTTTGTGCCCTCGCCCTTTCCCCCTCCCTCCCCTACTTCTTCTCTCCCTTCAGGTGGAGGCATTATCTCTCATGCGCTGCCCGCACGTGGTGCCGCTGCTCGGCTACTCCACGGATGGCGTCAGTGCCGTGCTGGCGTATGAGTTTGTGCCCAATGGTAGCCTGCACGACCACCTGCATGGTACGTGCTGTGTGGAGGAGCTGTGTGGTGCTGTGGGGTGCTGCCCGGCTGTGACATTGCGCTGCATACTCCCTCCATGCATGCTGTCAGTGCCGTGCTGGCGTATGAGTTTGTGCCCAACGGCAGCCTGCACGACCACCTGCATGGTACGTGCTGTGCTGTGCTGTGTGGTGCTGTGCGGTGCTGTGCTGTGCTGTGACGTTCTGCCCGGGTGCTTCGTGCCAGGCGCTTACTCCCCTGGATGCTGACTGCCTGTGCTGTGCTTACCAGCAGCCCATGCTGGTTAGCATGAAGAGTCTTCATCACACACATACCCATAGCATCTCGTTCTCCTCTGCCCCCTCTGCCCCTCCAAACCCTCTGCCCAATCTCGCCCATGGCAGGCTCGGGTCGGCTGGACTGGGCGCACAGGGTGAAGATCGCTGTTGCTGTGGCCAGGGGCCTGCAGAGCCTGCACCAGCGCCTGGTCCCCATCGGCCCCGCCTGCCCTCTCGCCCACCCCCATGAAGACAGTGCCTCCCGGGACCCGTCCCACGAGCGCCCAGCAGCAGCAACCGGCCAATCAGCTTCATCCACCTCACCTTACACCACGAACCCCGGCTACAGCTCCAACACTGCCCGCCTCACCCCCACCGATGCCTCTTCTGACTCGCTTCAGAGTGGTGCCAGTGGTGCCTTTGCCTCCCCCCACAGCTCCCTGCCCTCGTCCCTGAGTGGCTCCCCTCACAAGCTGGACACGCTGCAGGAGAGCCCGCTGGAGGGCGAGGGGGACGGGGACGGGGAGGGTTATGGGGAAGGGGAGGAGGAGTTTCTTGTCTCTGTGGGTCACGGGAATGGGTGTGGTGACAGCGATAGCTACAGCAGCAGTGGGGAGTTTGAGAGCGGGGTGGGGAGTGGAGTTGGCGGGATGGGGATGGGTGGGGAAGGGGAGGAGGAGGGCGAAGGGGAGGGCGTGGGGGGGAGGGAGGAGGTGGTGGTGAGGGATGGGAGGCGGTGGGTGCGGGCGGTGCATGCGAACCTCAAGAGCGCCAACGTCCTGCTTGACAACTCGGGGAATGCCAAGGTGAGTTGTTGAGACATCTCGAAATTGAATGTGAGTGGTGGGTGTAGACGGTGTGTGCGGGTGGTGGGTGCGGGCGGTGCATGCGCCAACGTGCTGCTTGATAACTCGGGGAATGCCAAGGTCACTTTTTGAGTCATCTCAAAAGTAGGTGCGGGCGGTGGGTGTGAGTGGTGGGTGTGATTGGTGGGTGTGGGTGGTGGGTGTGAGTGGTGGGTGTGGGTGGTGGGTGTGATTGGTGGGTGTGAACGGTGGGTGTGAGCGGTGGGTGTGAGCGGTGGGTGTGAACGGTGGGTGTGAGCGGTGGGTGTGAGCGGTGCATGCGAACCTCAAGAGCGCCAATGTGCTGCTTGACAACTCGGGGAACGCTAAGGTCAGTTTCTGAGACGTCTCAAAAGTGGGTGTGGGCAGTGGATGCTGGCAATGGGTGTGGGCAGTGCGTGTCGGCAGTGCGTGTGGGCGGTGGGTGTGTGCGTCTCCCCCTCCCCTTTCCCCTCCTCACCTCCCCATCTTCCTTCCCCTCCTCCCCATCCTCCCCCCTCTGCTCCCCTCCTCCCTATCCTCCCCCCTCTGCTCCCCTCCCCTCCCGCCTGACCGGAGACGCTCTTCCCACCAGGCGGGGTGGCAGAGTCACCGGCACCTTCGAGTACCTCGCTCGTCAACGCGTGTCCTCTTCCCTCCCCATCCCTCTCCCCTTGCCCCCCTCCCCACTGCCCCTTGCAGGTCACGGACTACTGCCTCTCGCGCCTGGCAGAGGACGCTTTCCACACCAGGCGACGATGCTCTTTCTGACAACAACCCCCTCTTTGCCAGTCCCCCCTCACCCTCCCCTTCCGCCTCTCCCCTGCCCTTACTTCCCCCTTGCAGGTGACGGACTATTGTCTCTCGCGCCTGGCAGAGGACGCTCTTCCCACCAGGCGGGGTGGCAGAGGCACGGGCACTTCTGGGTACCACACTCATCAACGCGTGTCCTCTTTCTCTCCCCCTCCCTCTCAACCTCCCCCTCCCCTTCCCCCCTTGGCTTCCCGCAGGTGACGGACTATTGTCTCTCTCGCCTGGCGGAGGACGTTCTTCCTCTCTGTCTCCCCCTCCATATCCTCACCCTCCCCCTCCCCTTCCCCCTTGGCTTCTTGCAGGTGACGGACTACTGTCTCTCGCGCCTGGCAGAGGACGCTCTTCCCACCAGGCGGGGCGGTAGAGCCACGGGCACGTTCGGGTACCTCGCTCCAGAGTAGGTGCTTGCAACAAGAAGAGGGGGGGGGACTTGAGTGGTTTGGGAGGACTTGAGTGTGGTAGTCATGGGTGTGGATACCCGATGTGGAAGTTTTATGTTGAGACTTTTTTCCTAATTCGTGTCCCAACTGCACCTGTACTTTCTCTGCTTCATGTGTTTTGTGTCCGGTGCAGAGGGGTGCTGTTCGGTGTGAACACGCAGCGCAGCGATGTGTACAGCTTTGGAGTGATCCTGCTGGAGCTCATCACAGGGCGGCGCCCCATCGACCTCTCCAAGCGACCCGACGAGCAGTCCCTCGTCTCGTGGGTGCGTTTACCTTTCTTGATGAGTGTGTTCCGATGTATTCATTAAAGAAAAGGTTCCACTCTGTTATGGTCTGATTCTGAGTCGACTTAGATTCCCTCACTTGTGTGCTAATTCATCCGGCTGCTAAACGCGCCCTTTGCTTCCCTCCTGCCTCCACCATCGCCCCTTCCAATAATGTCCCTATTATGCCACTGTCATGCCATGCATGTCACTCCCCACCCATACAAATGCGCATGTCCCCAAGCACCCATCTCGCTTGCATTTCTCCCCACCCGCCCCACCACACCAGGCCGTGCCGCTCATCGACAGGGGCGAGCCGCTCGCCATCGCGGACCTCGCTAAGCAAATTTTCGAGTTATTAATAAAGAAAAACAAAATCCCATGGCTCCATCCCCCTTGTCACACCAGGCTGTGCCGCTCATCGACAGGGATGAGACGCTCGCCATTGCTGACCCTGCCTTGCGGAACCGCTTTCCACCAACCAGCTTCCACCACCTGGCCACTGTCGCGGCAGTGTGCGTGCAATCCGAGCCGTCCTTCCGGCCAACGATGACGCAAGTCCTTGGATCGCTGGTCCCTCTCATTGACCTCGCCGAGCAGTGGAAGAGCCAGGGGAAGCCTCATGCTGGGCCTCTCAAGTCCGCTTCTCCGCCCTCATCCGGTTTGACGGAGAATGGTGAGCACGGTCCTGGTGGCTCACCTAGGCCGTCGTTTCCTATGGCGAAGTGCCTGATTTGCCATGAGCATCCACGTAACACGACCGTGCAGCCGTGCTCACACAATGTTACGTGCGAGCAGTGTGCGTCGCTGCTTGTGTCGCGGAAGAAGCAGTGCCCTTTGTGCCATCAGAAGATCGAGCGAGCTGTGACGAAGGGAGGAATGGTGTTTTCACGTAACTAGTATGACTAATATGCATCTGTAGATTAATTTGGTTTATCAAAGACCATTTGCAAAAAATCAAGTTCTTTACCATTTGTTTGACTACATGTAAGTGCAAGTTCCAAAGGTGTAATATTTCACAAGTGTACCTCCATATGTGATCGTGCCTGCGCCAGTCTCGGCGGCCCTGCTTGTCGTGAAGTACCCACTCGTTGTTATCGAGGCAACAAGAATGGCTGTTGCGTTGGTCGGTTTGGGGCGCCAGCCAATCATATTCGTGCCGAGCCACCTCAGCGGAGGTGAGTTTGCTGGCTGGGGCGCGGCGTGTCAGGTCTGCAAGCGACCGTCAAAACGGCTGCACCTCGAGCAATGTCAGCCGCACACCAAGCGCACGGCAACCAGCGCCTTCCACCACCCCTCAGTTGACGAAAATTTGCGACACCATTGCGAAGCACGCAACCAATTGGAGTGCCCTCCCGTGCCTCAACGACAAGGCTCACGTGCAGAAGCAGACGGACGGAACTTTCTGCTCCGTCAGTTTCTTGGGTCCCTCATGTCCGTCAATTCCCTGACCTTCCCCTGCTTGGTTCCCTCCGCCAGTCAGCCAACAGCCCTCGATAGTTCCCGTTTTGCTCTTCTTGTGGTTCTAATTCCTCCTGATTCAAGGCTACCTCTCCAATACAGTACGACACGTACCATAGATAAGGTAGCTCAGGTAGTTCCGAGGCCGGGGTTGCGGGGTAACCTTGAGATTCTTTACTCACCTGCCTCTCGTCCGCCATTGTTTCCTTGTGCATTAGACACGGTACTGTACTGGCGCTGAAGGCAGGTTCCTCTCCGCACTCCGACTAGCCGTTCTCAGCATCCCAGTCACAGTCAACGACGATACCAACTTTCTTTATCGTTCTGACAGTGACCAAAATCGTTCTAATCGCCCGCCTTTAAATAATCCGTCCGTCGCTTTCAGACTCGGAAATATATCCCGTGCCGACCTCTGTTGCTTAGAAAAAGGATCGATATTTCCCGAGCTGCTCGACTAGACAGCGGGCGTGCCAGGATTACAAATGGTAGTTCACCGGCCGAAACAGCACTGCAAGCAAGAGCTTCGAGAGCTCGACGTATTACCAGTTAGCACGTCGAAAAAGCACCACCACCACCATCACCACCACCATCACCACCAACAACAGCAGCAGGAGCAGCAGCAGCTGCAGACTTACCGGCAGGGCCACGCAAACGAGGCGGCAGACGGAAACGATAACGGCGACGACGATCCGCTGCCGGTGGGCGTGAGCGCGGTGGACAGGGCGTTCAACATGCTCCGCTGGTGCCCCGCCAGCGACCTCGAGCTCCGTTCCTGCGAATGCCGACTGCTGTCATTTGTTAGGTGCGAATACCGGGTCCCCGTGCAGTACGTGCGAAGGCAGGTGTGAGTACCAGGTTGTGGCGTGGGCGCGCTGGACAGGGCGTTCAACATGCTCCGCTCCCCCAACCGTCCTCTCGCCTCGCCTCCTCGCTCCTTCCCTCCCTCGGTCCGCCTCTCCTCAGACACTGGCATTATAAGCGAGGCATGCCTCCCATTGTTCAGTCTCTCGTACGCATCGTTACTGCGTGTAATGAAAGCAAACGGGTCTTTGTACGCGTAAGTCAACTTTACCCCTTCTTTCCACCCTCCCGCGTACCCCCGCGTCGCGCAGGACCCCGCATCGCGTGATCCAAATCGACATCGGCCACCCGCCGGCCGTCCGCAAGAAAGCCACCGTCTGGCCGTCAGACAACCCGCTGGAAGACACCCTGTCGTGGGGCTGGCAGAAGGCGGCGGAAACCGACGGCGGAAGCGGCGGCGGCGGAAGCGGCGGCGACGCGGCGGAGAACTGCTTCATCAACACGCTGGTGGTGGGGGCGACGACGTGCCGCGGCGACGGGCGCGGCGACGAGGAGGAGGTGAACGGGAAGCCGAACCTGGTGATGATCCACGGGTACGCCGCCGCGCTGGGGTTCTTCTTCCGCAACTACGATGCGCTGGCCGAGCACTTCAACGTCTACTCCATCGACCAGCTCGGGTGGGTGGCTCACGGGGAGTAGAGACGGATAGCAGAGAGGGGGAGCAGATATGAGGAAGCAGATAGGTAGGAAGCGGAAGAGAGAAGTGTGCGTTGGGCGTGCGTAGGCAAGAAGGGAAACGGTGTGCAATGTGGAGGGAAGGGCGTTGTGCGTGGTATGGGGAGGAGTGAGATGGAACATAGCAGTGGCGAAAGGATCAAGCATGTGCTGTCGCTAGCTAGCCCTTGTTGCTTGGCTTGGTACGAGCGATGCAATCAATCCAATCAATGCAATCAAAGCACCTCTCCCATTCCCGTGTGGCTGCATGGCATGGCATGGCATGGCATGGCATGGCATGGCATGGCATGGCATGGCAGGTGGGGAGCATCTAGTCGCCCCACGTTCACGCCCGCGTCTCCTGAAGGTACAGCATCAGTAAGGCGCAACTTCTCTTTGCTGCCGCGGTTTCTTTTGAGGTTAGACCAAACCTTGCTGCTGCTTTGTGTATGAGGCTCGTGAGATCGTTGCACTCGTGGGAGTTGCTCGTCGTGCACTCTGCTATTGTTGATTGATTTACTGCCATGCATGGACACGCGCTTGCGTTCGTTCATGCCACGCTCGGTTGCATTGCATCCCTAAATCTCCCCGTCCTTCCCCCACCTTCATTCCCCCCCTCATTCCTCCCTCACCTCGCACTTCCCCCCTCACTCTCCCTTTCATTCCCCATCATCCCCCTCTCACGCCCCCTCCCGCTCTCCCCATAACTCTCTCCTCAACCCCCCTCACCCCCCTGTGTGTACGACCCACCATCGGCGGAGACATGGTTCGTGGAGGCGCTGGAGGCGTGGCAGAGGGAGATGGGGTTCAACCGCTCACGCGCCTCACACCCGCCTCACTCCCCCCTCACTCCTCCCCTCAACCCCCCCCCCCCCTCGCTCCCCCTCACCCCCCTGTGCGCGCAGAGGCGGAGACATGGTTCGTGGAGGCACTGGAGGCGTGGCGGAAGGAGATGGGGCTGCGGCGCTTTGTGCTGCTCGGCCACTCCTTTGGGGGCTTCGTCGCCTCAAGATACGCGCTCAAGGTGGGTGCCCTCACACCTGCCGCTGATCCCATGGGAACCGACCCTAAGCGCCTTTTGAGGCGCTTTTGAAACTGGCTTAAATCGCCTCACTAGGTTGAGTGGCGATGTGTATTTGAGATGTGCTCTCAGCATGGCGCTCTGTTCTGGGGGTGAGGGCTCCATGCTCCGTACTTGATGGTAGCTGTACGTCACGGGCTGGTTACCATCGGCTTGTCACTACCTCTCATTCCTTACTTCCTCCCCCACGTTGCCTCCCCCCACTCTGCCTCCCCCCACTCTCTCCCCCCACTCTGCCTCTCCCCATGCTGCCTCCACTTATGGTGCCTCCCCTCCCTACCTGCCCTGCGGCCTCCCTCCCCTCCCTACCGCCCCCCCAACAGTACCCATCCCGAGTGCTCCATCTGGTGCTGGTGGGCCCAGCGGGCTTCAGCCACGAGTCAGCCAAGATGCAGCACTTCCGCTCCACGTGGAAGGGCTTTGCGTTCCAGTGCTACTGGGACACCAACATCCCGCCGCAGCAGTTCATTCGGTACGTTCCCTCCCATCATGGCACTCAGACAACCTCACGTGGAAGGGCTTTGCCTTCCAGTGCTACTGGGACACCAACATCCCGCCGCAGCAGTTCATTCGGTACGTTCCCTCCCATCATGGCACTCAGACAACCTCACGTGGAAGGGCTTTGCCTTCCAGTGCTACTGGGACACCAACATCCCGCCGCAGCAGTTCATTCGGTACGTTCCCTCCCATCATGGCACTCAGACAACCTCACGTGGAAGGGCTTTGCCTTCCAGTGCTACTGGGACACCAACATCCCGCCGCAGCAGTTCATTCGGTACGTTCCCTCCCATCATGGCACTCAGACAACCTCACGTGGAAGGGCTTTGCCTTCCAGTGCTACTGGGACACCAACATCCCGCCGCAGCAGTTCATTCGGTACGTTCCCTCCCATCATGGCACTCAGACAACCTCACGTGGAAGGGCTTTGCCTTCCAGTGCTACTGGGACACCAACATCCCGCCGCAGCAGTTCATTCGGTACGTTCCCTCCCATCATGGCACTCAGACAACCTCACGTGGAAGGGCTTTGCGTTCCAGTGCTACTGGGACACCAACATCCCACCGCAGCAGTTCATTCGGTACGTTCCCTCCCATCATGGCACTCAGACAACCTCACGTGGAAGGGCTTTGCCTTCCAGTGCTACTGGGACACCAACATCCCGCCGCAGCAGTTCATTCGGTACGTTCCCTCCCATCATGGCACTCAGACAACCTCACGTGGAAGGGCTTTGCCTTCCAGTGCTACTGGGACACCAACATCCCGCCGCAGCAGTTCATTCGGTACGTTCCCTCCCATCATGGCACTCAGACAACCTCACGTGGAAGGGCTTTGCCTTCCAGTGCTACTGGGACACCAACATCCCACCGCAGCAGTTCATTCGGTACGTTCCCTCCCATCATGGCACTCAGACAACCTCACGTGGAAGGGCTTTGCCTTCCAGTGCTACTGGGACACCAACATCCCGCCGCAGCAGATTCGGTACGTTCCCTCCCATCATGACACTCAGACAACCTCACGTGGAAGGGCTTTGCCTTTCAGTGCTACTGGGACACCAACATCCCGCCGCAGCAGTTCATTCGGTACGTTCCCTCCCATCATGGCACTCAGACAACCTCACGTGGAAGGGCTTTGCCTTTCAGTGCTACTGGGACACCAACATCCCGCCGCAGCAGTTCATTCGGTACGTTCCCTCCCATCATGGCACTCAGACAACCTCACGTGGAAGGGCTTTGCCTTCCAGTGCTACTGGGACACCAACATCCCGCCGCAGCAGTTCATTCGGTACGTTCCCTCCCATCATGGCACTCAGACAACCTCACGTGGAAGGGCTTTGTCTTTCAGTGCTACTGGGGCACCAACATCCCGCCGCAGCAGTTCATTCGGTACGTTCCCTCCCATCATGGCACTCAGACAACCTCACGTGGAAGGGCTTTGCCTTCCAGTGCTACTGGGACACCAACATCCCGCCGCAGCAGTTCATTCGGTACGTTCCCTCCCATCATGGCACTCAGACAACCTCACGTGGAAGGGCTTTGCCTTCCAGTGCTACTGGGACACCAACATCCCGCCGCAGCAGTTCATTCGGTACGTTCCCTCCCATCATGGCACTCAGACAACCTCACGTGGAAGGGCTTTGTCTTCCAGTGCTACTGGGGCACCAACATCCCGCCGCAGCAGTTCATTCGGTACGTTCCCTCCCATCATGGCACTCAGACAACCTCACATGGAAGGGCTTTGTCTTTCAGTGCTACTGGGACACCAACATCCCGCCGCAGCAGTTCATTCGGTACGTTCCCTCCCATCATGGCACTCAGACAACCTCACGTGGAAGGGCTTTGCCTTCCAGTGCTACTGGGACACCAACATCCCGCCGCAGCAGTTCATTCGGTACGTTCCCTCCCATCATGGCACTCAGACAACCTCACGTGGAAGGGCTTTGCCTTCCAGTGCTACTGGGACACCAACATCCCGCCGCAGCAGTTCATTCGGTACGTTCCCTCCCATCATGGCACTCAGACAACCTCACGTGGAAGGGCTTTGCCTTCCAGTGCTACTGGGACACCAACATCCCGCCGCAGCAGTTCATTCGGTACGTTCCCTCCCATCATGGCACTCAGACAACCTCACGTGGAAGGGCTTTGCCTTCCAGTGCTACTGGGACACCAACATCCCGCCGCAGCAGATTCGGTACGTTCCCTCCCATCATGGCACTCAGACAACCTCACGTGGAAGGGCTTTGCCTTTCAGTGCTACTGGGACACCAACATCCCGCCGCAGCAGTTCATTCGGTACGTTCCCTCCCATCATGGCACTCAGACAACCTCACGTGGAAGGGCTTTGCCTTTCAGTGCTACTGGGACACCAACATCCCGCCGCAGCAGTTCATTCGGTACGTTCCCTCCCATCATGGCACTCAGACAACCTCACGTGGAAGGGCTTTGCCTTCCAGTGCTACTGGGACACCAACATCCCGCCGCAGCAGTTCATTCGGTACGTTCCCTCCCATCATGGCACTCAGACAACCTCACGTGGAAGGGCTTTGTCTTTCAGTGCTACTGGGGCACCAACATCCCGCCGCAGCAGTTCATTCGGTACGTTCCCTCCCATTATGGCACTCAGACAACCTCACGTGGAAGGGCTTTGCCTTCCAGTGCTACTGGGACACCAACATCCCGCCGCAGCAGTTCATTCGGTACGTTCCCTCCCATCATGGCACTCAGACAACCTCACATGGAAGGGCTTTGCCTTCCAGTGCTACTGGGACACCAACATCCCGCCGCAGCAGTTCATTCGGTACGTTCCCTCCCATCATGGCACTCAGACAACCTCACGTGGAAGGGCTTTGCCTTCCAGTGCTACTGGGACACCAACATCCCGCCGCAGCAGTTCATTCGGTACGTTCCCTCCCATCATGGCACTCAGACAACCTCACGTGGAAGGGCTTTGCCTTCCAGTGCTACTGGGACACCAACATCCCGCCGCAGCAGTTCATTCGGTACGTTCCCTCCCATCATGGCACTCAGACAACCTCACGTGGAAGGGCTTTGCCTTCCAGTGCTACTGGGACACCAACATCCCGCCGCAGCAGTTCATTCGGTACGTTCCCTCCCATCATGGCACTCAGACAACCTCACGTGGAAGGGCTTTGTCTTCCAGTGCTACTGGGGCACCAACATCCCGCCGCAGCAGTTCATTCGGTACGTTCCCTCCCATCATGGCACTCAGACAACCTCACATGGAAGGGCTTTGCCTTCCAGTGCTACTGGGACACCCAACATCCCGCCGCAGCAGTTCATTCGGTACGTTCCCTCCCATCATGGCACTCAGACAACCTCACGTGGAAGGGCTTTGCCTTCCAGTGCTACTGGGACACCAACATCCCGCCGCAGCAGTTCATTCGGTACGTTCCCTCCCATCATGGCACTCAGACAACCTCACGTGGAAGGGCTTTGTCTTTCAGTGCTACTGGGACACCAACATCCCGCCGCAGCAGTTCATTCGGTACGTTACCTCCCATCATGGCACTCAGACAACCTCACGTGGAAGGGCTTTGCCTTCCAGTGCTACTGGGACACCAACATCCCGCCGCAGCAGTTCATTCGGTACGTTCCCTCCCATCATGGCACTCAGACAACCTCACGTGGAAGGGCTTTGTCTTTCAGTGCTACTGGGACACCAACATCCCGCCGCAGCAGTTCATTCGGTACGTTCCCTCCCATCATGGCACTCAGACAACCTCACGTGGAAGGGCTTTGTCTTTCAGTGCTACTGGGACACCAACATCCCGCCGCAGCAGTTCATTCGGTACGTTCCCTCCTATCATGGCACTCAGACAACCTCACGTGGAAGGGCTTTGCCTTCCAGTGCTACTGGGACACCAACATCCCGCCGCAGCAGTTCATTCGGTACGTTCCCTCACATCATGGCACTCAGACAACCTCACGTGGAAGGGCTTTGCCTTCCAGTGCTACTGGGACACCAACATCCCGCCGCAGCAGTTCATTCGGTACGTTCCCTCCCATCATGGCACTCAGACAACCTCACGTGGAAGGGCTTTGCCTTCCAGTGCTACTGGGACACCAACATCCCGCCGCAGCAGTTCATTCGGTACGTTCCCTCCCATCATGGCACTCAGACAACCTCACGTGGAAGGGCTTTGTCTTTCAGTGCTACTGGGACACCAACATCCCGCCCCAGCAGTTCATTCGGTGCGCCCCAACCCCCTCCCTCCTCTCACCATAGCACTTGATTTTGTATGCATCCTCCCACTGTGGATGCTCACAGTACAGGCAAGGGAGCTACAACACATGCACCATGCGCCACCTCAGTCGAAATTCTCGATAACGAAAGAATTTTGGTGAATTCTGAAGAACAAAACAGATTATTTACCTTGTTCCCATCACCGTCGCCATCAGCGCCAGGTGGCTGGGTGTATGGAGTCGAGCCGTTGTGAAAATATTTTCAGTCGACTAATAGGTCACCCTTCCCTCTCCGTTCCCCCACAGGTGGCTGGGTCCCTGGAGTCGGGACATAGTGAAGAGCGCCACAGCACAGCGATGGTCTGATCTGCCACCACCACAAGAGAACATGACCCCCGAGCAAGTGGACGCCTTCTGTGGTACGCTCAGAATTCTCCCCTTGCAAATCGTTTTCCTCTCTCTTTTTCTTTCTTTCTTTTTTCTTTTCGTTTATTTTTCCGAAGGAAACTCGACACTTAGCTAATTGGTGCCTTGGGTGGTGGTATGTATGGTTGTGAGGACCATTGCCCATTTTCAGCGCTCATTTGTCGTGAGAGGTGGATGGACCTGCATTGATGTGCATCCATATACAGCTTCCCCTCTCCCTCCTCATCGCTCCTCCCCATCTCTCCGCCACCCGCCAGACTACATATACCACACGCTATCAGCGCCCGCCCATGAGTGGCGAGCAGTGCAACAGCCCATGACCTTCCCTCACGCCTTTCCCTCTTGTGTTTTTATTCCCCACTTCCCCCCAACCCGTTCTTGTGCTTTTATTTCCCTCTCTCCCCAACCCTCTCCCCTTCCCCCCTGCTTGCAGACTCCATATACCAGACGCTATCAGCGCCCATGAGTGGCGAGCAGTGCATGAAGCTCATCACCTTCCCTCGTGTGCTCTGATTCCCCTCTCTCTCCCCATACCCACGCCCCCATCCCCCCTCCTCCCCCCTGCCCAGACTACATATACCACATGCTATCAGCGCCCATGAGTGGCGAGCAGTGCAACAGTCCATGACCTTCCCTCACGCCTTTCCCTCTTGTGCCGTTACTCCCCACTCTGTCCCCAACCCCCTCCCCCCCCCCCCACCCCCCCCCCCCCCTCCCCCCTTTTCTCCCTCCATGCAGACTACATATACCAGACGCTATCAGCGCCCATGAGTGGCGAGCAGTGCATGAAGCTTCCCTCACACCTTTTTCTTGTGCTGTTATTCTCCTCTCTCCCCTTCCCCCCTGTGCCGCAGACTACATATACCAGACGCTCTCAGCGCCCATGAGTGGCGAGCAGTGCAACAGTCCATGATATTCCCTCACGCCTTTCCCTCTTGTGCCGTTATTCCCCACTCTGTCCCCAACCCACCCCACCCTCCCCCCCCCCCTTTTCCCCTTCCCCCTTCCCACCCCTGTGCCGCAGACTACATATACCAGACGCTATCAGCGCCCATGAGTGGCGAGCAGTGCATGAAATTCATCTTCTCCCTCGGAGCCTTCGCTCGCCGCCCGCTCATCGACAGGTGTGTGTGTGTGAGAGAGAGGGAGGGTGTTGCATGACACACGATTTCTTGCGTGAGGGTGGTGGGGGGGGCTTTGTGCTGGTTGGCTGTGGGTTGTTGCAGCGTGCTTCCTGTGTAGCGCATCCCCTTACGTGCTCTGACTGCCCGAGTCCTCTAAACAACCACTGCATGCTTGCCACTACATCCCTCAGCAATGTCAAACCCCCTTCCTGAATGGATTGGCGGTTTGCATGCTTGCTCCCGCGCCCATGTGTGTTTGTGCCCATGTGATGTGAACCGGTACGTGCCGGTGCAGTGCGGTGCACTGGAAGGCGCCGACAACGTTCATCTACGGGGAGCAGGACATCATGGACCATCGGGCGGGGTTGGCAGCGGCCAAGCAGATGCCAGTTCCGGCAGAGGTGTTCAACGTGCGCGAGGTATGTGCGCACGCGTGTGTGTCTCTCTGTGTCCTTATGGTGCCTTACTGGTTGTATAAGGCCAGTAAAACCAGGCACCGGGACACAGCCACATGAAATCTATGATAAAGGGCCCCATGTACCGTAAACGCACGTGAGAGGTGCTCCCTTTGGAAAGCACATCACATGCAGATGCTTGCTTTCAAGTCCCTGGCTGCTGTAGATGACTCTTTAACACTCAACCTGCCGTGCTCGTCTCTCCTCTCCACCATACCCTTGCACATATCTCCAGGTTGGTCATATGCTATTTTTGGAAAAGCCTACCATTTTCAGGGATGCCATTCTGTATGCGTGCCGAGACATTCTCCCTGCAAGTTGCTCCACAGTGGATGCGGCATGGAAGCATGTGGAACCTCACCACATCCCCCTCACTACCTGCCATAAGATTCACCTCGATATGACATCAACGGTTCTGATTGCACCGCAAGGGAACAGTGGCGTGAGAAGATTAGCCAGCGGCTGGGGGATTGGTTGAGGGGAGGGTAAGTGAAGGGTGTTCCTTATGCTAATGGGGCTGCTTAGTCTTGGCTAATTGTTGAGTTGATATGATATGTGTACATTTCGGGCATTGTATGACCTGATTTTTCACCTCTAATTTACTTAGCAGGGAGGGTTGTCATTCTGTACGGTGTTTTGGTACCTGTCCAACTTTGTGCTACTAATGAAGTTGGGTTTTTCTCCTACCATGCTTGGCCTTTTGTCTCTCGTGCCCAAAACCCTCTCAAGCCAGCCACCAGTTTGTGGTCCCAATTATCTCAACCACTCATTCGGCTTCAGTACAAGCACAGTCCCCTATAACAAGCGTCCATTTCGATAGTAGCGATGTGGGTTTCGCGCTCGTCTGACACGCCGAGACAAACCCTAGGCGAACAGATTCGAGTCGTCAAATTCGGATTTCCAAGTTTGAACCCAGACTTGGCTCGAGGGGTCTGCCTTTCTACTCTCTCTGGTCCTCTCGTGCGATTGCTTCGTAACTCACGAGGTGTAAGCTTGCAAGTTTGTGACTGCTTGTTTTTCCATGGTCGTAAGCTTGCATTCAGTCTCCGAGTAAGCAAGCACAGGTGTTCGCGTGAGGAGCGCCTGTCGCCATCACTCCATTACATCCTGTCGCCTGTGAAACTGAGCGAAAAACGTATTTCTAGTACCGCACTTTGTTTATCCCCGAGTGGATCCATCTCGTTGTCTCCTTCGAGCTCTACTTGAGCTGGTGTGCTGCTGTCGGCCGGATTCTTTCGAGTTGCAGTTTACCATGAAATTTCGCTATCGCCTTCCTAGTGTGAGGTAGGCCTGATCGGTTGTAAGGGGGGCCGACCGGTCAATGCAGTTCCCACGGCAGTTGCGATACGATCGCGAGCCGCTCAGATAGGCCCGATAATGTGGGATCGGCCATGGAGGGGAACAAAGACGAAGCCGACTTTTGAGTCGAACCAAAGGTGATCGCGAGCCGTTCAGATAGGCGTTCAGATAGGCCCGCCCGATAATGTGGGATCGGACATGGAGGGGAACAAAGACGAAGCCCAGAAGGCGAAAGGCCTCGCCGAGACGAAGCTATTGGCCGGCGACGTCGAAGGAGCCCGGCGATTCTGGGAGAAGGCTCGTCGCATGTTCGCTACGCTCGACGGCCTTTCGCAGATGCAGGCCGTTCTCGACGTTCACGAAGCCGTCGCGAAGCGGTTACCCGGTGTCGGTCAAGGCGAGGTGGACTGGTACCTCGTTCTAGACGTTCCCGATTTCTGCGACGATGACGCTTTGATAAAGAAATCGTACCGAAAGAAAGCGTTGCTGCTGCATCCCGATAAGAACAAAGGCGCGGGGGCGGAGACCGCGTTTAAGTACGTCTCAGAAGCGTTCGGTTGCCTGTCCGACAAGGTCAAGAAGTCGCAGTTCGATCTAAGAAAGCGAGCCAGAGCAGCCATCGGAGCGCGCGGCGGGCACCACTCCGCCGCCGGCGCAGCCGCCGCCGCCGCCGCCGCCGCGAGTCGGCAGCACGCCGCGGCAAATCGGCAGCATGGGGGGAGCGGTCGGGGGCACGGAGCGGGAGGGGGAGGCAGCGGCGCAAAAGGTGGCGCAGCGGCGGGCGGAGCGACAGTTAAGCAGTTTTACACGCGGTGCCACCATTGCTGCGCGAGTCTGCTATGCAAGCAGGACTCGCGCGGGCAGATTGTGAAGTGCCTGCTGTGCGAAAAGATGTTCCTAGCTGTCGAAGTCGATCCTCCTGCCAAGGCAAAGCCGGCTGCTGCCAGTGGCGCTCCTGCTGGTGGTAAGGGGCGCGGGCAGCAGAAACAGCAGGAGCAGCAGCAGCGGCAGCAGCGGCATCAACAGCGGCAGCAGCAACGACAGCAGCAGCAGCAACAGCAGCAGCAACAGCAGCAGCCGCAACAGCAACAACAGCAACAGCAACAGCAACAGCAACAGCGGCAGCAGCCAGTGCCATTGCGGCCGGCCCCGCAGCCGCAGCCACCTCAGCCGCAACAACCACCACCACCGCCACCGCAGCAACAGCAACAGCAGCAACCGCAGTCGCAGCCGCAGCCGCAGCAGCAGCAGCAGCATCAGCAGCAGCAGCAACCATGGTGGCAACCGCAGGCGGGCGGGCAGCAGGGCGCGGCGGTGCCGCAGACGGAGAGCGAGCGGGCGAGCTTCATGAAGAACATGACGGAGAGCGAGCGCGCGGGTTTCATGAAGAACATGCACGCGCAGTTCTGCGCCGCCGGCATGATGGGGCGCGCGGGGCCCGCGGATCGATGGCAGCACCCGCCGCACCCCGCGCACCCGCCCCACGCTCCCAATGGCTTCTCTTCCGCTGCCGCCGCTGCTGCCGCCGCTGCCGCTGCAGCAGCAGGTGGTGCAGGTGGTGTTGGCGCAGGAAACGCCTCCGAAATTCCTGCGTTCGGTGTGCCTTCGTTCCCGCAGGCCGCAGCCTCGTTCGGAGGGCAGCCGGCAGGCTCGAACCAGCAGCAACAGCAGCAGCCGCCGCAGCCGCAGCAGCCACAGCCACAGCCGCAGCAACCCGGGCAGTCGAAGCAGCAGCAGGCACAGCAACAACAGCAGCAGCATTATCACAACCCGTTCTCCCAAGCTCCGGCTAGCCCCACACCAGACCACACCGCCCCACACCCTTCCCAACCCTTCGAGCAGCCTCCACACGCGCAGGCGCAGGCACAGGCACAGGGCAGCCTCTTCGAGCGCTTCTGCTCGCCAGGACCCGCAGCGACGGGGTTCCGCCAGGCGTTCGTGAACGACGTGTGGGGCAAGGTGCAGCGCGAGCGCATGGACGAGCAGGCGGAGGGGCGGCGGAAGGACCGCGAGCGGAAGGAGGCGGAGGTGGCGGAGCGGAAGCGCGTGGCGAAGGCGGGGAGGGAGGCGGAGAGGGAGCGGAAAAAGGCAGCGGCTGCTGAGAAGGCGGCGGCGGTTGCTGCGGCGGCTGTGGCGGCCATGGGGGCAGGCGCGGGGAGGGAAGGCGGAGGCAGGCAGCCGAAAGGGAAGGCGGGTGAGGCGGTGGGCGGAGAGGGAATGGGCGCACCTGGTGGAGGGGTGGGAGGGGCGGAAGACGCGGGAGGGGAAGGGCGGAGCACGAGAAAGAGACAGAGGGGGAAGGAGGATTTGCTGCCAGACGATATGTCTGCTGCCGTGCAAGCTGCCATGGCTGCCGCGCGCGCTGCTCTTGGGACTGGCGGGATGGATGGCGTGGGTGAACAGGGTGGGCACGAGGCGGAGGAGGAAATGGGGGAAGCGGGGAGAAGGGCGAAGAGGACTCGCAGGGAGGAGGAGCAGCCGACTGTTATCAATTTGGATTCAGACGGGCCTTCTGAAATGGAGGTGGATGGGGTAGAGGTGGGCGGGGTGGCAGGCACAGCAGCACCAGGGGCAGGAACAACAACGACGGCAGCAGCAGGGGCAGCAGCAGGAGCAGCGGGGGTCACAGTAGAGGTGGCGGCGGATGTACCAACAGGTGTGACTGCAGAGGTAGTTTCAGGCGCGGACGTGGCATCAGCAGCTGTAGCGAGCAGGGGGCGTGCTGCGAGTGCCCTCCCTGCTACAGCTGCTACAGCTGCCACAGCTGCCACAGCTGCTACAGCTGCTACAGCTGCCACAAATGCCTTCTCTGGCAGAGACACGAGGGCGGCGGCTCAGTCCCTGCGACAGGCGTCTCTCTTCGAAGTCATGGGGAACACGGCCCAGGGGGTGAACCCCGTCTCCTCCTCTGCTCCTGCTCCTGCTCCTGCTTCTGCGCATGCTCCTGCACCGGTTGGCACCGCTGGTTACCGCTTTAACGCGACAGCTGCAGCTGCGGGTCGCAACGGTCGGCCAAGTGTGCTCGACCCTGCAGCACCAGCGGCGGCTGCGGCGGCTGCTGCTGCGGTGAGGAGCAAGGAGGCGATTGGCGAGGGCGGAGGGGCTGCTTCTGCTGCTGCTGCCGCTGCGGCTGGTGCAAGTGCTGGTGTTGCGAATGGGTTGGCGGGTGAGACGAGCGGGCAAAAGGGAAAGTCGGAGGGGGAGGAGGAGGAGGAGGAGGAGGAGGAGGAGGAGGAGGAGGAGGAGGAGGAGGAGGAGGAGGAGGGAATGGAAGTGGCGGATCCGGATTTCTACTGCTTTGACAACGATCGTGAGGAGGAGAGTGTGCAAGAGGGGCAGGTACGTGGTTGTGTGGACAACAGGAGTCGGCATGAATGCCTGTCGTCATATTCATCCATGATACATGATATGATACACCCCCTCCCCTCCCCTCCCCTCCCACTCGCCCTCTTGACCTCCCCATTTTTCCCCATTCTTCCCCCCCTTCTCTTCTTCCCCTTCTCTCCCACCCAACCCAATCGGGACGGCTTGCCCCGTTTCTACGCGCTCGTGCACAAGGTCTCCCACCGCCCCGCCTTCAAATGCCGTCTGCAGTGGCTCACCCCCCTCCCCTCCCCCTTTTCCTCCCCCATCCCGTCACCAGGTGTGGGCTCTGTATGACGATCGGGATGGCTTTCCCCGTTTCTACGCGTTGGTGCACAAGGTCTCCCACGGCCCCACCCCTCTTCCTCCTGTTCTCCCCCCCTTCCCCTCTGCACCCCTTCCCCAGGTGTGGGCGCTGTATGACGATCGGGACGGCCTTCCGCGTTTCTACGCGCTGGTCCACAAGGTCTCCCACCGCCCCGCCTTCAAGTGCCGCCTGCAGTGGCTCACGCCCCTCCCCTCCTCCTCCCGCCGCTCCGCCTCCTCCCTCGTGCCCCCATGCGGGTGGTTCCGCCTGGTAACCCGAGCCAAGACAATGGACAGCATCAATGTGTTTGCATTCCGCATGCCAGGGGTGAATCTTCACCCGAACTTTCCTCTCGCTGTTTTTCCGCAGCCGGGGCAGGTCTGGGCGGTGTTTACTGACCGGGTGCTGCAGCAGCAGCGGCGGAACGGGACAGGTTCGGGGGGAGGTTTGGGGGTAGGATCGGGGGAGGGGTTGGAGAGGTATGATGTGGTGCATGTGGCTCGGGAAGGGGAGGTGAAGGGGGGTGTGGCAGCGGTGGTGGGGGCGGCGGGGCTGATTGGGTTGCCTGAGAGGCCGGAGGATGGGGTGAGAGGGCAGGTGGTGGTGTGGCTGCTGCGCCGCATGCAAGGATACACGAGCATCTTCCAGGTAATTTCCCTGACCTGCCTCCTACCTCTCTGTTGCGCATTTCAACTGCTGCCCCTGCTGCTGCCCCTGCTGCTGCTCCCCCTCGTGGCAATTTTTAAAGCCCGTCTTTGTTGCTTCCCATCCCGTTGTGCCCATGGCAGCGCACGAGTGAGTGCCTGGCAGTGGATGTAACAGTCTTCTCTCACCTCGTCCCCACGTACACCTGCAAGGGCAACGAGGCCGGCCCCAAGGGACTCCCTCCCCTCCCCTTCGTGGCAAATGTTAAAGCCCCTCTTTGTTGCTTCCCATCCCGCTGTGCCCATGGCAGCGCACGAGTGAGTGCCTGGCAGTGGATGTGACAGTCTTCTCTCACCTCGTGCCGACATACACCTGCAAGGGCAACGAGGCCAACTCAAAGGGACTCCCCTCCCCGCCTCGAGGAGCCATGGAGCTTGACCCGGCCGCCATCCCTCCCGTCATCTCACCCATTCACACTTGAAGGCTCGCGTGAACTGATTTTTTAGTCGACTCAAGGATTCAATGAGGCCAACTTCAAGGGACTCCCCTCCCCGCCTTGAGGAGCCATGGAGCTTGACCCGGCCGCCACCCTTCCCGTCATCTCACCCATTACACTTGAATTTTCGCAGGCTGTCTCTCTTGAGGCGTGGTAACTGCCACTAACTTTTGTCCCTTTATTTCGTGCCGGATACAGTCTTGTAAGTTACACCAATTCTTTTTAAATAAAACCATGGCAACGTATTGTTCTCAGGGTTTTGATATTTTCAACAAGTGCCTGTATAGTGACTTGAGAATTGAGATTTGAGATTCGAATTAGTCAAGAACTGATGTAGTACTGCAGAGGTTCTTGTGCTAACGTATGATGCTACTATCGATTCCCGCGAACCCACCTCGAAGACCACGGAGCACCGAAACCGCATACACCCTCACCAGCCCTCGCCGCGCCGCACCACGGCGCACCACAGCCAACCCACTCGCTCTGGATTGCCGAGGCCGGCTATGCTGGGCTCCCAGGCTTTTATCCGTTGTTTCCATTCCAGCGTACGTACAGTACGTGTCCGTCTGACGTTATCGTATGAACCATAGTCACGAGTCACGACCCGCCATAACAAGCCGAATTCGTTGCGAGCCTCCACTACTATGCTCCATGCTCGCATGAGAGCCTGACACGGAGCGTTTTCCTTTCTCCTCCTCACCTCCACGCGAACTTCATGCGAGGGTCTCTGTTCTGTTCGACCCAGCCGAGACCACGCAAAGTCGTCCCGCCAAGCCAGCAAGCCGCCATGATGCCATCATTCTTCAGAGCGCTTTCCGAACGCCATGGCGGCCATGCCGATACTAGCTGCGCTCGGGCCGCCATCGAGATGGCTTTCATGGGTCCGCTGAGACGTGTGCGCGGGCCCCACTACGCGCCGATTACCATTACATTCAATCAACCTCCCACGCGAGAAGGTCTCGCTGCGAGCCAGGAAGCTCCCATGCAGTCGTCGCGGCGTGAGTCGCGGTGGTGGCGGAAGCCACGTGCATTCACTCGACCGCGAACCGCCGATTCTATTGGCTCGCTGGACCCGAGGCTTCGCTCGTTCGTGCCACTCGTGCGACTCTGTGATGAGCTTTGTTTAGCCTCAGTTGGTGCGACACGTTCGACATGGAGACGCATAGCATATTACGAACCGATGATTGAGAATCCTAAAAAATCAGCTCGAAGCATAGCATAGCATGATAGCACCAAATTTGCCGCGGCACGCGTGGCATGACTCCCACCCCACGCGAGCCGATTCAGCACCCTCGCCGACTCGCCATATGGCGGCACGCTGAGATGATGGGAGCATGCTTAGTCCTGACATTGAGAGGCAGGAGGACCGAGGCAGTTACCGGCGAGCCCTGACATTTGAGAGGGGGGGAGGAAAGTCGACGCGGCAAGCAGCGGCGGGCTGGCGCGAGCCGTACGTCCTTCGCGGCGCTCCAGCGACAACGAATGGCGCCTCGAGCACAGCAGCGACGAGTCGCCGTCGCGCTCTCCCTCCCGCGCTACCGGCTGCTGCTCGCCGCGCTGCCGATTGACTGAAAGACCGACGGACGGACGGACGGACGGACGGATGGACGGAGCGAGTATAAGACGCCTCGCATCGTCGTGAAGCTGCTTCACGGCTGTCCTCGCGTTCTTTTCTTTCATCCCTTCGCTTCTCTCGTCGTGCGGGTTTCCGGCGCTTTCTTGTCCGTAACAACTGCGTTCTCGTTTGCGAGTCGCGAACACTATGGCGAAGCTCGCGGTGGTTGTGGCGGTGCTGGCGGCGCTGCTGGTGGGCGCCTTCGCGGAGGAGCAGGAATTTCTTCCCGGGCAGCCCAAGGAGAGTGTTCGGGGCAGCGGAGGGCGCGTGGAAACGTGGAGCGAAGATTTCAAGCAGCTGCAGGTGAGAGAACAAGAGTTCACCGGACCTTTCATCACTGCCTGTATATGTGAAAGCCTGCCTCTCCTCCTCTGATTCCTCCTTCCTCCCCTCTCCACGCTGACCTTCCCTGCTTCTGGTACCACGTCCCTCGTCTCACCTCGCCCCTCCCCTCCCCTCCCCCTCTGCGTGCCTCACATCTGACCTCTGCCTCTGCCCACCGCGTCTCCACAGGCAGCGGACGTGGGAGCAGCAATGATCACTGTGGAGAGCCAGTCGCTTTTTGAGGCGCCTGAAAACACATCTGACGCTCCCCCTGCCCCCTTGCTTGCATTCCGCATCGCCTTGCCCCCCCGCATCTCCTCCACAGGCAGGGGACGTGGGAGCAGCAATGATTACTGTGGAGGGCCAGGCTCCTTTGTCCGTTCCTTATCTGATTACATTCCTTACTTCGAACTGTCTTTTGGTGCCGCGTGCGCCTGTCGCCCTGCCCTCCCTGCGCCATCACAGGCAGCAGATGTGGGAGCAGCGATTATCACTGTGGAGAGCCAGTCGCTTGCACTGCCCTCCTACTCCGATTCCGCTCAGGTGAGTGTGCAACGGGCAGGTTTTTCCCACACTGACTGTGATTCCCCGCGTCCATCCATGTGTCAATCCTACCCTTTGTTTTTTCGTCATTCTGTCTACCTACGCACCGTATCCTACCTGCCTGCCTGCGGGTCACTCTCCTCTGCCATGCCCTGTGTCGCCAGGTGGGCTACGTGTTGAGCGGTGAGGCCATGGCGGGGCTCCTCAGCCCCATGGGAGCTCCTACCACTGTCAGGTACGTTGCCCCGTGTGATTTCTACAGTGACAGAATCTAAGCATTCTCGTCCCCCGTCCTTTAATGTGCTTGCTCGCTCGATCCCTCTTTCCGGTTTCCATTTTTCCCCACTGTAGGTGGCTGAGGGAGGGCGACGCGTTTGTGATCCCGAGGGGGTGGGCGCGCTGGGTGTGGAACAACGGTCAGCAGCCGCTTCGCGTCGTGTCACTCGCCGACACCTCCAAGGGCCCAGCTGCCGGCCGCTACACCGGGTTCCACCTCATGGGCGCACAGAAGGAGCGGTTTGGAGGGGTGCTGCACGGTTTCAGGTGCGTGCTCCATGCTCTGCTTTCTGTACTGCGCATGGTCACTCTCGCCGAGACGACACCTCCCAAGGGGCCTGCTGCCGGCCGCTACACCGGGTTCCACCTCATGGGCGCACAGAAGGAGCGGTTTGGAGGGGTGCTGCACGGCTTCAGGTGAATGCCCATGTGCACCTCAAGGCTGTTTTGAGAATTCTCACACCAGTTATGCAATGCCTTTGTGACGTTATTGTTCCAATTTTCAAGTCAATTTTGCTGCCTGCCACTTTCTAGTTTCTGATTCTCCCCCCACACCCCCTCGTACCCTTCAGCCGGGATCTGCTGGCACATGCATGGGACGTGGAGGAGAAGGATGTGCAGCAGCTGCTGGAGGGGCAGAAGGAAACCTCCTTCGTGAAGGTCACCCCTCAGCTGCAGGCAGAGCTAGAGCAGCTGGTTAACAAGCTTGAGCAGACCGAGTTGCTGGATGAGGAGGAGGAGATTGGGGAGGAGACTGAGGCATACGGGGAGAACGACCAGCCGCACTATGGCAAGGGAGCGGAGCACAGTGTGAGCATCTTTACGGATTTCACGTACAACCTCAAGACCCGCCAGCCGGACATCTACGTGAAGCGCGGTGGCACCGTGACTATGGCCAACGGGTACAAGCTGCCGGCGTTCCGCAAAGTGGGCTTTGCAGTGGCGCGCTTCAGCCTGGAGGGCAACGCCATGACGGCTCCCAGGTGGCTGGCGAATGCAGCGTCCATGCATCTCATCACGCGCGGCAAGGGGCGCGTGGAGATCACCTACCCCGACGGCAGGCAGGCGCTGCGACACGACGTGAAGGAGGGCGACTTCGTGGTCGTACCTGCTGGCTTCCCACACGCTGCTGTGAGTGGATAGGACACTCGCGTACTGCTTTACGTTGCCTCGTACAAAAGAGAAAATCTTGTTCTGATTCCCCGTCCCTTCCCTCCTCTCGTTTCTATGTGCAGCTCGCCTATGGTGAGGGTCTGGAGTGCGTCACAATGATTCCCAAGAGCCGCCCGCAGGCAGGGTTCCTGGCGGGGGCGAACTCGGTGTTGCGCATGCTGCCTGCCTCCGTGCAGCGCGCCGCCTTCAACGCTGATGAGAAGCTTCTGAAGAAGCTGCGCGCCACCCGACAGAGCGAGTTTGGCATCCTGCCGCCCAGGAAGAGCAAGGGAGAGGGGGAGGAGGAGATGCCGATGCTCATTGAGCAGGTGGTGGGCTTTTGAGAGGCTTTGCTAGTGTTGTGCGGGTATGATTAGGTTTTAGTACCACTACAATGTACATAGTTTGAGATCTGGTTGGCGTGGTTGACTCATGTGCTCTATATGAAGTGTTTTCGCAACAAGCTGGACTTGCTAAACAACACTAAAACTTACAGATAAAGTTGGATTCTTATGGCGATTTAACATTTTTTCCTAAACAACACGGGAAGGCAATAAAGATTGAATTTGGATTCTTATAGCGATAGTTTGGATTAGCGTGTTTGAAATGAGAATGGAGATTAATTACGGCGACGTGACGGACGAGGTGTGTCAGTTCCGCAGAGTGAGCAAGGTTACAGGAGTTTCCAGTCAGCAGCGTCGTAAAACCCATTCCGTTCAGAGACGAACGCTCTGATAGGCTTCTATCCAACTGAGTTTCATCAAACTTCGCTTGTGCGAATTTAGGCTTCGTGATGCTGCAATAACCGTTTTGCACGAGGCACACCAATGGACACCACCCTGCAACACAACCAGCTCGCGGTATTTTATAGGTTGCCTGCTGATTAGTTGCCCGTAGAACTATCTAGCGACAAAGCGATACGCACACAACTCCGACCAGACAGCAGCCTAACCGTCCTAAGTCCTTGAAAGCCGTTGTTCAGTAGGGCAACCACCATGTCGTTCGCGATTCGACTGCTGCATGTCGTTAGAATCGCAGATCGCCGGTTAACTGTCTTCCAAGCTCGACTGAGGGACTGGGGTGTGAGAAAAGCGTGGCTGATTCCGATCAGGCGAATCGCATGTAGTCGTTTGGTTTAACCGTCGATCGATCCATTCAGAGCATCGTCGCTGCCGCGCGGACTTCTATGCTCGTGTCGCTGTCGACTCCCATGGTTGTTGCAACGCAGATTGAGCCGCCGATCGAAATCTCTGCATCCCGACTGCACATCCGTTGGCGAGATCTGAGTTTCGCGGCAGCCGCTGGAGCGCTTAGCAAGACGGATTGGCGACCATTGGCATTTCGCACGCGTCCCACGTGTCCCACGTGTCGGCGAGATATGGAGCCTCGCAGATCTGCTGGAGTTCTCACTGCCGACCAACCATTGGCATCATGTCGATCTCCGGGTCCCACGGCAGCTCGCATTGTGCAGCAGCGGCCGCGCGAAGTGTCAGATTACAATTGTATCTCTAGGCTACAGTAGGGTCACTCCTTAGTGAGTACAACACTTTACGGTTAGGTTTCCTCTACTTGTACTCACCTCTTGCCTAGTTCAATCATTCATTCCTAGTTCTATTCTAGACATGTTATCAGAGTAGGAACCGTTCCTACATGGGCCCACCGTTCCGCCTAGTGGTAGCGCCACGCCCTACACAGTAGCCAGCGCGCTGGCGCCCCTAGCTCTCACTGTCGCGACCCTTGCAGCCCGTGCGCTGCCCCTGCGACCGCGCTGCCCCTGCAGCCGTGCTCGCCCCTACGACCGTGCTGCCCCTGCAGCCGTGCTCGCCCCTGCTACCGTGCTGCCCCTGTAGCCGCGCCTGCCCCTGTGGCCCGCGCGCTGCCCCTGCAGCCCGTACGTCGCTCCTGCAGCCCGTACGTCGCCCCTGCAGCCCGTTCACGCTGCTCCTGCAGCCCGTTCACGCTGCTCCTGCAGCCCGTTCACGCTGCCCCTGCAGCCCGTTCACGCTGCTCCTGCAGCCCGTTCACGCTGCCCCTGCAGCCCGTTTCACGCTGCCCCTGCAGCCCGTTCACGCTGCCCCTGCAGCCCGTTCACGCTGCCCCTGCAGCCCGTTCACGCTGCCCCTGCAGCCCGCGCGCAGACCTACCGAGCCGCGTGTCGCCTCTGCAGCCCGTCCGCGCGGCCCCTGCAGCCCGCGCGTCGCCCCTGGAGCCCGCGCGCCGCCTCTGCGGCCCGTTCGCGCCGCCCCTACAGCTCGCGCGCGGACCTGCCGAGCCGCGCGTCGCCTCTGCAGCCCGTCCGCGCGGCCCCTGCAGCCCGCGCGTCGCCCCTGGAGCCCGCACACCGCCCCACGAGTCGCGCGCTGCTGCCTAGCGCATCGCGCTTTGCTGCAGCCCGCGCGTCGCGCCCTAAGGCAGCCTCTCGCGTCACGCACTGCTGCAGCCTGCGCCAGCGCCCTGCCCTGCGCGCACTGGCGCCCTGCCCTGCGCCAGCGCCCTGCCCTGCGCCAGCGCCCTGCTAAACCCTAAATATAATTAAATTGTTTATTAAAAAAAAAAAAAAAAAAGGGGCCCTAGGTGCTTCTGCCCTAGGAGCTACTGCCTACTACTGCCCTGCTGTGGCCGCGCGCCGCCCTGCTCTGGCCGCGCGCCGCCCTGCTGCTGTTACTACTGCTGCTGCTGCTGCTACTCGTGCTACTGGGAGTGGTGGAGGTGCTGCTGGGAGTGCAGGAGGTGCTGCTGGCGCTGTAGGAGCTGGAGGTGCTGGACCTACTCCTGACCGTCACTGTCTGTCATGGCCACTTCCGCGGCAGTTGCTGCGGCCAGGGGTGTACAGCAGCGGGCACTGCTTCTCCCGGATGACCCCACCCCTCGGCAGCTTCGTGAGTGGGTTATTCAGCGAGGTCGTCCTGGTGGTGGAGGTTATCGTTCTTTTAGGACTGCTGCTCTAGGTGCTAGTGAGTCTGCTGCCGCTCCAGGTGCTAGTGAGTCTGTTGCAGCTCTAGGTGCCCGTGCGTCTACCGACGCTCTAGGTGCTAGTGCGTCTACTACCACAGGTCCTGCCTCAGATGAGGTCTTGCACACTTTCACGCTTGACTCAGGCGCGTCACGTTGCTTCTTTCGTGATTGCACCACAGTCACACCACTCACAGCACCTGTCCCAGTCTCACTGGCTGACCCCTCTGGGGGCCCAGTGGTTGCGAGAGCCTCCACGGTCCTCCCTTGTCTAGCAGTCCCCTCCGGCTCTTTGTCAGGTCTCCACCTCCCCACTTTCTCGACGAACTTGGTGAGCAACGCTGCCATTCAGGATGTCTAGGTTGATACCTTTATTCCTGGAGGGCAGCATGTGGCGATCTGTACGTGCTCCCGGACTGGCCGTCACCTGGCTACGTTCACTTGACAGCCTGGGTCTAGTCTGTACACACTGACCACTGCGTCTGCACAGGTGGCTGAGTCAGGTCAGGTAGCTGCGTCGAGTCGAGCGTCTGCGTCAGGGAAGTTAGCTGCGTCTTGCTCGTGCAGAGTACTCACGCACGAGACTCAGCGCTGGCACCACCATCTTGGTCACCCCTCCCTGCAGCGTCTGCGCGGCATGCACTCCCGGCTCCTGGTCTCTGGCCTCCCTGAGACCCTGCCCCCCCTCCCGCGCTCACTTGCGCCGCCGTGCCTTCCTTGCGTCGAGGGGCGGCAGCGCGCCGCTCCTCACTCCTCCGAGTTTCCTCCGACCACTGCTCCTCTGCAGACTCTCCACCTGGACGTGTGGGGTCCGGCCCCCGTCGGTGGGACGGACCAGGAGCGCTACTTCCTGCTGGTTGTTGATGACTACACACTACACCACAGTGTTCCCCTTGCGTCGCAAGGCGGACGTCAGCGGTGTTTTGATCCCCTGGATCCGTGCTACTCGTCTCCAGCTACACGAGCGCTTTCAGCAGGACTTCCCAGTCCTGCGTCTGCACTCTGACAGGGGTGGTGAGTTCTCTTCTGGCGTCCTTGAGAAGTTCTGCCAGGATGAGGGCATCGCCCAGTCGTTCACACTTCCGGCCTCTCCGCAGCAAAATGGGATCGCTGAGCGTCGCATTGGCCTGATCATGGAGGTTGCTCGTACCTCCATGATCCATGCGGCTGCTCCCCATTTCCTGTGGCCGTTTGCGGTCCGATACGCCGCGCATCAGCTCAACCTCTGGCCCCGTGTCTCTGCTCCAGAGACCTCGCCCACACTCCGTTGGACGGGACAGCCTGGTGATGCGTCGTCGTTTCGGGTCTGGGGCGCGCTCTCCCTTGTTCGCGATACTAAAGCGAGCAAGCTCTCTCCTCGCACTCTCCGCTGTGTCTTCCTGGGCTTCCCCACCGACGCCCCGCCCTGGCAGTTCTACCACCCTACCTCGCGTCGTGTTCTGTCCTCTCAGGACGTCACCTTCGACGAGTCGGTCTGTTACTACCGACTTCACCCGCACGCGTCCCACCCGGTCCCCCTTGCACCCCTCTTCCTGGTACCAGTCCCCCCCCCCGGTAGACCCCCTCCCCCCACAGGGTCCTGCTCCCTCAGGTGTGTCCCAGGTAGACCCACCCCCCTTGGATGAGCCAGTTCATATCTCTTCTGACTCCTCTATTTCACTTGAGGGGGGTGACGCCGTCGCCGACGACACGGCGACCACTCGCCGCACTCCTCGCTTGGCGACCCCCCCGGGTTTCCCGCCACGGCCGTCTTCGCCGCCTCCGCAGCCTGCTGCTGTGGACTCTGGAGCTGAGACTACTGGAGCAGGGACTGGGGGTGGTGAGTCTGGGGGTGCCCGCTCTCCTCGTCTGGCTACCCCCCCCGGGTTCCCACCTCAACCGTCTTCGCCGCCTCTGCAGCCTACTGCTGTGGACACTGGAGCAGAGACTGAGGGTGCTGGGACTGAGGGTGCTGGGACTGAGGGTACTGAGCCTGAGGGTGCTGGGACTGAGGGTGCTGAGACTGAGGGTGCTGAGACTGAGGGTGCTGGGACTGAGGGTGCTGGGACTGAGGGTACTGCGACTTTGGGTGCTGACTCTGGGGGTGCAGAGACTTCGGGTGCTGACTCTGGGGGTGCTGCGAGTCCTTCTGGAGGTCTTGGAGCTGGAGGTACTGGAGCTGCTGCTGGCGCTGGAGGTGCTGGAGCTGGAGGTACTAGAGGTGCTTCTGGTGCTGGAGGTGCTAGAGCTACCACTATTGGAGGTACTGGAGCTGGACAGCCACCGCAGCCTGCTCTACTTGAGTCGCTCTCGCCGCAGGCGATTCGTGCGAGGGTTGTTCTGCGAGGCAGTCCTGGTGGTGGAGGGTACGGTCCTGCTAGTGCTGGAGCTACTAGTCCAGGAGGTGCTGCTGGTGCAGGAGGTACTGGAGCTGCTGGTACTGGGGGTGCTGGAGCTGCTGCTGGTGCTGGAGGTACTGGAGCTGCTAGTACTGGAGGTGCTGCCGGTGCTGGAGGTACTGGAGCTGGAGGTACTGGAGCTGCTGGTGCTGGAGGTACTACTGCTACTGGAGGTGCTGGAGCTACTGGCACTGGAGGTGCTGGTACTGCTGGTGCTGGAGGCGTTGGAGCTGGAGGTACTGGAGGTGCTGGAGCTACTGGTACCGGAGGTGCTCGTACTGGAGGTGCTGGAGCTGCCGGAGCAGGTGGTAATGCTGGTGCTGGAGGTGCAGGAGGTGCTACTGGAGCTGGAGGCACTGGAGGTGCTAGAGGTACTACTGGTGCTCGAGGTGCTAGCACTGTCGGAGCTCGTGGTGCTGGAGGTGCTGGTGCTACTGGTGCTGGAGGTGTTGTTGGGGTTACTGGAGGAGCTGCTCGTGCTGGAGATACGGGAGCTACTGGTGCTCTTCGCCACCTTCTCAGTCTTCCGCCAGGTGCTACTGGCTTCCCTATGGCAGGTACTACTCCTCCGTTGCTGTGTCCCCCGGCGGACCAGTCACAGCCACTGCTGCTACCACACTCCCCACTGCCTGCTCCTGCTCCTTACACTGCGGTGTCAGAGTCCCTGACTGAGCGTCGAGAGCCTGAGACTCGTGCGTCCACCCCTGAGCGTCGAGAGCCTGTGTCTAGCTTTGACCTTGAGCCTGAGCCTAGAGCTGCTGTCCGTGCTCGTGTTCCTCGTGTTCGTCGTCAGCGTGCTCCGGCTGTCCCAGGCACTCACGATATGACACTCCGTCCTTCCTCTGTTCCTCAGCATGTTGCCCTACCGTTACCTCCTGCGTCCTCTCTGCCTGACGTTGCTGACCCTCCGTCTGACCTTGCTCGTGCGTCCAGTCCGACTGTTACTCGCCTTCTTGCTACGGTTATGACGGACCCTACGTTCTCGTCTCTTGCTGCGTCTGCCCTCGTAGCTGAGCTCGTTGACTTTGCTGCTGTGTACCGCCTAGACTACCTTGCGAGTCTTGTCTCTGACCCTGTCCCTGCCTGTCCTCCGTCCGTCGGGGGTGAGACTGCTCTTGGCTGTACTGCCCTTGGCTGTGACGTTCTTGAGGACAGACAGGAGGAGCTGGAGTGCCTTGCTGCCGCTTCACCCCATCACGCGACCATACTGCTTGCCCCTGAGGGAGACCCGGATGCACTTGACATCCCCACCCCGCGCTCCTACAGGGAGGCGATTTCGGGTGAGTACTCCTCTCAGTGGCAGACAGCCATGGACGCAGAGATGGCTTCCTGCAAGTCCACAGGCACCTACGTCGACGAGGTTCCCCCACCTGGGGCGAACATCGTCAGTGGCATGTGGATTTTCAGGGTGAAGCGGCCGCGGGTTCTCCGCCTGCCTTCAAGGCACGTTACGTTGCTCGAGGCTTCAATCAGCGCGAGGGGGTCGACTTCTTTCAGACCTTCTCCCCCACCCCGAAGATGACCACTCTTCGGGTGTTGCTACACGTTGCAGCTCAGCGTGACTACGAGCTGCACTCCCTCGACTTCTCGACAACTTTCTTGCAGGGTAGCCTTCACGAGGTCATCTGGTTGCGCCATCCACAGGGCTTCACTGGGTCGTTTCCTGAGGGTACCCAGTGGAGCCTACGGCGACCAGTGTACGGCCTGCGGCAGGCGCCCCGTGAGTGGCACGACACACTGAGACGACACTTGCGGCTCTTGGGTTTGCTCCTTCGACTGCTGACCCGTCGCTGTTTCTCCGCACCGACACTACTCTGCCGCCGTTCTACATCCTCGTGTACGTCGACGACTTGGTTTTTGCTACTGCTGACACTGAGGAACTGGCCCTAGTGAAGGCGGAGTTGCAGGAGAGACACACCTGCACTGACCTGGGCGAGCTGCGGAGCTATCTTGGCTTGCAGATCACCCGGGACAGACCACGGCGCACCATCACCCTCACTCAGTCACACATGGTGCACCAGGTCCTTCAGCGCTTCCGCTTCACGTACTCCTCGCCACAGCCCACTCCTCTGGCTACCGGCCACTCGCTCTCAGCTCCACCTTCGGACGAGTCCGTAGAGCCGAGTGGTCCGTACCCAGAGCTTGTGGGTTGCCTCATGTACCTGATGACGTGCACACGACCTGACCTCGCGTACCCTCTCAGCCTCCTGGCTCACTACGTGGCACCTGGTCGACACCGAAAGGTGCACTTTGATGTTGCGAAGAGGGTAATGCGCTACTTGTGCAGCACATCGGGCATGGGGCTCGTGCTTGGAGGACAGGGTTCGGTGGTCCTCACAGGACACTCTGACGCTTCTTGGGCCGACGACCAGACGACTCAGCGTTCGTCACAGGGTTACACCTTCAGTCTTGGCTCTGGTTCTGTCTCGTGGAGGTCCACTCGTTCTTCTTCTGTGCTTGGTTCCAGCTGTGAGGCCGAGATCTACGCTGGGGCCATGGCTGCACAGGAGCTACGCTGGGTGACCTACCTGCTGACCGACTTGGGGGAGCGGCCTCGTTCTCCTCCAGTTCTATACGTCGACAACAAGGCAATGCTTGCCTTGTGTCGCGAGCAGAGACTGGAGCACAGAACGAAGCACATTGCTCTTCGCTACTTCCTTGCGCGTGAGCTGCAGCAGCGTGGTCAGCTGCGCCTTGCTGACGTGGCCTCTCGGACCAACACTGCTGATTTGTTCACCAAGGCCCTTGGGTTTGGTGATCATCACCGTTTCTGCACTGCTCTTGGGCTTGTGCCCACTCTGCCTCACCTGTTGGTTGCTTGACTTGCTCTTGTTGTACACTGCTATATATCTTTATACCTGCATGTTTTCTCTTGCTAGGTTGTGATCAGTGTACTGCCTTGCTATTATATACCTCTGCATGTGAACTGGCCGTCTGGCCACTTGCTTGTGCTCGGAATGCGTGGTGACTTAGTGATCCACCCTGAGCTGTGTTCTCTTCTGCAGACTGGTCTTGTGACCGCTTGTTGTGTTTGCTGTCCCCTACTTTGCCTATGGGGGTGTGTCACATTACAATTGTATCTCTAGGCTACAGTAGGGTCACTCCTTAGTGAGTACAACACTTTAGGGTTAGGTTTCCTCTACTTGTACTCACCTCTTGCCTAGTTCAATCATTCATTCCTAGTTCTATTCTTGGCACGAAGCGGACATGCCGAGCGGGAATTCCAAGCGGGTGTGGGAAGAGAGAAGAAGCACGTTGGCAGTGGCGATGTGAGAGGAACGATTCCTGTAGGCAGCATGTCAGTCGACAGTGACTCTTGCCATGCCGTCCTGACTGCTCACCTCCTCTCCATTGCCGCTGCATTGATGGCTCCTCAACACACCAGCAGCTGCAGCAGGAAGGGTGATTCTTCCTCCGTGCCAGAGGAGAGAAACCCTCCCTTAGCATCATAAACGCACTGCATCTCACGGTCTAGCGCGACCTATAAAGCGGTCATAATGGCTACCATGAAGTCATCAGCTCGCCCATTGCTCCCTCTAAGCCTCTCACTAACCAATTCACTCGCCTCATCAACCCCCTCAAGCTTCTCACTTCTCACCCGTAATCTCCGCGCCTCTCCTCATGGCGACGGCTGGGATGCGCGTGCTGGTGCTGGCGGCGCTGGCGGTGGGACTGTTGGCGGCGGCGGTGAGTGGAGCGCGGGGCGCCATGAAGGTAGCCAGGGGCCTCGTCCCAACGGAGGGGGGCGCGCCTGGCGGGGCGGGCGCAGGGCAGCAGAGGAAGGGCGCGCGCATTCTGGCGGCTGAGACCTTCGCTCACCACGCCCCTCTGCCTGACTACCTCGACCACATCCCCCGCCGCCAGGCCCTCGCCACCTGTACGCGCAAATGCTACCCCTTCCCCTCATTCCCTACCTGCTTTGGCATTGCTGCTCCCCTTTTTCCCACCACTCCTGTTTGTAATTCCCTTGGCTCACATTTTTTTTCTGGTTTTCCTTGGCCCTGAATCCTCTGCTTTACCCCACTCCGATCTTCCACTTTCCCGTCTCCCCTCCCTCCTCCCAGCATGTGGGCGCACGACGGTGACGATCCGCTCGCAGTACCTGGGGCCGTACGACCTAAACTCACTCCTCTCCCCCCTCCCCCCCACACATCTCCTCCCCCCTTCCCAGCGTGCGGGCGCACAACAGTGACGATCCCCTCGCAGTACCTGGGGCCGTACGACCTGCACAACGACATCTACAACATGACTTTCTACAACGGCTGCGCCTACAACGTCACCAGCCCGCTGCGCGTATTTTATTGCTTCAACTTCGGCAACGTGTGGGAGGGCATCCTCGACAACCCCGATCCCAACCCCTCGCAGTACCAGCAAGGCGAAATCTTCGTGCAGACCACGCCGGGGTACTGTGAGATGTGCATGAACCGTGGTGCTAGCGGCACTCTGCAGATGCTCCCCGGGGAGACGGTGAACATTGTGTATGCGTACACGTGGGACTTCCGGCCCTGCGTGCAGGAGCTGCGCTTCGGCAACGGCAACAGCTACTCCATGACCAACACCACCGAGTGCCAGCTCGCCCAGGTCATTTAGAGACTCTCCATTGGCTCGCCCAGGTCATCTAGACTCTGGAGCGCCTCCTCTGTAGAGTGCCTCACTACCAGCTCAAAATATTATGAATTTTGAGAGAGGATATGAATGGATGGATGGCTTGCAGGGGAGGGGAGGGTAATAATGCATAGATAGCACGAGGATTTATGTCAACATTGTTGATGTGTGAGTTACTAGTATAATGAATATACCGTCATCACCCGGATATTAGACAGTGTTGAATAGAAGACAGGGGGTGTCTATTATCCGGGTATCTCTTATAAACGGGGTAGCCTCATTATAAGACACCTATTTGTGCGTAGGGGTTAGGGGCAAATGTATAACGAGGGGGTATCTTCTAAACGGTTCTTTGTCCATTTATAAGACTTATAAGACACCCTAAACCATCCCAAATACAAGACAACCCAAGCATTTTTTCCCGTGTATGAGATAAGACATATATGTCTTATATCCGGGCGATGACGCTACCGTATCTTTTGGACTCTAAAGAGTTACTGTAAAAGAAATTTGGACCATCTTTGCCTTTTTGGGCCAAAGAAAAGAATCCTGGAGATTGGTATCGAATGTGTTCTGTTTGCATGCCCATACTTCCCACTGTCCTCATTCCCATGCTCATTTTTCTGGAATGTTAATCTATTGTGAACCTTGCTCTGTAAGTTCACAAAAGTAACACTTTCAGCACTGTAGGCCAGACCTGCTAAGGTCAATGCCGGCCTCCTTGGCCATCTTATCGAGCCCCTTCCACTCGAGTGTCTTGATCGCCTTGGTGCTGAGCTTGAGGCGCACGTACCGCTGCCCCACCTCCCACGCTTGTACTGCAGGTTTGGCTGCTGCATGTTGGTGCGATGGTTCGGTATGGGTTGCTCCCCGCGATACAGACTGACCTAACAAATGTAAGGGCTAGAGTAGCACTTAACGAACTTTATATACGTTTGTTTTGTAATGGATAAATTTGGAGCGTTTCTACTATTGTGAACCTGCACCGCAACTGCACTGTAAGAATACAAAAATAATCGCTGCAGCAGTGTAGCCTTTTCAGAACTTGCTAAGGTCAATGCCGGCCTCCTTGGCCATCTTATCAAGCCCCTTCCACTCGAGTGTCTTGATCGCCTTGGTGCTGAGCTTGAGGCGCACGTACCGCTGCCCCTCCTCCCACCACACGCGCTTGTACTGCAGGTTCGGCTGCTGCACCTTCTTCGTGCGGTGGTTTGAGAATGAGACTGAGTAGCCGTTGTTGCGCCTCTTGCCTGTCAGGTCGCACACCCGCTCTGGGAAGTAGAAAGGGAAGGGGATGGTGGGACGCAAGGAAAGGGGAATAGAAGGAAGGAAAAGAGGGAGGGGGGAAGATGGTCGGAGAAGGAGGCTGAGTAGCAATTGTTGCGCCTCTTGCCTGTCAAGTCGCACACTCGCTCTGAGAAGTAGCAGGGGATGGGATGGTAGGGGCAGCAGGGGAGGGGGGAACGGAAAGGGGGACGCGGGAGAGACTGAGGCAGAGGTAAGGGGGAAGATGGTTGGAGAAGGGAATGAAGTCCCTGTCGTTGCGCCCCTTGCCTGTGAGGTTGCACACTTGCTGCGGGGGGAAGCGAGGCGCGATATGGCAAGGAAGGAAATGGCAAGGTGGGGGAGAAAACGGGAGTGCGTGTGGGAGGGGGAAGGGTTGAGGAAAAGGTAGGTGGAGAACGGCGGAGGAGCTAAGGGTGTTTGAAGCGCGTAGCAGCCATTGACTCGCCTCCTGCCTGTGAGATCGCACTCTCGTTGTGAAACGGGAAGCGGAGATGGAGAGCGGGTGGGAGAGAGTGGAACGTTGGGCTCACGAAGGGAACAGCGAGGGGAACACAAAGAAGAGGAGGGAGGCGGGAAGAAACGAGGGGCGAGTCAGGGTGGGAGGTTGGATGAACAGAGGGGGACGGGAGGTGGTACGGGGGGACGGGAGAAAATCGACGGTGGGGGAAGGGGAGTGGTGGGAGCGAGGCGGGCTGTGCGGAAGATAGGGGAAGACGACGTCAACACAATTGGAGAGAGTGTGAGGAGACGACGGCAGTCAGGCGACTGCTGCCACGCCAACTGAATTCACCCTTTCCAATTCCTCATATCCTCTCACTCTCTCATCTCACTCCCACTCCCTCATCTCCTCACATCCTCTCATCTCATTCCCACTCCCTCATCTCCTCACACTCTCATCTCCTCCCACTCCCTCATTTCCCCCCACCCTCTCAATTTGCCCCACCCTCTCATCTCCTCCAACCCTCTCATCTCCTTTCACCCCCCTTTGATTCCCTCCCTTAAGTTCTCTCCGTCTCCTGGACTGGCCTGCCTTCCCTCCCTCGTCTGCACCGTCCCCAACCCTCCTCCTCCTCGTCTACTCCACTTTCTCCTTCCCCATCGGTTGCTCACTCCTCCTCCCACTTCTTCCCATCGCTCTCACTCTTCCCAGTCTCATTCTCCATCTCTCACGAAACTTCCTCTGTCTTTCCTACTGCATCCTCCCCTCCTTCTTGGTCTGTTGTTACCCCCATCCACGCTCTTCAAATAACAGAGGGCGTGACAATGAACGCTTTCATCGGTGGCTTATCTGTACGTGCGCTTATGAATGAAGGCTTTCATCTTTTCCACTTTTAAAATGTGGCTTGCACGTGCGCCTTCAGAACGAACGAACGAAAAAAACTCAGCGTCGGGTTGTTATGAACGAGCTGCAGCTATCGGTACAAAATGTAGAGAACGCGTTTCAACAGGTTGATACCCGATATAGGGTTAGGATCAAATGCCGTCCATTGTCCACTCGAGCAGAGCAATAAGTGTGTCAGCGCTGCGTAGCAACGGTCGTTTTACTTAGATACCTGTTGACGAGGCGGAAACCGGCTGAATTACCAGCCAGCGAGAACAATGTGCTAAACCCGAGAATAAACCCTCGCCTAGTTCACCTACGACTAAAGCTGAAAACGACTTACTTGCGACTGGCGTGACGACGCGGCTAACCGCAGGTTGTGCGGACGAGCGGGAAACCGACATATTCGCAAGGCCTTGCGAAAGTCCCGCGAGCTCGCTTTGCGCGGAGCTGAGGCGGACCTGGGTTTTCCCCGCGAGCGGCGCTGCCGCGAGGCGAAGAGACGCGGAGGACGCGAGAGCCGCCATTGGAATCACAGCCTCACGTGGCCTAACGTGGCAGATTAACTACCGTTGTGCGGCTAAACGAGACTGAAAAGGGGAGACACTCAAATGGAAGTGGTACAGAAATAAAGTGCGTCTTACAGGAATCCACAGGTGCAGTCGCAATTCTCTAAGTTCTACGTTTCCACAGCTTTCACGTGGTGGAGCGGAGTTGTCGGACGGGGGAACAGTGGGCGGGGGAAGCTGGAAGCACGGGGGTAGGTTGGGGAAATTCGGGGGTGTTGGTGGGACTAAAAAGGGATCACGGAAAATAATAGAGGGAGCAGGCGGTGTGGGCATCGGTGGGGAGGGGTTAATTAGTTTGGCGAAAACTGAGTGCGGAAGCCGAGGGTGCGAACGAAGTTAGGCGCACGTGACATGTGGTTTGGCGACAGGTCAGGGGAAGGCAATTGTGGCGCGAAATGCGGTGACGTGGAAGTGACGGTGATGTGGCGGGTTATGGAACGAGTACAGCTCGAGGCCTATTATCCAGAATACAAACAATTCCCTAAGATGATTTCAATATAGTAACAGTACATGGCAAGGTGAGGTAAGATAATTTACATCCTACTGATAGTTGAAACCAGATTGTTCTGTTGAGCCTTGGCAGATGCGTCTTTCTCCAACCGCTCAACTCGGTCAGCTTCAACACACAAGTCTTGAAAGATTGATCGCATGCTGGTTGACATAATTCCATAAACATAGGGCACTGCATGAACCAGCAAAGATGAAACATACACGTGATAGTTATTCAAATGCAAAAGAGAAACTGAAGGAACGAACTATTGCACATGCAAAAAAATTTGCAGTCCCTTGTGAAACATGAATGAGAACTCACGAAGTGGTCGAGGGGGGACCATTGCAGGCTGAGACAACTGCCACATCTCAATCAAAGATCCACCGGACAAACTCCCAGTCTCTGCTCCTTCAGGCAGCCCAGAAGGGGCTTGTGCTTCAGCTGCCGCGGCAGCCGCCCCTGGAAGTGCTGCCGCCAGCGACTGAAGGAAGCTGGCCTTCAGGGCTACCTTGGAAGGCGGAGTAGATGGAGATGCAAGGGGCAACGGCTTGGGAGGACTCAGATCGTGGATAGTCCAGCCTCCTTTGAAAGCCTTCATAAAGCCAGGCTCAGCCCTGGTAAGAGTGAAGTGAAGCAGCAGCGAAACGAAAATAAGAGATGCGATTGGATAGGGGGACAGGATGCAGTGAGAGCAACATAGGGAGAAGAGAGTACAAAAGAAGAGAGAGAGGAATTGAAGAGAGAGAAGGGTGAAGGAATCTTTACAGTGTGAAATTGACTGATCTTGCAGCGTCATTTCGCTGGCAGATGAGTGTGGTGGCGAATGTGCCGGAGAGAAACAGGAACCGCCACTTGATGTGCTGTGTGACTCTAAAGGTGCCAGGCTCTTCCATGGGGTCCACGTCACAGTGGGCGATGTTCTTATATACACGTGGAGCATCCTCGAAGTTTCTGAGAAGGCAGTAGACGAGGGCAGGCGAGTAGCGTGTTCGCAAGGAGCCAAGGTTCTCAAACTCCTCCGGATTGTCGGGCTGCGAGCCGGAATAGGGAAGTAACAGGAGAAAGGGAAAGATTTGAGAGTGCAGATTCTTTATAGAAATTGCCACGAAGTTCTTCTGGAAGTGAAAGGAATAAGGTGCTCATGTTCGGCTGTGGCCAACAGGTTCTCCAGTGCGAGTTAACACAACGTATTTTGCATAACCAGACGCCTCTACTCTATCCCGCAATGATTGTCGCGCATGAGTCACCATTTGCCTGACTGAAATGCTCATGGGTGCGAGCAGGCCTGGGGTCTTCGCCACCTCCAGCTCGTCCTTCTCCTCCTGCGTTAACGGAGTCACACTGAAACGGGTACACGGAAACAGGGGGAGGGAGAGAGAGTTGGCGGGAATAGATGAGGCGGAGGGCAAAATAATCGACACGTCAGGAAAAACGATGCGCTGCACGCATGGCGGCCCCCACTTCGTGCGGCGGAGAAGCAGCGTTTTTATTAGCCGCAATAGTGACTGCTGCACGGACCGAGTGGCCCATTTCGGTTTGTCATGGGAATGATGGTGATGGACGTGGCTGTGTGCGCCGTGACTGAGGCCGTGACCATGGGTAGTACCACCACGTTCCTTGGCTGCTGTGAAGCCTCTCGAGCTCGCAGTTTCTTCTTTTGCCGCAGCTGCTGCAGTCGGGGAGCTCGACGGACTACCATTAGGTGATTTTTCGTGACGACCTCGCGCGGGAGCTCGCCTGGAGCGACGGTTGCTGTCAAACTCGCGAATCGTCGCAGCCTTCAGCATTGTCACGCGTTTTGGCTAATGTCGCCCGGAAAGGCCTTTTTAGGTTTCACATCCAAGCGAGTGGCAGACACTATGAGCTTCGTGCTTGCTGGATAACTTCCGTAGTTCTTGGAAGAGCTGGTTATAGCTGCAGTCGAAATTGGAAGGCGAAGTGGAAATTACTTGCTCGCTGTGTGGTGAGTACTGGGACCTGTGACATGTCACGGTGATCAAGCAGAGGTGAGACGGCTGGGAGTGGGCGGCATCTCACATATGAACTGTGTTCTCTCTCCACCTGCGGGATAAAGAACACGGGAGATTGGAAGAAAATGTTCTTTTACTGAACAGGTGGATCAGGATATTGTGTGACAAATAGGAGGTGTACTGAGCTTGCCGTGTACCTACTTCCCTTATACAACTCACACAGAATATAACAACAGTCACTTAGTGCCGTGTACCTAGCTTTTCGCTCCCCCTGCTCTGCCTTTTTCCTGGTTGTCCTGCCATGTCGTCGAAGCACCAAGTCCCGCGGGACAAGACTTGTGCTCGCGGTTCCAATCAAGCCATTCTGCATGATCGCCAACCACAGGGGAGGTGTCGAGCATGCACTGCAGCCGGGGTAGATTATCTCTCAGAGCTTCGCGTTGCCGAATGAACATGTGTGCTACTGCACTTGCATCTGACCTCGCTGGAAAGCTCGTGAGGTGACGGGCTCTTTCTCGATTCGCGAGAACCGGCATTGCGAAGAGGGCGATACCAGACATTAGGTCTGGTACCGAGCCAGAGAGACCGACTGCTCCGAAATGGACGTATGGCATCCGACGCGGGAGGATGAGGCCACTCGGAAATATCTCAAAAGCAGAGGAATTCGTTGTCTATTTGTTGTTGCTGGTTAATCACGCGAGCCTGAACGCTGCACGGCGTGCGCCTAGTCGCGATTAGTCTTGACGATACACGTCCGCCTTAGGAACGTTGGCGATCAGGTGAACTCGCGACCATGGCAGAACGCGTGAAACAGGAACCACGCCCAGCGGCCAAGAAGGCAGAGGAACAAATTAAGTATGGTTATTTCTTATTTCTTTTATTTTTTCCCATGTTGACTTTCGGTTGGAATGAGTGCAATAATCACGTTCATCTGTTGCCGCTCGTAGTACGTATCTGACTGACACAATCCTGGGTGCTGCTTTTTCACATCTCTGGTCCACCGTGATGGCAGGTTGGACATGGGGTTTGAGACAGGGGAGCGACTAATTCAGCCAGGAGGGCAAGAATCTGGTGAACGCGCTGGAGGGAAGTTTGCTCCAGGGCTGGATAAGAGGGAGGAAGGGCAGAGCGAGACCCCTAAGAAGCATGAAACGGAATGATTAATTTCCGTTCACATAATGGAGTCAGGAGGAATGAGCTTCAGCACTTCCAGCTGTGCCTGCAGAGCATGCTGGAGAAACAAGTTGTAGGGCGACTCAGGAATCAGGACTAATGTTGGGCGGTTATGAGGCTCATACAGATTTCACCATGGTCATATTTTTCGAACTAATAGTCTGTACAGACTAGCGCATACTTTCTTGCTGAGATTCCAAATTTGACATCTGTACTGGAGCCGCTCTTATCGGTTTGCGGGCTTCGGGAATATCCACGTTCTTCTCTCCCATTGGCTTTTGTAATCCGTGTATCATCCATTGCAAAACGAATCCAAGCCGTGTTTCGCGAACCAACCGTAGAAGCAAAGTACATATAATCGGTGTCGACCCGTACCCCCTGGTCATGTGTTTCCGGGACACTGACGTGAGACATTGGATGACGCAATCTTCTCGTTTCGGCCGTTTGTTTCGTGTCATTCAGCTCACGAAGATCCCTTTAGCAATGCCTTGTTTGACTTCTGATTGTCTTCGCATACCTTTCCGCTATCTCTAGAATCTAGGCTCACGTTCTCAAGCTCGAAACGCCCACAGCCATTGCTTGGTTGCTTGATCAAAACTCGTCAGGTTGAGTTCCTTCACGAACAACTACATTTCGGACTACACATTTGGGCGTAAACAACTACATTTCGGACTACACATTTATCCCGTCGCGAGCCTACTTTTGCTCCAAGTTAGCGGTTATATTTCTATTGCACCCACATGGCTGTCTCCATGTCTCTCGCGCAACTTCCCCTCCACCAATCGACTGCATCCCTCTCCTCTTCAAGATGTCGATTTTCACTAACCGTACCTAACCCCGCTTTAAATGCCGGTCTTCGGTTCCGACCAACCAGGCATGTAGGCATCCGAGCCTCCGCCGAGCCTGAACCATCCCAGACCTCCGAATCCACGTCAGCAGTGAAGGAGCCAGCAGCCGGCAAGGCGGTGGCCGGCAAGGGGTTCGGCAAGGCGCCGCAGCAGCCGGCTGTGGTTCGCCGGCCGGCGCCGTCCCAGCCGCTACTGTCGACTCAGCCGATGGGCGAGGAGGAGAAGAAAGCGGCGGAGATCGAGACGGCCGTGGTGGTGTCGCTGGGGCTCGTCTTCGTCCTCATCATCCTCGAAGGGTTGTTTCTCGCCGCTGCTGGTGAGTGCATTGCTAATTTGGGGAGGGAGGGGGAGCTGGAGCGATGAGGGTCCTATTGGTCGTCCCCATCATCCTCGAAGGACTCTTCCTCGCCGCTGCCGGTGAGTGCATTGCTAAGTTGGGGAGGGAGGGGGGGAGGGGGCGGGGGAAAGGGGGGAAGGGGGGGGGGGGAGCTGGCAAGATGAGGGCCCGTATTGAGATCGAGACGGCCGTGGTGGCGTCGCTGGGGTTCGTCTTCGTCCTCATCATCCTCGAAGGGTTGTTTCTCGCCGCTGCGGGTGAGTGCATTGCCAAGTTGGGGAGGGAGGGGGGGAGGGAGGGGGAGCTGGAGCGATGAGCGTCCCTATTGGTCGTCCTCATCATCCTCCAAGGGCTCTTCCTCGCCGCTGCGGGTGAGTGCATTGCGAAGGAATTGGGGGAAGGGGGGGGGAGAGGGGGCAGGAGGGGGGTTGTGGTAGGAGGGGGGAGACTTGGACTGAGGGGAGGTGGTGGAGGGTGGAGGGGTGGAGGGTGGAGGGGGGGGGGAGGAGGTGGCGTGGAGGGGGGGTTGTGAGGGTGGCGGGGTTGGTCGAGAGGGCCGATGATCCCTGTCGAGACGGCCGTGGTGGTGTCGCTGGGGTTCGTCTTCCTCCTCATCATCCTCGTCGCTGCCGGTGAGTGCAGTGCGGGGGAATGCGGAAGGGCGGCTAGGGAGCAGGGGCGAGGGAAAGAGGTTGGGCGGAAGGGGGCGTTGGGGGTCGGGGGATGGTTTGATTGGTGCTCGGACGGAAGCCTTCTGAGAGTCGTTTCCGTCGTTTCCTAAGCCACCTCGTAGAGGAGCTTTTTGGTGGGAAGGGCACGGCGGTGTATGGTCGGAAGTAGTGGGACGAAGAGGGGCTCTCTGGGGTTAACTGCTGTGTTTGTCACTCTGGAATGTTCCTGATTTCCAGGGTGAGAAGGTGTGAGAAGTGGTAAGAAGGTGGGGGAAGCGGTGGGAAATGGTGAGATTCGTCGGACAAGTTGGCCATGGATGGGATGTACGTCTGCCTTCACGCCACCTTTAATCTCCTCTTTGCTCCTCCCTCTCCTTTCATCCCCTCCCCTCCCCTCCCCTCCCCTCCCCTCCCCTCCCCTCCCCTCCCCTCCCCTCCCCTCCCCTCCCCTCCCCTCCCCTTCCCTCTCGTCCTGTCACGCTCCTTGTCTCAAGCCTCACCGCCCCTCTCTCCATCCCTCCCATCTCACCATCCCAATCCAATCCTCTACCCTCTCATTCCTCCCCTCCCCTCTCAACTTACTGCAAATGTGGTGCACCCCAGATTTCTCTCTCCATACCGTCTCACCATCCCAAGTGCTTGCTTCCGCTCCCCCCTATCCCCCTCCCCCTCGTCCCTTAACTCTCCCCCTCCTTACCCCTTCCCCTCGTCCCTTAAGTCTCCCCCTCCCTTACCCGTGCCCCTCGTCCCTTACCCCTCCCCGTCCTCACCCCACCCCCTCGTCCCTCGCCCCTCCCCGCTGCTCCCTCGTCCCACTACCCTTCTCTCCATATCATCTCGACTCCCCACGCTCTCCCCTCCCTTTTCAACCCTCCTCCCTTTCCCTCTTACCCCTCCCCTGTTCCCCCCCTCTCGTCCCGCCCAGGCTTCCTATCATCGGAGCTGGATCAGATGGCCACGGCCATGGTGTATCCGGCCGTCTCTCCATACCCTCTCATCGCCCCAAGCTTCTCCCTCTCCCTCTCCCTCCCCTCCCCTCCCTCCCCTCCCCTCCCCTCCCTCCCCTCCCCTCCCACGCCTTCTCGGCCCTGGTTTCTCCCTCGTCCCTCCCAGGCTTCCTCTCAGACAAACGGGATCAGATGGCAATGGACATGGTGTACCCGGCCTTCGATGGCTACTTGCTCACTCAAAAGTTCTTTTTTGTCGCCCTCCTCACCCCTCTCTCCCAGGCTTCCTATCGGAGGAGCTGGATCAGATGGCAATGGACGTGGTGTATCCGGCCTTCTCCCCCACGGCGGCCGTCTTCCTCCTGGGCGCAACCAAAGCACGTCTGACTCGACAGGTTTTAGTGCGTCTAAAATCCCCTCTCGCCCATCTGTCCCTCACCCCTCCCAGGCTTCCTATCGGAGGAGCTGGACCAGATGGCAATGGACCTGGTGTATCCCACCTTAATTAACAGACTCAGAGGTTCCTTCTCATGGTTTATCCCTCCCACCCCTCTCCCCCTCTCACCCTGTTTCCCCCCGTCCCTCCCAGGCTTCCCATCGGAGGAGCTGGATCAGATGGCCATGGGCCTGGTGCACCCTGCCTTCGGTGCCTTCTTGGTTACTCAAAGTTTCCCTTTCCTCTCACCCCTCTCCCCCTTCACCCCTCCCAGGCTTCCTATCGGAGGAGCTGGATCAGATGGCTATGGACGTGGTGCACCCTGCCTTCTCCCCATGTAGCCTCGAAGGCTCTTCCTTCCTTTCTCACCCCTCCATTACACCCCCGCCCCCCCCCCCCCCTCACCCTCCTTCTCACCCCTCCCAGGCTTCCTATCAGAGGAGCTGGATCAGATGGCAATGGACCTGGTGTATCCGGCCTTCTCCCCCACGGTGGCTGTTTTCCTCCTGGGCGCCACTGTCTATGGCGCCTTCAAGGTCATTGGCATCGGTGGCAAGAAACAATGAAGCAGGCTTGAGTGTTGACAGGATGTGACAGATAGTGAGCATTTATCACAGCAACCGGTTTGGCAGCTTTGTCTGAAGCGCAGGGAGCTTAAAGCCCAACCTGTAGGTTCCAGTTTTTTCTAGACTAGGCGTGCAGTGCAGTGCAAAGGTGTAACACCTTCCACTTTTTTTTACTACCAGGTCTCCCAAGGTTTGACATGCTAGATGTGATAGCAAATGAAATTACATCAAGCTATAGCATGTTCTGTAACCATAAAACACTGTTGTGTTGTAATGTTTGGTCCCTCCTAGGCCACCTTCAGCCACATCCCAATTTATCATTTCACTGCCCTATCATACCATCCCACCATCCTCACAGCCGGACCGGACACATCTTATCTGTACCGGTACCTATGTCCCCACCCCAGCAATGTAACAAGCCACATCCACGGGAATGCACACCATGGCCAACCCACCAGGCAAATGCATCACCACCTTTTCCTTCCCCCTACTTATAGCTTCCTCCCCTGCCGCCTCCACCGGAGTTCTCCAGGCACTGCTAGAACCCAGTGTAGGGGCAGTGCTACAGTCAATCACGCATGCACCCATCTCCCTCCCTGTTTCAACCGTCCTGCTCCTCTACTTCTGCTTCTTCCCCTGCCGCCTTCCCACCTCCATGAGCCTCCTCGAATTCTCCAAACACTGTTTGAACCCAAAGTGCGGGAACGCGTCAAACCACGTATCCATCCACTCTCTCACATCCCACCCCTCGCCACTGCTCGCCCCGCCCTTCTTATGCACCCATCCCGACCCGTCATGCCCCTAGCTCCACACCTTGTTCCACCGGGGAGCATCGTCCCCTCCCGACCCCTGCCACCAGGTCTCGCCCTGCCTGTTTCAACCATCCCGCAGCCCGCTTCTCTACTTCTGCTTCTTCCCCTGCCGCCTCCCCACCTCCATAAGCCTCCTCGAGTTCTCCAAGCACTGCTTGAACCCAAAGTGAGGGAAAGCATCAAACCAAGTATCCATCCACTCCCGCACATCCCACCCCTCGCCGCTGCTCGCGCCGCCCTTCTTATGCACCCATCCCGACCCGTCATGCCCCTCGCTCCACACCTTGTTCCACCGGGGCGCATCGTCCCCCCCCGACCCCTGCCACCAGGTCTCTCCCTGCCGATACCCGGTCTTGTCTCGGTTGAACTTCTCGTCCCACTTGTCGCCCCACTTGGCCCACAGCTGATTGCCGTAGCCATCGTGCCCCTCGAACCGCTCTGCCCACTTGTCACACCATTTCGAGGCCGCACCCCGGCCGTCGTATTCCTCCCCCCACCTGGTGTAATGGGAGGGATGAAGAGGGGAGGGAGGAGACTGAAACGAGAGGGAGAAGGCACCTGCCACCAGGTCTCGCCCTGCCGATACCCGGTCTTGTCCCGGTTAAATTTCTCGTCCCACTTGTCGCCCCACTTGGCCCACAGCTGATTGCCGTAGCCGTCGTGCCCCTCGAACCGCTCTGCCCACTTGTCACACCATTTCGAGGCCGCACCCCGGCCGTCGTACTCCTCTCCCCACCTGGTGTGAGGGCAGAGAGGAATGGGAGAGGGGAGGGAGGGAGAAAAGGAAGGAAAGGGAGGGAGTAGGAAGACCAGCAAATCAGTTGGTAATGCGCTTTTCATCCCACTTGTCGCCCCACTTGGCCCACAGCTGGTTACCGTAACCGTCGTGGCCCTCGAAGCGCTCTGCCCACTTGTCACACCACTTGGACGCAGCTCCCCTGCCGTCATACTCCTCTCCCCACCTGGTGTAAGCGGGAAGACACGGCATGAGGATATATAAAAAGTTGAGGGACACTCTTTGTCGCACTTGTCACACCACACTTGCATGCTACCCCCTGCCGTCGTTCTTTGCTCGTCACGTAGGATATCGGAAGGGATGAAGGAGGGATGGATGTTGAGGAAGGGAAGCGGACCATGGTAGTAGTGAGACCATGATGCTGCAGGGTGTTGCATGATGATGAGAATTCTCAAAAACACCCTGCAGCATCATGAAGGAGGGAGGGATGTTGAGGAAGGAAGGGAAGCGGACCATGGTAGTAGTGAGACCACCAGATCAGCTGGTAACGCACCTGCCACACCACTTGGGGCCTGCTCCCCTCCCCACTCACCTTTCATGCCACGTGTGCGCGTGCCCGTCATACAGCGGCGTGTACATGTCAATCTTGCTCCACTTGTGAGAAACTGAAATGCCACTTCACTGTTGTTTGGTTGTGCCCGCGTCACTTCTCAAACCACTCACCTTTCATGCCACGTGTGTGCATGCCCGTCATACAGCGGCGTGTACATGTCAATCTTGCTCCACTTATCCGCCCACTTCTCCGCCCGCCCCGTCGCATCATAATGCTCCCACCACTTCTCATGCCACTCGCCGCCCTCCCCATTCTGCCCCCACTTATCCGCCGTCTTCTCAATATGCATCAACCCAGTCTTAGAGTCCTGCCAAGTAGCCTCCCTCCACGTTTCCCTCCACACCGCCCCATTCGCATCCCGCCCGGACTTTTCCGCTCCGAGCTCTTTGAAATCAAACTCATCACTAGCCTCCCACCATTTCTCCTCCCACTCCACCGATCCGTCCACGCTCACCCCCCGAACCACCGTCCAGTCACAAACCTCCCCGCCCTCCCGAACCTCAGTCCCGGACTCCTTCCACCACCGCGACCCGTCCGCAGCCACGGTCGCGCCGTCGGCTTCCGAGCCTGCAAAGACGGCCTGGAGAGCCTGTTTGATGCCGCGCTGGGCGTCAAGAGCGGACTGCAGGGGCGGCAGGCTGACGTCAGAATTGAGGAAAGGCGAGGCGGAGGCGAGATCGAGTGCTGCTGCAGAGGCAACAGCCGCAGTGCTTGCAGCAGCAGAAGCAGCAGCAGCAGAACCAGCAGCACTGGCAGCAGCACCAGCACCAGCACCAGCAGCGCCAGCAGCACCACCAACGCCGCCACCAGTGGTGCCACCGGCAGCGTTAGAAGCTTCCCCAGCGCTGGCGGGTTTGGTGGGCGCGACGGCGCTTTCAAACGGCAGCAGCAGCGCCTCTAGCAGCTGTGGCTGGGGGTCGGCAATGGTCACTGTAGCACGCTGGGCAGCTGAACGGGCAGGTTTCGGGGCAGCTGGCTGCAGCTGGGGGGGACTGTCGCTCCCAGCGCCGCGCGGGGGGGTGGTGTCGGATGGGGGCGCCCACTCCCAGAAGCTGGGCCCTGGACTGCTGGAACCACCTGAGGAGGCACCTGAGGAAGGCTGCTTCGCTTCATCAGGGGAGGAGGAAGGCGAGGCTGGCTTGGCTGCTGGTGCGGCGGCTGCTGTTGCTGCTGCGGGTGGTGAGGAGGAGGACGAGGCAGAAGACTTTTTGGCTCGGCTTGGAATGGCCTTCCAGAAGCCCCCTAACCCTCCTGCAGCAGCACCTGTGCCGCCCGCTGGTGCTGCCTTTGACGCTGCTGCCCCTGCTGCCGCCTTCCCATCCCCGCCCTTCTTCCCGCCCTTCTCCTTCACTACAGACAACGACTTGCCGCCCCAGACGCTACTCGCCGCCCCCTGGTCCCCCGCGCCCGCCAACCGCCGCCCGCGCGAAGCCTGCCTGTCCTTGCGCGCGCGCTCCTCCGCCTCCACCAGCAGCGCCTGCGCCGCCGCCAGGGCGGCCGCCGCGCGGTCTACAACAGCCTTCCTCTCTGCCTCCTGCCGCACCTCCTTGGGCACCTGCGCGCGGGGGTTTGTGGGGGGTTGTGGGTGTGAGGGGGTCGGGATGCGCCTCCACCAGCAGCGCCTGCGCCGCCGCCAGGGCAGCCGCCGCCCGGTCTACCACAGCCTTGCGCTCCGCCTCCTGCCGCACTTCCTTCGGCACCTGGGGAGGGTGGGGGTGGGGAGGGAGGGAAGAGAGGGGGCGGAAGGCGGGATGAGAGAGGGGTACAAGATAGCAACTTTGCTTGCGCACCTGGAGGCGTGAGCGCGCACAAGGGGGCGGAAAGGGTTAGGAGTTCTCTGTGCGCGCACGGGCGCGCGGCGAGATTAGTACGCGTGCTGTGGGCGCGCGGGCACCGCCTGGGACACCGCGTGCACGGGCGGGCGGAACGGCCTGACTCGTGCGATCCCGTTAGCGGTCGAGGAACGGCGGCCCGGGGCTTTAGAGCGAAAGAGCGGGATAGGTGGGCAAGAGGAAAGGGAAAGAGGAAGGACATGCAAGCACGTTACTGACGGGTGCCCCGCCTTATGCTTCTAAACGAAACAACAATATTATTTTTGTTCTCCTTTTTTAAGATGCTTCTAAACGAGCCGTAGCTAGATATTGTCACACTTCGATATCGCCATTCCACGGTACCTCGAGCATTTGAAGGAACTGCGCTTCGCGCTTCTTCATCACATCCGCGCTCTCCCCCGCTTCCCCCCCCTGCTCGTCCCCCGCCGCTTGCGCCGCGCCTTGCTCCTCCGCGCGCTTCCGCGCCTCGGCCTCGCGAACCGCCTCGCGCTCTTTCTCCTGCGCGCGCTTCCACATCCCCAGAAACGAGTCGCTCGACGACGTTGCCGCCCCCCCGGAAGCCGCCCCGCCTCTCCCGTTCCCGGACGACGTTGCCTCTCCCGTTCCCGCTCCGCCGGTCGAGCCTCCCCCCTGTGCGCGCGTCACCGTCCATCGAGCCGTCTCACGGCTGAAATTTGAGATCTTGGTATTCGGGAGTCTTTTCAAATCCAGCGAATTCCGAAATCCCCAGAAATTCGTTCTGCGACCGCCGTCCGGAAGCGTGCGACGGCTCTGAACGATTGCGATCATCGAAGACGACGAGTGTGAACATTGCGAAGAAACAGGGTGCGCGCGAGCGGGAACGATGACGTCAGCGCCGCAAGCCGCAGCGAGAGATGACGCCATATTGGCGGAATTCTTTCGGAAAAGGCAGCCCGCTTACTCTGTCCTGAGTCTTGAAACACCTCAAAACTCGCGGAATGCTTAGAGCGCAGCCTGCTTACTCTGTCCCAAGTCAACGACTGAGAATGGGCAACGCTGCGCAGTACGCGCAGCAGAAAGCGTTACCAAGGGCCCTGGCTCAGATCGTCGACGTGGAAGGTGAGAGCAGATGTGATCGACGATCGAATTGGATCTGGCAATATGCGGAGGAGCTACACCGAGAGGAGAGTCAGACTCCTTTCCAGCCAGACTCCAGAAGCGACAACTCTAGCAGCGGCGCAGCCTGCTTGTTCAGAAAAAGAGCAGCGCGAGCGACGGGGATGGTGGTTGTGGTGGTTGCTGCTGTGCAGGCGGATTTGAGCAGAATGACGGAGAACTTCCCATACCGACATTTGTGAGGTCTCGTTACCAAGTTAGTAAATTCTCGCTAACTAGTCGTATAGTAACTTTAGAAAGGACAATGTTTCGCCAACAAGGGCCCTCGAGGATTTCTGACCCTGTCTTCCGCTGACAGGCATTCGCTGATTTACCCTGGCTGCCGTGATTCCCGTCTGATGGCATTAATTCGCTCACACGTGGAAAGGGCACGGCTTGACGACGGTGTATGGCTGGCACATGCTGTATTGGCGGCTAAAACTGCCACGCTGTACAGTCCGGGATATGCGGCAGCTACTAACGACACCTTGCTCAAGGCTTGACCCTGGAAAACTACGCGATTCTTTTCGGCTCGATAACTTGCAGTGCCTTTACCGTACAGTGTACTTTTTACAAAACCTAAACTACCTAACGCCTACTCACATTAATATTTATCCCTCGTTGATCGTCAGTTCCTACTTTCAGAAGCCCAGACTGCATCTCACTGGACCATTCAGCAGCTCCCCATGTAGTTTCTGGATCCGCAAGCATTTGATTTGCAGCGTCACCAGCGAAGCGCACTGACAAAAACTGCACCCCATTCGCGCCTGGACCTTTCACCACCTCTCCATCGTCCCCTCTTGGCTTCCAAAAGCTGAAATGCCGATACTTAGCTGAGCGCGGAAGCTTCATGCCTTGTTTAGGATGAAATGAGAGGCGCTGAGCTGGCTGGAAAATCCCTCCAGATGCTGACATTTCACTTGTAGAAGGAGCGAACGGATAAACCGAGAAAACACACCACCCGTCGTCGTCTGACCACGACGTGGATCGGCATCGGCGAGGCTGAAGCAAGCTTGATACATTGAACCTGGACAGGATCAGGGTAGAGAGAGAAAGGGCGAATGGATATTGCAATGCAGAAACACAAGTTTCCATGAACGTTCACATATCAAGTCCCCAATCCTCCACCCATTTCCCCTTCTATCCACTTATCCCTCTGCGACCCTCCCGCTATCTTCCTAGAATTCACCTTCACTCACTCAAACGTCAAGTACCACTCGCTCACACTCACATCTCTAGTCCCCATACACACACCCGTGTAGTCCCCTCCACTCACCGGAGAGTGAAGTGGCCAGCCAGCCTGGCAGCACTCTCGTGAGTGATCCCACAACACGGCTCAGCCGCACAAGCAGAGGAGACCTCAGCACTCCCAGGTGACTTGTGAGTCGACTCAAAAACACCTCACTTACCCTGTCCCCTTCACTCACACACACGTGCACTCACCGGGGCGTAAATCGGCCAGCCAGCCTGGAAACTCTCTCACGAGTGATCCCACAACATGGCTCCGCCGCACATTCAGGGGCGGTCTCAGCGCTCCCAGGTGACTTGTGAGTCGACCCAAGCCACCTCACTCACACACACGTCCACTCACCGGGGTGTGAAGCGCCCAGCCAGCCTGGCAGCCCTCTCACGAGTGATCCCACAACATGGCTCCGCCGCACATGCAGGGGCGGTCTCGGCGTTCTCAAGAGCCTGCCAGCATGCATGGTGGGCGTACCATCCCAGCATGGTGGCGTCGGAGTAGTCCTGGGGAAGGGAGAGAGGATGGTGGGCAGGAGTGATAAGTGTGATTGAGAGTGTGATTGAGAGTGTGAGTGAGTAATCCCACAGCATTGCTTCAACCACGCATGCAGGGGAGAGCTCGGCGTTCTCAGGGGCGTGCCAGCACGCATGGCGAGCGTACCACCCCAGCATGGTGGCGTCAGAGTAGTCCTGGTGGCGTGGGAGAGGATGGTGGTTGGCGAGTGGAAATGTGATATTGACTAAGAGTGACAGTGATCCCACAGCACGCCACAGCTGCACAGGCAGCGGAAGCCTCAGCATTCTCAGGGGCGTGCCAGCATGCATGCATGGCGAGCGTACCATCCCAGCATGGTGGCGTCAGAGTAGTCCTGGTGGGGATGATAATGGGTGGGAGTGATGAGTGGGAGTGATGAGTGTGAGTGGAAGCGTGAGTGAGTGAGAGTGGGGGTGAGAGTGATCCCACAGCATGGCTCAGCCGCACACGCAGGGAAAGTCTCAGCACTGCCAGCATGCATGGCGAGCGTACCATCCCAGCATGGTGGCGTCAGAGTGGTCCTGAGAGCATGGGGGAGGATGGTGGTTGAGAGTGGGTGAATGTGAGTGGGATTGAGTGTGAGTGTGTGGGAGTGTAATTGAGAATGAGTGAATGTGAGTGTGAGCCGGCAGCGGTGGTGTGAGCAGCCCAATCCACGTCCACACAACTCACAGGCTTCTTCAGTCGCGCCACACTAGCAATTCTTTTCGAATTCTCATTATCGAAATGCGGTGCACCCCACTTCCGCACAACTCACCGGGTTCTTGAGTCGCTCTGCAGGAGTCCCCTCAGCAGTCCCCTCCCCCCCTCCCAGCACCCCTTGCTCCACAAACACGCGCACGAATCTGAGGAAGTCCGCCAGGCCCTCTTTAGACCACCCGGCTGTGTGCGCGTCGATGGGCGTGTGCGGGGGGGCGGTGGCGCGGCGGGGGGGGCGCGTGCCGGGGAAGGGCTGGGGGAGGAGCATGTGGCGCTCGTGGGGGAGGTACAACTGGGGGAGGGGGGAGGGGAGAGGGGGGGAAAGGGGAAGGGGGTAAGGGGGTAAGGGGAGGAGGGAACGCACGGGGAGCAGGTGGCGCTCGTGGGGGCGGTACAGCTGGGGGAGGGGAGGGAGAGCGGAAAGGGGAGCCAGGAACGGGATGGGTGAATGGGAGGGGGAGGAAAGGCTGGGGGAGGAGCATGTGGCGCTCGTGGGGGAGGTACAGCTGGGGGAGGGGGAAGGGGAAGAGGGGGAAGCAGAGAGGGGGGGAAAGGGGAAGGGGTAAGGGGAGGAGGGAAAACACGAGGAGGATGTGGCATTCGTGGGGGAGGTACAGCTGGGGGAAGGGGGGAGGGGGGAAGGGGGAAGGGGAAGGCGGAAGGTGAAGTGAAGTGGGGAGGGGGGAAAGGGATCTGACAGAGAAAGTATAGTAAGTAAAAGAGGAACGGAAGAGGGGGGTGTCGGGGAGGGGGGTTGGGGATTGGGGAGACACCGTAAGGATCAAGCTGAGTGGGGTGGGGAGACACTGTGTTTAGGTTTGGATTTGGGTTTGGGCTTGGGATGCAGAAAGAGGATGTTGGGTGGACTAAGAAGCGAGATTCAAGTGCCGAACCTGGTTGATAGCTTCGGTGGCGTTGGCAAAGAGAAGGACGTCGGGCGAGAGGTAGAGGGCATGGGAGAGGCTGGCGCGAGTCATGTAGGCGTGCAGTACGAACCAACGCACCTGGCGTGCATGGGGGGGAAAAGCGCAGGAAAAGGGGGGGGAGGAGAGGCGGGTTAGAGGGGGGAAAGGCGGGAAATGGGGCACGACGGGGGAAGGGGGAGGAAGGAGGAGGGACATGTAAGGAGAGAGGCATGAGGCGGATCCGGGCAGAGAATCAGAGTGTGCAGCAGAAGAGGGAGCTGAGAGAGAGGAAGGAAAGGAGGGGTAGGGGAGAGGAGAAGCAGGTGTGGGCGGGAAGGGCATGCGTAGGGAGAGCAGGAACACAGGAGGTCTGAGCAGGAACACAGGAGGTCTGAGCGGGGAGCATTGCACTGAAGGAGCGCATAAGGGGGGGGGTGAATGCCACATTACCACCCCCATGGCTTCAGCTTTTGAGTCGAGTAAAAAAGCAGCAATGGGGCCGTTGAAGAGGGCGCAGAGGGTGAATGCCACCCCCCAGGGCCGTCATTGCTGCTGCTGGACGCTTTTGAGAGCTGTCGAAAACACACTGGAGAAATAAAGAGCACTCACGAGGTCGGTACGCGGAGTGCCGAAGGAGGAGCGGAAGGCGGAGATGGTTTGGTTGAATAGCGCGTAGCGCGTGAATGCCACCCCCAGGGCGGCCGCTGCTGCTGCACACTCCCTCGGCCCCACCAGATGCACGTCACTGTTGCGCTGGCGGGCTTGCTGTGCGGAGGGGGAGAGGAGAATGGATTGGGAGTTCCATGGGGAGAAGGGGGAGAGAGCGGAGATGGTTTGGTTGAATAGCGCGTAGCGCGTGAATGCCACGCCCAGGGCGCCCACGGCTGCTGCACACTCCTTTGGCCCCACGAGATGCACTTGACTGTTGCGCTGCCGGGCTTGCTGTGAATGTGAGAAGAGCGGGAATGGCGGGGGGATTGCATGGAGAGAGGGGGGAGGGTGGGGTGTGGGATGGTTGAAGAGGGCGTAGCGCGTGAATGCCACGGCCATGGCGCCCTTTGCTGCTGCACAGGGGGAGGGGAGAATGGAGGGGGAGTTGTGTGGGGAGAAGGGGGAGAGGGGGGTGATGGGATGGTTGAAGAGGGCGGAGCGCATGAATGGCTTATGAGACGTCTCAAAAGTGAAAGCCACCCCCATGGCGCCCGCTGCTGCTGCACACTCGTGCGGCCCCACCAGATGCACCTCCCTGTTGCGCTGCCGGGCTTGCTGTGAGGGAGGGAGCGGGGGGGTGCGGTGTGGATAGGTTGGTAGTGGTGGCTACCTGCAGCACTTGATGGGGCGCGGAATTGAGAATTATCACGAATAGCTCACATGGGTATGAGGGTGGGGATGCGCATGAGGATGGGCATGGGCATGAGCATGGGCATGGGCATGGGCATGGGGATGGGCATGGGGATGGGCATGGGCATGGGCATGGGCATGGGGATGGGGATGGGGATGGGGATGGGCATGGGCATGGGCATGGGGATGGGGATGGGCATGGGCATGGGGATGGGGATGGGCATGGGCATGGGCATGGGGATGGGCATGGGCATGGGCATGGGCATGGGCATGGGCATGGGCATGGGCATGGGCATGGGCATGGGCATGGGCATGGGCATGGGCATGGGGATGGGCATGGGCATGGGCATGGGCATGGGCATGGGGATAGGGATGAGGATGAGATGAAGCAGCCCTGCAGCACTCAAGGGAGCGCCGTTATTGAGAATCCCCACAAATTTCTCACATGGGGATGGAAATCGGGACAGGTGGAGCGCGGTTTCTGAGAATTCCTTGAACATAGCGTACATGACATGGGGATGGGAATAGGGGAGGGGTTAGCCCCACCTGCAGCACTTGATGGAGCGCCGTGCCAGGAGCACACTTGCCCACGCGAGGCTTCAATACAATCACAACCACCGGCACCTGCACCTCCCCCCTCTCCTCCTCCACCTCCACCGCTTTAACTCCTGCTGTTGCTGCTTCTGCTGCACCCCGTCCTGCTTCTCCCCCTGCCATTGCTGCTCCTGCTGCTGTTCCTGTAGCTGCTCTTCCTTCAGCAACAGCAGCAGCAGCTGAGCCACCAGTCCGACCTGCACCAGATACAACCTCCTCGGGGCCCTTGCCGTAGGTACCCCCTCCCCCTCCACCAATCGCCCCACCTGCTCTCATCGCACTCCACCCACCACCAGCAGCAACGCCACCACCAACAACGCCACCACCAGCACCAGCACCAGCAGCAGCAGCACCTCCCATTTGCCAAGCAGCCGTCCCCGTTCGTTGCCGCTGGAGCTGCTGCTGTTGCAAGTCTTGCTGTTGCTGTTGTTGCAGCAGCTGCTGCTGTGGCTGCACAAGTCCTGTCCCTCGCTGCCCCTGGGGAGCACTCTCCTTCCTCGCCTTCAGAAACTCCCCCCGCAGCAGCATCCCATCCTCCTCATCCTCCCCTCCCCCCAAACCCCCTTCCCCCATACCCACTCCCCCCGCCGACTCCTCTCCTCCCCCTCCTGCTCCCCCTTCGTCTCCCTCCCCGTCTCCTCCCCCTCCCCCTCCCTCCCCAATTGCACCAGCAGCAGCAGCAGCAGCGGCGGCCTTGGCTTTCCTAGCAGCGCTCTCCATTGCCTCTTCAGGTGTTTCTTCAGGTTCGCCCAGGAAGTCCTCTGGATGGGCCAGAGAGATCGCTGGCCCTGCAGCGCCTGTTGCCAAACCCCCTGTCACCCCTGCCACTTCCCCTTCCCTTGCCGCTGCAGCTGCCCCCGCCCCTGTCCCTATCCCTGCACCTGCCCCTGTCCCTATCCCTGCACCTGCCCCTGTCCCTATCCCTGCACCTGCCCCTGCCCCTATCCCTGCCCCAGACTCTCCGACACCACTACCCCCCTGCTGCTCCAGTGGCTGCTGCTGCTGCTGCTGCTGCTCCAGAAACCTCTGCTGCTCGTCCTGCTGCTGCTGCCACTGCTGGTGCCGCTGCAGTCTCTCCTGCCGATACGCCTGGTGCAGCACCTGCTGCCTCTCCCCTTCCTCCACCGAGTGCGCCCTCCCATGCTGTTGCAGCTCCGCCCTCCTCGCCTCCTCCTCGTCCACCCGTCCGCCTACAGATGAACCTGCCCCGCTAACGGACAAACCTGCCCACCCAGACACGCCTTGCTGTCTCGTCTCTGCATGTCCTGTTCGACCTGTATATTGCTGCCTCGCTGTCACACCCTCCCCAGCAAAACCTGCCCCAATCACACCTGCGCCAGTTACACCCGCCACAGTCGCACCTGCCCCAGTCGCACCTGCCCCAGTCGCACCTGCCCCTGTCGCACCTGCCTCATTCACACCTGCCCCAGTAGCACCTGCACCCACACGTGTCTCTGCCAGCGCCCCTTCCCTGGGCAGGGCAGCACGCATTGGCAGGCCCTCACCTCTCGACAACCCACCCCAGCCCGTCACAGCCTGCTTTCCTCCCATCTGTCCCTTTCTCTCACTCCCTGCACTTCCTTCCCCTCTTGACCCTGTCGCTGCTCCTGCATCTGCTGCAGCTGCTCGGGTCTCTGCACTCAAGGACCCGTCCAGTTCCCTTCCAGAGCCCCCTACCAGCCCCACGTCTGCTGCCGCCCCTCTATCTCCCACCAGCTCTGCCCTTCCTACCAGACCTGCGTTTCCTACCCGCCCTGAGCCTGCTACCTGCCTTGCACTTCCTGTTACGCCTCTGTCTCCCACCAGCCCTGCATCTGCTGCAGCTGCTGCTCCTCTGGCGCCCACCAGGGGCACGCTGCGTCGGGCAGCCTCCTGCTCCATGAGCTGCTTGCGCTGATCTGACTGCCCCCTCTCCACTGCCACCGACGTCCCCTCCTCCTCTTCTCCCCCTCCCTCCTCGTCTGCTCCCTCTTCCCCCACTCCCTCCCCTTCGTGCACTGACTGTTGGTCCTCCTCCGGCTTCACACCACGCTGTGTGCTTCCCTCGTGCAACGAGTTGGTGCCACCAGCAGCGCCACCAGCGACAGCAGCAGCCGTACTGTGATGGGCATCAGTGGTAGCAACATCAGCATCAGCAGCCGTCTCATGAGCATCATCCCCAACCGCATGACCCATGGCTCTCAGCACAGAGGCTATCTCATCGTGCTCACTCCCACTCTCACTCTCACTCTCGCTCTTACTCCCCACCTCCCCTCCCCCCCCCTCCTTCCAGCTTGAATCCTCACGCCCTATCACCCTGTCCTTCCCCGTCTCCCTTGCAGCCCGTGACCCTCGCCTCCCACGCTCCCCACCATTGTGTGTGCCTGCAGTTCCCCCACCCACACCCACTGCTGCCGCCTCTGTCGACCCAGACGTTATCTTGCTGCTATCCCCACCGTCACCACCATCACCTCCACCCGTCGCTCCTTCCCTCACGCTCCTCTCCCTCTCAGTCTTTTCCCCCGTTCCTCCCACTCCCACTCCCCCTTCCCCCCATCGCTCTGTCTCATCCGGATCTTCCTCCTCCTCATCCTCCCCTCCCTTCCCACCTGACCCTTTCCCCTCACTCCCCTCCTTCCCCTCATTCCCCTCCTTCCCCCCATCCCCCCCTTTCCCCTCACCCTTCCACCTCCCCCCACCCTGCGCGTCCATCTCCGCTTTAAGCAGCCCCTGTAGCAGCTCCAGCTCCCTCTGCTTCTCCTCCCCCGATTTCTCCTCTCCATGCCCTTCCTCCACGTCTTCCCCCTCCGCCCCGTCCCCTGCTCCCTCGTCGTGTTGCCCTTGCCCCTCCCGCTGCCCTGCCCGCTCCTCCTGCCCTGCGCCCTCCTCCCGCCCTCTGCTATCATCCCACCCTCGGTCCCTGTGGTGAGCCCCGTCCCCCTCCTCCTCCTCCTCCACATCAACCCCACTCCCGTCCTCTGCTCCTCGCCCTGTCTCCGCCCCCCCCGCTCTTCTCAACCCATTCCCTCCGCTACCTCCTCCGGCTCCCCCTGCTACACCTCCCGCCACCTCACCTGACGCCTGCCCTCCCCCCAATCCCCCTCCCCCAAATCCCCCTCCTCCCAATCCTCCTGCCCCAACCGCGCCCGCCATCCCCCCAGCGCCGCCACCTGGGTAGCCATGGGCTGTCTGGGCGTCTGCTGTGATGCTCGTGGCTTCTGTAATCCTCGCACCTGGTAAGAAGTGGGCCAGGGCAGAGGGAACCCGAGAGACCGACGATGGTGGGTGGGTGGGTGGGTGCAGAGGTGATGTGAAGTTAGAAGTTAGCTCAGAGTCGACTCAGATAGTGAATCGACTCAGATAGTGAATCGACTCAGATAGTGAATCGACTCAGATAGTGAATCGACTCAGATAGTGCATGAGGCAACGAGGAATGATGTGCATCTGTCATGCATGCACAGGGGATGTGAGTGACAGATGTGAGTGAAGAGGCGTGGGGGGGCGTGTGAACGGCAATCAGTACGCATGTTGGACAAAGTATGGCGCAGGATGGGACGGGATGGGACGGGATGGGACGGGATGGGACGGGATTGGACGGGATGGGACGGGATGGGACGGGATTGGACGGGATTGGACGGGATTGGATGGGACGGGACGGTATGGGACAGGATGGGACGGGATTGGACGGGATGGGACGGGATTGAACGGGATTGGACGGGATTGGACGGATGGGACGGGATTGGACGGACGGGAAGGGATGGGACAGGATTGGACGGGATTGGACGGGATGGACAACACAGGGCGTTTTGAAAGGAGGTTGGACAAAGTAAAAAGGCCGAAGAGAAGAAGGGAGGGGGGCAAATTGAATGGAGGCAGGGGAGGGAGGGGCGCTCACTGATCTCCTGTTGGATGGCATGTGTTGCCGTGGCCAAACGGCTGCTCGCCCCCGCCTGAATGAGCAGCAGCAAAACAGCCATGGATATGCGCATCACACGGACAACAAGAGTTGAGAGGCGTGTGAATCATTTTTTTTCTTTCTTTCTTTCAGCTGGTTTCATGTGATTCTAGAGAGGGAGGAGGTGAAAAGGCCATGAGAGTGAGTGAATAGAGGAATGGGCGTTGCAGGGTCATGCAACCGTGGCCTATGGCTTGCCAGTGCAACCCACACGTTCCTGCTGTAACCCACACGTGCCTGCTGTAACCCACACGTGCCTGCTGTAACCCACACGTGCCTGCTGTCACCCACACGTGCCTGCTGTAACCCTTGCGCACCTTGGGCAGTCTCGTAGTGAGGTTCTCGAGCTTGTTCACTGCCTGCGTTGACGCGGACAATTGCCCCTTGCCCCTTGCCCCTTGCCCCTTGCCCCCTGCCCTTTACCCCTTGCCCCCTGCCCTTTACCCCTTGCCCCTTGCCCCTTGCCCCCTGCCCTTTACCCCTTACCCCTTGCCCCTTGCCCCTTGCCCCCTGCCCTTTGTCCCTTGCCCCTTGCCCCCTGCCCTTTGCCCCTTGCCCCTAGCGCACCTCGGGGAGTCTCTTAGTGAGGCTCTTGAGCTTGTTCACTGCCTGCGTTGATGCGGACCTCTTGGACGATGTGAACAGTGCAAGCACAATAACGCGACGGGAGGGCACACGTACGCGTTATAGACGCATGAATGGACTCAGTACAGGTTACAAGGAAAGACGTTGCGTACATGTCCGTCCAGGAGTCGACCAAAAGCCACGTCAATGCCGACCCCAAAATCATCCGTTCACATGCGCTCGACACGTGTGCGTTGCGGACACACACGAGGTACAATGACGTGCCTCTTGACATGTGTCCCGGGCAGTCGTCATAGGGACGTGTCAGGGATACGGAGCACGCGTCAGGAACGAGGCAGCGAACGGATCTGAGATACAAGGCTAGGGCTCGTGCGAGGTCATGAAACAAGGAGACATTCGCCTGTTTGGAGCCAAGAGGATTACGGATGCTTCAATCGGTCTGCGGTTTCAGTGTATCGAAATTCTTCGCGAAGGAGATAAAAGAAAGAACAACTCCCAAGCTTCAAGGTAAGGTACACTTCGTGACGACCGCGAGGTAGTTCGTTACAACCAGTAACCTCCAACTATGTTTAACGCATTGCACTTACGAATGCTCAGATCAGAACCGGATCACGCAAGGGGGAAGAGGACGACGATGGATATCATGCTTGCAAACTATACTGGCTTACAATCACATGAAGGAAAAGTTGACTTTGAGTCGACTCAAAATTCACCTAGGTTTTGGTGGCTTACAATGGAATGAAGGACGACGCCTTTTGAGTCGACTCAACAATCGTCTCGCTAAGGTGGCTTACAATGACACGAATAACAAAGAAGACGAGAATGCAGAGGAGTATCGACTGGCACGCCTTGAACTTGGCCTGCTTCTTAAACGCTGCTCGGGAACCCCTGAAGCCTCTCCAGTAACCCGGACCGCGATTCATCCTCGACGAGTGTGTGAGATACGCTAGTTAAAAATCGTCATTTTAAAGGGCCGAAAACAATGTAACAGCTGTGACATTCAACGTCGACATAGATAGGCTGATGTGACTATTTCGAAAGTTAAACGATAGATTATGATCAACGGTGATGTTAGTCCACGTAGACCCAAGTACCGGAAGCGGAAGGTGGTATGGGTGACTATCTCGGACCAATTGTCATCCACACTCGCTTCTCCCGTCCCGTGTGAACGTCGGGTCGGGGAGATCAGAGGTGGAGCTGTGTCATCGCATGGCACACCAAGCTGCCGTAGGGAAATACCACAGGGATTGGTTGGGATTCACAGTGGCGGGAGAGAAGTAGATTCGCCAGCTGAACCTGACATCCATTGAAACTGGAGGGTAAAGCGTACTCGATAAGCGTATATCCTTTAACACACTGGCATATCTAGTCGTGTTTTTGTTTCGGAAAAGGATTACACCATTTGATGTCACCGCAGCTGGTGCCTCGATTCTTGGTCAGCTAACGGAGCGTCTGCAGTCTGCCTGCTGAGTCGACAGAATTCCTTGAGCTTCGCACGGAAGGCCACGTGTTATTTCATCCCAACAATCGTTACAAGAATCCACGTGTACCACTTGAATGCCGCAATCCGCACACTGCAACCTGGACGTGAGCGATAGACACGTCGTCAAATCCCCACGTAGACAGGATTATTTGCCAGTGACGCGGTTGCGTGTGCTCTGGCTGTTTCTCGAAATTTCGTCATCATCGTGAGCCTGTCTGCCACCAATCAACTCACACGGTTCCTGCCTCTTGCTCCACCTTCCGTTCATTATGCACGCGCTCCCGCCCCTCTGCTTCACTTGCAGCCTATATCCTCCATTCTTTGTTCTTTAGGAATCCAGCTTCAATTTCTCCTCGAATTCCGGACGAGTGTTTTGTCTGTCCCGAACTTGTCTGCTCAGTACTGCATTTATAAGGAGAGACTTCGCGTACGAGTCCACCATTCAGCTTCAAGTACCCTAAGAATTCGTTGTGTCACAACCAGTTGAGCTTTTTGAACCTCCAACGAACTCGAGGACTCTACTAACTGAGACAGTCATATATCAGCTTACCTCGTACTGAAGCATGGCGAACGCTTCGTCTATGGCTGTTCAGCGGCTTCAGTCGCCAGCCGTTGCAGCCTGTCTCAATGATGCTAGAACCACCCCCGCTCGCCGGCTACAGACCAAGGCGTCATGGCATTCCGTCAACTCAGAAATTACAGGCTTGCGAATTTCGCGAGGCGCGGTTACCACCTCGTGCAGGAAGAACCTTTTCTGCCGTTGCCGCATGTCGCGAGTCTTCGCCATGTCGACCGACTCGAGCTCCCCTTCTTCAGACAACACTCCCGAGTCGAAAGAAGAAGTTGCCAAGGCGGCTCCGCTAAGTCCCGAGTCGCCGTCGGGAATTCTTCTGGAGCAGTTAATTCTGTCGCACCCGCATTTGGTGCCGGCGGCGGCGGAGCAGCAGCTGGAGCAACTCGCGGCGGAGGCGGAGGCGACGGACGCCCCGAAGGAGAGCGGCGCGAAGAAGTCGAGCAACGACCTCGTTCTGTACAAGTGAGTTGAGATGACACGCCCGTTACAACAGTTAAAGATGCACGTACTGTACACTTGGCAGCGCAAAATGTACAGCGCGTGCACGAGCATAGCATCAAGGGAAAACACCGGACGAACAAAAAACTTGTGCCACTGGTGCAGACACGCATTATGCCGGTTCACACCTATCGTCTCAACTCGACCCTCAGAGGCCGCAAGCCCTACTGGGACCATTAACGTGTGTATTGAGCATTTTGCTTGGGCTTTCTCCATTCCTTCGGGCTTCGTTTTTTGTGTGTTTATTTTTGTTTTTTGTTTTAGCTTCCTTCATTGCCTGAAGCTTTCTTCATTACATTATTGGGAAAACCTTCCCGTTCTTCGATCTCGCTTCTGCTCCAATCTCACCGTCATGTCCCTCTCGCTGCTCCTCTGACTCCCTCCCTTCTTCCCGACGCAGACGAATGGCGGAGGTGCGGAACAGCGAGCGCATGCGCGCAATCAAGGAGGTCATGTACGCGTTAATAGTCCAAAAGTTTATCGAATCCGGCGCGCCGCTCCTCCCGAAAGTCCCCTTCGTGACCGTCGATCCGTCGTCCACGCTCTTCCCATCCGCCGCCACGTCACCCTTCGGCCTGGACCTCGTTCCAACCGTCCCCGTTAAAGAGCAAGAGCTCTCTAGCGTGCATTCCGAGGAGGCTCTAGACATGGTTAAGGAGCACTTGGCTACTATTCTCGGACCGCGTCCGACGGGGCCCATGGCGGCTTTAATTGACGACGACAGGGTGGTGGTGGGGACGAGCAAGCTGCGATTAGGGCAGGTGTACGCGGCGTCGATTATGTACGGGTACTTTCTGCGGCGCGTGGATCAGCGATTCCAGCTGGAGAAGAGCATTGGGTTGCTTAGGGGCTTCATGGGGAGCGCGGGGGGAAAGGGGGACGCGGAGGGGGAGGATGGGGCGCAGCAGGTGGTTTTTCCGCCTGAGGAGGTGGTGGAGGAGGTGAAGGGGGAAAGTGCGGGGGAGGGGGGGAAGGAGGGGGAGGAGGGGAAGGAGGGGGAAGGGGAGGGGGAGGGGAAGGCGGAGCGGACCCTGCGCGCGTATGTGCTATCGTTTGATCCGGAGACTCTGCAAATGACGGCTACGATGAGAAGCAAGTGAGTGGGATGGGAGGGAAGACGTGAGTTAGTGAGTGAGTGAGTGAGGTGTGAGAGAGCGTTTGAAAATGAGTAGGATGGGGAGTGAGCGGGTGAAACAACTATTCGCTAGATGGTGGCGAAGGCAATACGCCCTTGATATTCTCGCTTAGCGTCACCTAGTAGGCATGAGCATACGGGAATCCTCGCCTACACCTCCTTGTATCCCCCTTCCTCACCTTATACCGCCCTCCCCCCTTTGTACCCTCCTCCTCTCGTTCCTCCTATCAGGGAGAGCGTGGAGGTGATCGAGCGGCACACGGAGACGTAGCTCGGCAAGCCCAAGGTGGAGGGCCAACTCACATGGGTGATGACGTGAGCATACTCATCAACTCTTTTCCTTCTCCCCTCCCCCACCTCATTGATCTTCACCAGAGAAAGCGTGGAGGTGATCGAGCGGCACACGGAGGCGCTGTTCGGCAAGCCCAAGGTCGAGGCGAATGAGGAGGGCGTGGCCGTTGTGAAGGACGACGCGGCGCGGCTCACTGTCAGCACGCTGCGACGCCTCGTTCTTGAAGCCGTCGCATTTGGGGGGTTTCTCTGGGACATCGAGTCGTTTGTTGATACGCGTTTTAAGATCACGACTCCTTAGGTGTTGACAGGTAGATGTACTCTAGACAATGTTGCGTTGTGCTGTTTCAAAGAAAAATAGTGTACATTGAATAAATGTTGTCACTGGATTTACTGGAATGGAACCAGTACCACTGACCCTAGTGAACAATTTTATCCCAATATTTCCCATAACTTCGACAAAAGCGTGCAAAAGTTAGATACATATGCCCTCTCCTCATTGGGCTGGGCACTGTCATCTCAGAAATGCTGGAAGGCATGGGTCATACCAGAACATATCATAGGATAGGTAATGAAACCCGCGACGCCTTGCCAGACACGCGAGCACCTCTCCCCCACCCTTGAGCAAGCCCATAGCATTATCTGGGCGGGGGAGCCAGCTGGCGTGGGCTCCCCACGCTGATGCCCCGCGATACCAGCGCCACGCAACCATGCCCTGACCATACAGCGTCGCTCCCTCTTGCCCGTGGTAGCGACGCCGTCTTCGTTCCCCCTAGCTAATGGTCGGCTGACTGAGAACCTGTCCAGTTGGCCTCTCACTCAAATCATTTCACCGGAAGCAAGCATTTTCGTGGGTTAGCATTTTTTACTGTGTGATGTATAACCCTCCACTATCTATCTTCACATCAGTGTGCCGCCATTAGCCCCATAGTAACCCAACCTAACATAGACACCACACCTACGGTAATGAAATCAGCATAGGCGGCGGCGGGCCGCCTGCCTTCACATCACGCCACCAGACCAGACCAGACCACTCAATTGCAGCAGCCACCAGCGCTACATGCCGCCGCCAGCGCCAGTAGCTCCATCAAAGCTGGCCAAGAGCCGGGCTTCATGAGCACAGAGACCTCATCGAGAGGTCGCATTCACGGCAGGCAGTTGCACGGAACTGTGAAAACATCTGTTCTGTGACTGGCCTGCCTGGGAGTTGTATAATCTTTTGCATTCCCTCCCTAACACCTTCTGACTGGTCTCTCACACACAGACACAAACAGACAGACGCACACCGCCACGTCAGCATATGACACGGCTCTACGTGCCATCAGCGCCAGCACCACCAGCGCCAGCGCCACCGAACATGGACTTGAGAGCTTCATGAGCACAAGTCTTAAAAAAAATCCTTTCGTGAGCAGCACCAGGTTCTACATGCCAGCAGCGCCACCAGCGCCGCCACCGAACTTGGACATGAGCTTCATGAGCACTGGCCCCACTGTGGGGTCGTTCTGATACTTGAGCAGATTGGCCGGGTTCTTCATGACTGGCGGGTGGAGGAGGGGGGAGGGAGGTTGAAGCGAAGAGGATGAGTGAGCTGCACATGGGCCACCATGAACCCATCATTCGACATGACCACCCACCATCACCGACCATTGAACATCATGACTCACCATCAACACACAATAAAACCAACACCATGGATCCTCAACAACCATCAACCCATCATCAGCCATCCATCATCACCCATCACCCATCATCCATCATCACCCATCATTAACCCATCACTGCCCCTCATCACCCCTCGTTGCCCCTCATCACCCCTCATCACCCCTCACCACCACTGTCCACCCACCGTCCTGCATGGCTGCCATGACAGCGGGGTTCTGAAGCGCCATGAGCAGCTCAGGGTCCTGCATGCACACGTGGCAGGCCAACAGGAGTCAACGGGAGCCAATGGGTCAACACAAGTCAACAGGAGTCACAAATTCAACAGGAGTCAGAAAATCAACATGAGTGAACAACAGTCAACAGGAGTCTACAGGGCAACACAGGGAGCAGGCACATGTGCGCACATGCATGCCATGGCTCTCAAGATGACTCTTGAGCTGACTCAAAGGCACATGTGCGCACATGCATGCTATGCGTATCAAAATTTGGGGAAACACAACAGGGGATAATAAAAACAGCTGGGTGAGAAGCTCCATTTTCAAGAACGCACATCCTAAAACAGCAGAACCTGCAACTCCTCCCACGTCGCTGTGTGTGCTGTGCAGTTTCAACAGCACACATGCTATCCGAAACACCCAACTAGGCCCACTCACATTGAGCGTCTCACTCACATTGAGCATCTGACTCACATTGAGCATCTCACTCACATTGAGCATCTCACTCACATTGAGCATCTGACTCACATTGAGCATCTCACTCACATTGAGCATCTCACTCACATTGAGCATCTGACTCACATTGAGCATCTGACTCACATTGAGCATCTGACTCACATTGAGCATCTGACTCACATTGAGCATCTGACTCACATTGAGCATCTGACTCACATTGAGCATCTGACTCACATGGAGCATCTGACTCACATTGAGCATCTGACTCACATTGAGCATCTGACTCACATTGAGCATCTCACTCACATTGAGCATCTGATTCACATTGAGCATCTGACTCACATAGAGCATCTGAATCACATTGAGCATCTGACTCACATTGAGCATCTGATTCACATTGAGCATCTGACTCACATTGAGCATCTGACTCACATTGAGCATCTGACTCACATTGAGCATCTGATTCACATTGAGCATCTGACTCACATTGAGCATCTGACTCACATTGAGCATCTGACTCACATTGAGCATCTGACTCACATTGAGCATCTGACTCACATTGAGCATCTGACTCACATTGAGCATCTGACTCACATTGAGCATCTGACTCACATAGAGCATCTGACTCACATTGAGCATCTGACTCACCTTGAGCATCTGACTCACATTGAGCATCTGACTCACATTGAGCATCTGACTCACATAGAGCATCTGACTCACATTGAGCATCTGACTCACATTGAGCATCTCACTCACATTGAGCATCTGACTCACATTGAGCATCTCACTCACATTGAGCATCTCACTCACATTGAGCATCTCACTCATGTCCGGCATGCCGCCACCCGCACCGCCGCCCATCCCAGGCATCCCTCCCATCCCTCCCATCCCCCCCATGCCCCCCATCCCTGCCGGCATCCCCCCCGGGAAACCACCTGGCATACCCCCCATTTCCCCAGGGAAACCCCCAGGCATACCCCCCATTCCCGCTGGAAACCCCCCTGGGAAACCCCCACCACCCCCAGCCCCTCTAGCTGCGTTCTTCCGCTCCTCCTCGCGCCTCTTCTCCTCCTCATACGCCTTCTGAGCCGCCTTCCTGCGCCGCTGCCTCTCCTTGGCCGCCACGCGCTCCGCCCGCTCCTTCTTCAGCCGCTCGTACTTGCGCCGGTGCTCCTCCAGGCGGTGTGCCTTGGGCTCCACGAGCTTCAGGAACGAGTTCACCTCCTCGTCATAGTCCAGGCGGGAGGCTAAGCGCAGGTCTGAAGCTGCTGCCTCCCACTGCCCGAGCAGGGCTTTGGCCTCGCCCCGGGACTTGTAGGCGCGGGCGGAGTCAGGATTCAGCTGGAAAGGATCGGCAACGGGGAACAGAGGGAGCGAGGGGGGAAGTGGGTTGACCGCCCTCCTCGAGGCGGTGTGCCTTGGGCTCCACCAGCTTCAGGAACGAGTTCACCTCCTCGTCATAGTCTAGGCGCGAGGCTAAACGCAGGTCAGCGGCTGCCGCTTCCCACTGGCCGAGCAGGGCTTTGGCGGCCTCCCCCCGGGATTTGTAGGCGGGAAGGGAAGGGATGAAGCGATTTGAGTGTAAGAGTCTGATACGGGTGTACCACACAGTGCGATACCATGAGAGTCCACCACATACTCATCCAGCATGCACGCCCTCACTCACACTCACCACTCACTCACTCACTCACTCACTCCCTCACTCACTCACTCACCTTAAGAGCCTCGTCACAGTCCCGAATGGCAGCATTGGGCTTCTTCATGCGCACAAACACTCCAGCTGTGTACGACAAGGGGTGGAAGGGGGTGGAAATGGGTGGAAGGAGTTGAAATGGGGTGGAAGAGGGTGGATGGGGGTTGGAAGGTGGTGATGGAAGGGGCTTCTCCACGAGCATCAACACTCCAGGAGCACACAGGAGATTCATTTTAAGAGGGTGGGAAGGTGCAAAAGTAGTCGAAGGGGAGGAAGGGGATGAAGGGGATGAAGGGTAGAAAGGCATTGGAAAGGCCGGGAAATGGAAGGGCTATGCACCTCACCTCGCATGCATGATTTTGAGACGTCTCAAACGCTTGCACCGCACCTCACCTGGCTTGCCCTACACCCCTCAGCGTACACCTCACCTCACCTGAATGTTCTGTGCCTTCAGCTAGCACCTCACCTCGGTTGCCGCACAGCAAAGCTCACCTCGGTTGCCGCACAGCAAAGCTCACCTCGGTTGCCGCACAGCAAAGCTCACCTCGGTTGCCGCACAGCAAAGCTCACCTCGGTTGCCGCACAGCAAAGCTCACCTCGGTTGCCGCACAGCAAAGCTCACCTCGGTTGCCGCACAGCAAAGCTCACCTCGGTTGCCGCACAGCAAAGCTCACCTCGGTTGCCGCACAGCAAAGCTCACCTCGGTTGCCGCACAGCAAAGCTCACCTCGGTTGCCGTAGAGCAGAGCGGAGGTGGGGTTGTTGAGAATGGCCTCTGTGAGATGCGCCACTGCCGCCTCGAGATTGTCTGATGGACGCAGGGAGTGCACAGGGGGGTGACCAACGGAGTGCACAGGGGGGTGACCAAAGGGAAGTGCGGAGGTAGGGTTGTTGAGAATGGCCTCTGTGAGATGCGCCACTGCCGCCTCTAGGTTGTCTGATGGGCACAGTGGGGCGCACGAGGGGTAGGCAAACAGGGACACGTGAAGTGGGGAGGAAGAAATTGGTGGGGTGGTAACAGCACACACAGCACTCACAGCAAACACACCCAGCGCCACCACGCACCTTCAGCCAGGGCCTCCATGGCCTGGGCCTTGGCGGCCTGAGCGGCGTCCCTCTGCTCCTCGCCCACCTCCTTGCTGGCATCGCCCATCTGCTGCGGGGGGTCGTCGTCCCCCTCCACCACGCCCTCCTCGTCTATCTCCACGTCTGACTCCAGGATCTCTGGCTCCTCTGGTTCCTCCACTTCTTCCTCCTCTGGCTCCTCCACCTTGCTTGCCTCGGATTCCATCGTGCTTGGTTCTTCTGCCTTCTCCTCTGCCTGCCACGGAAGGTGCAGGGAAAACAGAACAAAACCTTTCCTCGTTTTTGTTTTCTTCTTCTTCCTACTCTCTTCATTTCATTCTTTCCTTCTTTCTTTTCCTACGTGCACGAACAATGATGCCAACTGTGAAGAAACCCACACTGAGAATCGCTCGCTGACTTTACAGCATCAAGAGCTGCTCAGATGTAACCTCCCCAAAACCCCCCACCCTTCTCTCGATTCGCCTCACAAACCAGTTGCTCTGATCGACCCTGCCAATCAACTCCAGCCCCCCCCGTGACTGGCCTCGCTTGCCTCACCTCACCCACGGCTACCTCGCAACGAGCGACGCCCTGGCATGCGTGCCTTGGGTGCGGCGCGTGCCTTGGGTGCGGCGCGTACCTTGGGTGCGGCGCCCGTCTTCAGGCCGTACGCCTCCCCTGGCACCTCCGCGTTCAGGCTGGCCGCGAGACGAGTGGGATGGGGGGAAGGGGGCGAGGGAAGATGAATGATGGACGAGTGGGACGAGGGGAGACGGGAGCGCGAAGGGAAAAGATGGATGAAGGATGCGGGACGAGGGACGAGGGACGAGAGACGACGGATGAGGGACGAGGGGGCATGGGAAATAAGCGAAGATGAAAATCAAGAAGGGAGACGCGTACGAGAATCACAGGAGAGTGTCACGGGGAAAGGATGACGCAAAACGGGTGACGGAAAGAGAAATTGGAAGGAGAGACGGGACAGTATGTTGGAGGGAGAGAGACCCAAAAGAGTGCAAGAGACGGGACACTGAACCCGAAATAGCTAACGAAGAAATGACAACAATAACACTCGGCGAAATGAACAAAACCGGCTCCAAACTCGCTGGATCCAAACTGGGTAGGACCCGATTCATTCCCGAATAAACACCAGAGCCGAATTCGTCACAAACTCGATCGGCATCTGGCCAGATCATCTTAACCCCCGCTCTCGTTTAAATCCATCGTCTGTCTTTCCGGTCTCCGAAACGGATCCCTGATTTTCTTGCCAGCTGACTTCCCCTCCCCTCCCTTGCTCATGCCAACCACTTCGATGTTGTACCAAGTGATTGGCGCAGACAGGGAAGAATATAAATGATCTTGTACAATAATTCTCAGAATTACACCAACCTTTCGAGATAATCACGAAAGAACTCGAGCTTCGGGTCCGCGAGAACGGCGGGAGTTTTCTGGCAGAGCTGCACGAAGGCCTTGAGCTCTGCTATCTTCTGCGCGTCCATGGCTGCAGACTAGAGTTACCAGCTTGCAGCGGCACCAACGTTGCGGAAATACCAACGTAAGAATCGCAGATCGAAGGCTGAATGGTACCAAGAGCGTCAGTGATGCTGTGTGGAGCTAGCAGGGCGCGCGGCAACTCTAGAAATACGCCATGTGATGGTAGTGTTGTGCGGAATCTGAGAAGGATGATTTTGGTTTGCAGGCAGATTTCAGAACATGCGAATTGGCGACAATTCCGAGGCTTGCGAAGGAAGGCGGGACGACAGGTTTCCAGAAAGGTTCGTTTCGGTTAGAGCAATTTCAGGTGGCAATCTTCGATATTGGCATGCTACTTGAGCAAGAAAGTCTGCTCTGTTCTATTGTAGAGTATACGAACAATGCTCTCATAGAAAACAAACGAGTTCAACCCACACAGGTGCTTCATGTTCCTGGAGAAGTTACAAAAGCATGTCGCATATACTATTCACAAATGAAACGGCTTTCCGTTCTTCGTGCTTGACAAAACAGGTTATGCCACACGTTTGTCGAAATAAGCTGCAGTTCACTTGTACTTATCCAGGATGCGGCGAGCCTCATCTATGGGGTCATCACCTGAACTCCCAGAAGAATTCTTCCCATCCTTGGATAGGTACTGGAAGCCTAAGTATCCTAGACCTCCGAGGAACTGCACAAGCATGCACATTCATACGGAAGTATAAACGCGTATCCAGATCTCCAGATTTCCAAATCCTTCCCAATTCGTCCACTCCTCCCTCTCCTCCTCCTTCCCTTCTACCGAATAAAATGGAATTAACGTCCTTTGAGACGTCTCAAAAGCCGAATGAAACGGAATCAACGATGAGCAACAACTTCGGGACGTTCCAAACATGTGATAGTGAGAGAAAGAAGCGCGACGCAGCCTGGGAGAGGTAGGGACGAGCTCTTACAAGGAGGCTGACGAAAGTGTTGAAGATGGTCTGAACGAGTGACAAGAGGATGGCGAGCGAAAGAAGCGCGACGCCGCCTTTAGCTACTGGCCGAGGGATGCTGGCCTGCATGGAATAGGCCGAGCAGAGGATGGCGACAAGGGATGCGAAGTACATTGACGATGACCGAAAATTGGCGTTTGAACCTTCTAAATCGCAAAGCCGTAAGTTCATCTGCTCGAGGACTTACCGGAACGAGTTTCGTCGCTGCGTCGAGTCCATCGTTGCCTATCTTCACTGCCGTGCTGACCACTGTATCCAGGAAATGTCCAGGGAAATAAGATATGTATCTTACAGCAGCGATTATACTTTCTTATTCTGGCGAAAAAAATAAGGGACACGAATTCAGAGTCACGCGAGAGCTTACAATCGCTCGTAGATCCTTTCTCCGCTACGACAAGCCTAAGGCTTCTTCTGGTGACCACTTCGCATTTCCTAGCCAGAGGCTGCGATAGCTGCCTCCCTGACAAGAACCTCGTGCCAGGACCGCTAACTTTGACGTTGCTCCGAGCCCAAGAGGAGCACGTTAGGCACTGTGACGAGGTGGCCGAAAGAACTACCGAAGCCATGGCAGGAATGACTACCAAAACTGGATGATTTTGGGTAAACGTACTACTTCACCCTGCATGTGTCATGTTCGAATCTGGGGATGAATGGAAGTAGTGTAGGAGCGGGACAGGAAGGGCATCATCTAGGCAACTGTATCGCAAATCTGGGAGCGGGAAGTGAAGAAATCTCCGTGCCAGCGTGGAACACCTGGGACGGGCTTCCAGGCAAAATGGAATTCCCACTCGGGCACCTGATGTTGCCTTGGCACGTGCAGGCGCGGAAACTTGAAGGAGGAACTAGAAAAACAAAAGTAACGTTCTAGTTCGTTTCAGCTAGATACCAAGGCCTTCAGTGTGGTGAATGTAGACCTGGTTTCATTTGAACCAATCCACTTACATCAAGTACATACTACTCATTCAGGTCATTTTGGGTAAAGTGATTCCCCAACATTCTGCACCATGGATCTCCTGATTTCAAAACTTATGCTGTTACCCCCCAATTAAAAATTTCAGGATACGTCTGTCTTAAATATGAGACAACAAAAAAATGAACAAATATGGAACAAAACAAATGCTACAGGAAGGCTAGCAGTCTTCAGCCTGGCGCTAAAATGGGAACAGATAAGAGGAGCCTCATGCAGGGCTGACGTTTCAATTTAGGCCTCCCAGAATTCGGGGAAAATTTTCCCCCAGTATTATGGGTGCATATTTTCCAGAAAACCATAACCCTGATTGCTCAGTGTTGGGAAGTTATATACTCTGATTGTTCAGGGTCGAGAAGTCAGGATCAGAGTAGTAACGCGCTGTGCATTATCGAAACTGAACCTCGATGGTGGGGTATAGGAACAAAATTTCTAGGAAACTTCTTCCCGATACAGCGGGGGGCTACGCGCATGGGGGTACTCGTAGATGTTTCCAGGAAACTCGCAGTACGATCTCGATGGTGAGTGTGTCGGAACGAACTTTCGAAGAAACTTCTTTCCGATAATGTCTTATTCGGGGTCACTCACGCGCTGGCTGTACTCCGAACAATCCAACAACGGGGTTATCGAAATGTCAAATGTTGAACATTGTTATAATAGGCTGTCGTGAGTAGCACTGTAGAGAGTACAACACTTTCTAGGTTTGCTATTTGTATCACTCCCTATCCTAGTTGATGCATTCCGTTGTTCGCTAACTTTGAGATGGTATCATGAGTAGGTGTCGATCCTCTCGCCTAGCCTAGCCTTGCTCGCGCCATAGCGCCCTCCGCGCCCTAGCGCCCTCCGCGCCCTCGGCGCCCTCCGCGCCTTAGCCTCCGCGCCCTCCGCGCCATCTCCGCGCCTTAGCGCCCTCCTCCTCCGCGCGTTAGCGCCCTCCGCGCCCCTAGCCTGCGCCCCTAGCCCGTCGCCCAGGCCCAGGCCCACGCCCTAGCCCGACGCCCAGGCGCCCGCCCTAGCCCGTCGCCCAGGCGCCCGCCCTAGCCCGTCGCCCAGGCGCCCGCCCTAGCCCGTCGCCCAGGCGACCGCCCTAGCCCGTCGCCCAGGCGCCCGCCCCAGCCCGTCGCCCAGGCGCCCGCCCTAGCCCGTCGCCCAGGCGCCCGCCCTAGCCCGTTGCCCAGGCGCCCGCCCTAGCCCGTCGCCCAGGCGCCCGCCCTAGCCCGTCGCCCAGGCGCCCGCCCTAGCCCGTCGCCCAGGAGCCCGCCCTAGCCCGTCGCCCAGGCGCCCGCCCTAGCCCGTCGCCCAGGCGCCCGCCCTAGCCCGTCGCCCAGGCGCCCGCCCTAGCCCGTCGCCCAGGAGCCCGCCCTAGCCCGTCGCCCAGGCGCCCGCCCTAGCCCGTCGCCCAGGCGCCCGCCCTAGCCCGTCGCCCAGGCGCCCGTTCAGCCCGTCGCCCCAGCCCGCGCCCCAGCCCGTCGCTCAGGCCCGCGCCCTAGTCCGTCGCCCAGGCCTGCGCCCTAGCCCGTCGCCCTAGCCCGTCGCCCAGGCCCACGCCCTAGCTCGCGCATCCGCACCTCCGCCTCGCGCCTCCGCGCCTTGCTCGTGCATCCGCGCTATGCCCTCCGCGCTGCCTGCGCCGTCCGCGCCCTGCCCATAGCCCGCGCCCTGCCCCTAACCCGCGCCCTACCCCAAGCCCGCGCCCAGCCCGCGCCCTCGACCCGTGCGCACCCACCGCACTAGGCACGTGGATCTTTTCCCCACCATCGCCCTGTTCGTTGGGCCCCCCGCCGTTCCTACTGTCATTGGTCTCTCTGTCAGCGGCTGGCAGCCGCTACTCTCATCGGTCGCCTAGGTTAGACCCGTGTAGCCACTAGCTCCGCCGGTCTTTTGCCTCGCCACACCTGGCGCTCCTAGATTTCCCTCCTCTTTCCTAGATCCGCCTCCTCCGCGCTCCAGCCGCCTCTAGCCTAGCCTCCAGTATGGAGTCCCGCCGCCTTCGTTTCGATGCGGAGGGGCGACCGATCGAGTTCAGTACCTGGCAGCGCCAGGCCACGCGCTACCTCACCAGTCAGCGTCAGGACGGCGCCACCCTGTGGGCCCACGCGTCTGGTGCCCTCAAGGCGCCCCTGTCTCCCGACCCCCTCCCGACCGACCCGGAGCCGACTCCTGCGGCGCAGGCGGACTACGACCGTCGTGTCTTGGCGAGGGACGTGTGGGACTCTCGCGACGTTGCCACTGCTCTTGCGCTGACGGTGCTCCTCCCACCGACTGAGGCCGTCCACTTTGACCAGGTGGAGACAGCTCAGGGGGTTTGGGCTGCTGTTGTTGCACGCTATTCCACCCCTTCCTCTGCCTCCCTCAGTCGCCTCCTCATGCCGTTCGTGTTTCCCGACCTCGGCTCGTTTGCGACTGTGTCCGACCTAGTGACTCACCTCCGCTCACTTGACGCCGGTTTCCATGCGACCTGTACCGACGCCCAGCTTCTTGCTGCTCCCCCCTCATGTGGCTCACTGTGCTCTGGTTAGTCACCCGCCTCCCTGACCGCCTTGCCACTGCTCGCGACGCGCTTCTCCAGAAGCACCCCACTGAGCTCACTATCGATCTCCTTGAGACCGCTCTCGAGACGATCGAGAGTAGCCTCCTCACCGTTGCCTCCGCCACTGACGCGGTGGCCCCTCGTCTCTTTGCGGGGTGTGCCGCCCCTCAGCTTCCCACTTTCACTGCTACCCGCGCTTCTGCTGCTGTGTCGGTTTCTGGGGACACTGCTGCCGTTTCTGCCGCAGACTGGCCGAAACGGGGCAAGAGTGGCAAGAAGGGCGGGAAGGGGGGAGGTGGAGGCGGTGGAGGCGGCGGTGGAGGTGGCGGTGGAGGTGGGAGCGGCGGTGGTGGAGGCGGCGGCGGCGGTGGCGACGGCGGAGGTGCACCAGGAGGAGGGGGCCTTGGAGGAGGTGCAGGACAGACAGGCCCACCCACTGGCGGTGGCCTGACCGGTGGGGGTGTTGGACCCCAGCAGCAGCAGTCGCAGCAGCACCAGCCACAGCAGGGACATCAGCAGCAGCAGGCACCGCAGCAGTTCCAGCAGTGGGGGCCCCCGCTGCAGTGGGGTCCGCAGCAGCACTGGGGTCCCCCGCCGCAGTGGGGTCCGGGAGGACCTGGGAGCACCGGCCGCAGCAGCAGTACTTCCAGCTGGGCCCCTCGCCCCCCTCGCCGTGACACTGGCCCCTGCACCCATTGGTGCCTCACCGGACCGGGCAGCCCCTGTCTCTGCGGTCGTGACGACCATTCTGCCGCGCGGTGCTTCCGCCGCCTCGACGACCTCTACCGTGCTCGTTGGGGCCCTGCGGCGACCACGCCTCACTGGGCTCGCCTGTTATCCCGTAAGATTGATGTGTTTGATCTGTCTATGGACGATTCTCGTCAGCATGCTTTGTATGCTGATGTTGACTATAGTGTTGATGGATCTGTGTGCTCGCGTGTTCGTAGATTAGCTTGCTTGCCTCCTGCTAGTGTAGACTTGTGCCTTTCTAGTCTAGGTGCTTGTGTTGCTGCTCTAGGTGCTTGTGTAGCCACTAGGACAGGTGACCCTCCGGCTGAGGCGTCTCTGTCCTTCACGCTGGACTCTGGTGCGTCTCAGTGCTTCTTCCGCGACCACACGACCCTCACGCCACTCCTCACTCCTGTTTCGGTAGCTCTGGCTGATCCTACCTCAGGACCAGCCGTTGCGCGCAACTCCACTACCCTCCCGTGTCCTGTGGTCCCCTCTGGTGTCCTGCGCAGCCTCCACATCCCCTCGTTCACTCGGAACTTGGTGGGTGTTGGTTACCTCCAGGACAGGGGGATCACGGTTACCTTTGTGGGGGGTGGGAGGACTGCGGTCTGTACAGACGCTGCCAGTGGTGCTGTTCTGGCCACGTTCACCAGGGAGCCCCGCTCCGGTCTCTACGTTCTCCACACCGAGCGCTCCCAGGTTGCGTCCTCCGCTCAGGTCGTTGCGTCCCCTCCAGTCCTGGTGTCCAGTCCAGTTGCTGTGTCTAGACAGGTGATCGTGTCTAGTCCGGTCGCGGTGTCCTGTCCGGTTGCTGCGTCTTGCTCCTGTCGCTCCCTCACCCACCGGAACGTCTTGTGGCACCACCGTCTTATTCACCCGTCGATCCCCCGCCTCCGCGGCATGACCAGCCAGGGGCTTGTCACAGGTCTCCCACGCACCTTT